CCTAAAACCTAAACCTAAAAACCTAAACCTAAACCTAAACCCTAAACCTAAAACTTAATCATTTGGCTTAATATAATATTTATTTATTTTTCTCAATTTAAGCTTGGAACTTTTTGGCCAAATTTCAAATTTTCTAATAAATTAAATTGATTAAAGCTTTGGTAACAATATTAAACCAGATAGAGAAATATTAAAATATTTGTAAATTGAATTAATTAAAACAATTCAATTTCCATTCAAAATTTAATAATAAAGTTTAAGAATTTTGTTATGTAAATTTAGTAAATTAACAAAGTTCAATCAATTAGCAATAGATCCCAACAGTTTTTCATCGGTCAAATTCTACGAAAGACAATAAAAACCAATTCATAATTTTAACATAAATTATTTAAAAAATATATTTACAACAAATATCGTGAGAGTCTATAGGATCTTCAAAACTAAATGATCTAAGATCAGATTCTGGAGAATTATTTGTAAATAGCCCTATTCAAAATGAAATTAAGCTTCACAAATAATGACAATCACTTCCGTAAACAAAGTAATAAAAAATAAAAATGGCTATTTAATATTATTCAAATAGAAAAAAAACGGTTCTCAATAATTTATTTAGAAAACATTTTTTTTAATAGAATTATTATTTTATTTTGAACTTCTAAACAAAATTGTATACATAAATACCCGCGTAATTCACAAAAACACTAATAATAATAAGCCTTTTAAGTTTTTTAAAGATTAATATTTTCTATATTTTCCTTTTTTTTATGAACACAATAGATCTTATTCAAATAAAAATTCTAATTCTATTAATAAAAAATTATAATAATCAATCCTTCAAAAAATTAAATATCAGTAAAAATTTATTGTGGAATAATAATTTGTTTCTTTACATTTAAATTCCAAATTAAAAGACAAGCCCCCCAAATTTGTTTAATAATAAACAAAAATAAAATATCACAAGTAAATAATTTCACTTGAACCTTTCTTTTATTAAAAAATTTTTTTTGTGTTAAAATGCGTTTTCTAATCTTACCTTTAACTATTATTGCTCAACAACTTTATAGTAATCACACAGTTTCCTATAAAGGTGATTCAGGTTTTGATCTGTTCATTGTAGAAGATCAGATTATAAAGGCGAAAGAAACAGGTTTTGTTAGGACTGGTATTAAGATTGCAGCTTATAGTGATGATAATGAACCCACAAGTTATACTGTTGTAGGAAGATCTTCCATTTCAAAAAGTCCACTCAGATTAGCTGTTCCAGCTGGAATAGTTGATGCAGGCTTCAGGGGTGAATTGAGAATACCTTTGGATAATATTAGAGACTTCGACTTTGAATTGAAGGTTGGACAAAGATACTTTTCTCTGGCAGGTTATGATGGTAAGCCTGTTACTTACACTCTTGTCGATCAACTTGATGAAACTGAAAGAGGTGAAAAGGGATTGGGATCTACAAATGAGCTCTCAGCTACAAGAAAAACTTCGTTAAATCCCATTGTCCCATTATCTATTAACAAAACTCGAATCTTTGAACCATTAAAAAAAGTGGAACCACTTGTTCTCAGAACAAATAACTCTACAGGTTCTCAGAATCCCTCAAACTTACTTGTATTCCCTCAAGCCACTAGTGTTGAAGTTATAAACATAATAGCTTCTGAGGCTCAAACCTTAATATCAAATCTGATTGGATCAAAAACTTTGAGAAAAGCTACTACTACTCGAACTATTGCTGGAAAGCTTGAGCCCACCCGAGAATCTAAAGATCTTAGAGCCGAAGTTGATGTTGGTAGTAAAAATTCTACGAAACTTGAAGGTAAATGAAGATCTTCCAAATTAATTTATTTACTATTTTTTGTGACCTACTGTTTGAATACTTGACTTTAAATTATGTTTCTCCAATCCAGGAGTTTTAAAAGACTAAGTTATTTCAGTAAATGTATGAATAATCTAAAGTTAATCTTTTATTAGTTTATGTAGAATGCCTGTGATTAAATTTTTCGATTAGTATTTTCCCAACTCCAGTTGAGTTTGGGTGTTTAAGACTTGTATTTATTGAGAAATTTTTGGCTCTCATTTGATGATTTTCTCCTCGGTTGAACTAGAGATGAGGGGCCTCTGATGCTAATCAATTGTGTTCCAAATCAATATGGGGCGAGATCAGACTGAACATTGACCACTAGATTGAATATTTTCATATTCAAACAAAACAATCTCTATAAGACTTTGTAGAAGTTTTATTCGATTAATTATGTTTAAAAAAATGAGTAGAAAAGATCAATTACAATGTTAATCTAGACTATTTATTTTACTAAAATACAAATATTAGATGCTAAGAAATCAAAAAGAATTTGAAACATTTTTATCTTATTTTATTTCTAATTATGATAATATCACTCAAATGACTTTAATAAAGATTTTGTAATTTTGGTCTATTTTTTTTCTAATCATTACCAGATATTTTTTAAAATTAGCCATTAATATTATATTTTCAAAAAATGAACAAATTTGAATAAGAATTATCTTAAAATATCTTAAGAATTAAACAATTTACATTCATTTCACGTTTTAATAATATATATTAATAAATTTCTTAAAAGAAAATACGGTTAATTTAATGAATTGAATAAGTTTTGACTGAATTTTTCCTTTCTTAAAGCATAAATATTTCCAACAAAATTAGAACCTTCTTAAAAAAAAATGTTTTGATGATTTTCCTTTTTAATACGGGATTATGTTAATATCTGCATTTTCAAAAAATCACTTTATCCATTCTTTTATAGGCAGAATTAGATCATTACCTTGAGATGTTAAATTTTTATTGAAGATAAATAATATTTTTATCTTTAACCTTTTAGAAAATGAAAAAATATAATATTAGGAGAATTATCTTCAAAATATTTTATATATAATTTTAATTACCTTAATCGTTTCTATTTAAACTTGGCTTCCACAATTTTGATTATTATTAAAAAAATCATTTTTTTCATAGATATATTTTAATATAATGAAAAAATTTCATGAAAACAAAAGTAAAATTGGTTGCCTTAAATATCGATTATATCGAATTTAAATAGTGTATTGCCAATATTATCTTGAAATTTTTGAAAACCCCATAAATTTAGATTAATTTCAATTTCCTTATCATTTTGTTTAAATTTGTTAATAAACTCAAATATTGGCCCTAAATATGACAAATTAATTAAATATTTATATTTAAATTCCACAACCTTGAGTTACAATAAAGAGAAATTATTTGAAAAAATATTGATCAAAATATAGATTTATTTTTTATATTAACGTCATAATCTACAAAAATTTAATCGCCTTAATATCGCAAAATTTATTGAACAGACATAATGATCATTTAAAGAAATGTTTAGTTTATAAATTACCTAATATGAGTGTTATTTTTATATTGAATTTGATAGACCAAATTATTTTAAATATAACTCTAGAGTTAACTTTGAGTATATTGAAATAAAGTTATTCTTTTTATTGTTTATATATAAATATAATTATTTAATGAAGCAGAATTTGTAGATTTGATTTCTCTTTAAAATGATTTTGATAAAACTTTCATCAGTTTATTAATTCAATCGTAATATATGAAAATTGTAATTCAAATAGGGTATATTCAAACTTAAGTAAAGATACAAAATTAGTTTAAGATTTATAATAATTTTATTTAAAAGTTTCTCTTAGTCCTCTCATTTCCCACCATTTTAAAACAAAATCAATTCAGAAGCTTATTTAATCAAGTTAATAGAAAAAATAAATAAATAAAAAAAAAGGTAAATTAATTTCAAAAATCAATAATGTTTAACCCTCAATGATTTAAAAATGTTAATTTCTGTTCTAAGAGAAAACAAAATTTGTATTCCAAGTTCTTGAACCTTGAAAAAACAAATGAATTAAAAAAAAACCATATAATTAAGTAAAAATGGTTTAGTTTCTGAAATTATGTTTTTAATAAACTTATTTTTTTTGTTTGGCTCAAATTATAAAATTTGTGATTAATAAGAATTTTTAAAAAAGAGAAATTAAATAGCTCAATCTAATACATGCAAACTTTAATACTTTAATTATCCTCTTCTATATATTTAATAACCTAATAAATCTTTAATAAACTAATAAAATTTGCTTTGAACTTTTAATTTCTCTTTTCTAATAATTGTAAATGTTAGTTTATTGCATCTAACTCTCCTATAAAAGAGAATTTTTTTTAGTTAAAAAGTTAAATTCCACCTTCATACTTTGGTGAATGCGTTTTTAATGTAAATACCTTCCTAATACTAAAATTTATAAGAATACAAATTCATTCAATAATAAATTTCTTAAATAAAATTTGTATCCATTTCATTCAATCTATTTTTTCATTTTTTTTGGAGAAAAAAAAAACCTAAAATTTATCAATAAGCAAAGAGTAATGGGGCTTTTATTTTTCAGAAATTTATAGTCATTGAAAATGATTTAATAGGCTTTAAACCATAAAGAACAATTTCCAAAACAGTGTTTTTCTTTAAAAATTAATAATAAAATACAGAAAAGTTTATCGGTTTATTATCATTTTTCCTTTCTTAATACTAATCACTCTTGATTTGAGTTCAATAAACACAATTATATATTTTGTGCATTATTTGCAATCTAAGTAAAATTGAGATGGTTGAAGAATTTTTTAACCAATAATCGAATAACAGAGAAGTTTAGTTATTTTAGATATTTTTGTTACTGTTAAATGTTATGGCATTTTTAATGATAAACAATGTGTTAGTAAAAAGTCGCAACCAAAATAGCAATATTAATAATAATATTTTGCTCTTCTTCTGTAATTAATTTAACAAAACAATAATTACTAGAACTTTCCTTAAATTTAAATTGGAGTTTCCAGGAATAATAAGAAAAAACTCATTACATAATAGAAAATTTATTTTTTTTTAATTAAAACTAATAAATAAAAAGGCATAATTAAGGGAAGATGCTATACCATGTTATAAGCCAAACATGTCGTATATATAAAAAATACAGCATATTAAATAGAGTCACTAAAACATTTTTTTCGAAGATTTAATATAGATTACCAAACATAATTATTTCTGCTTTTCGAAACAAAAAAATATTAGATAGTAAAATTTTAAACTCGTACAGTTCTTTAAAACAAATACACTACTTTCGAAGTTAGAAAACTTCATCTTTAAAAATAATTATTTCAAGTTATTATTACAAAAATACATTGAATTATTACCAATCGTCAAAAAGGGTTAATTAAACCCTTCGGAATCTTTCATAGTACAAATTGTTGGATTTTCGTTACTCCAATTTAGTATAGAGTACCAAATTACTAAAATTGAAGTAAATATACCAGAGATAATAAGCATAAAATCGATTATAATGAATTGAATTCCTATTTCCTTTCTGAAAATAATGAAATGAAATAATGCGGGGAGTAAAATGTTTAACGGAACACAAAATAGTCCTCCGATCAAATTAATTAAATTGCTGAGTGAGTCATGTAAAATATAGCCCAAAAAAGTAATAAAAATGCATGATATCATCATCCAAAAAGATGGAAGTATATTCTCTTTTTGAACTTCAAAAAAGTTGGTTTTCAATGCTTTCTGATTAAAATGATGAATTTCTTTTAAATTAGAATTATTCGGGTAATCAATGTCTGAAGAAAATGAACGAACTTCAACGGAAGAATCTGTTGCAGGTTCTTCGCATGATAGAATCAAGTGTTCGCTCATATTACTCTTTTCTATTGAAATTGTTGAGTTGCTATTATTTAGGAATTCTTGTTTATTTTGATTTATCTCTATCATTTCAATTTCAGATCTTGAAACAATCTTTTGTGACAATCCGAATGAGTATTTCGCAAAAATTTCTTTCATAGGGTAAATCATTAATGGTAATGATAGTAATACACTCAATGAATAGAGAATTTTACCTCCCATAGCAATTGGAGTAAACGGCAAGTTTAAAGTAATTGCAGAAAGAGTACTTTCACCATATGCAAATGCACAAAGATATGTAAATGTGAGAGCAAAAGCAAAAACCACAAAAATTGCAAATAAATAGACCCATGTAAAAAACCTTCTTTCTCTCTGATTATTGATGGAACTATAATATGAAAGTGTAACAGGAGCACATACCCATAAATATGCTGCTGTTCCAATAAATCCCGGAATATTTGATGTGTCTGAAATTGAAGGAATACTATAAAAAAAGCCATTTGAATGGTTTCTGATTAATGTGCGAAATGATTGTATAAGAACTAAAGTGATTGCTGATATTAAAGCAAAGTTTGAAATTAATATAATAGGAGCGAGTGACTGAATTTTTCTAGCCGATACCAATGGAATATAAATAATCAGTTGTAAGAAGGTTATTAGGGCCGAACCGTAGTTTAGGTACTCTTGCGAGCAATTGTGAATTCCTGCAATAATATCTTGTATGTTGTTTGTTATAAATGTTACATATATTGAACCGAATGAAATTGCAGTTGAAATTAATGAAAATTCTAATAGAAACTTTCCAAATTTTCCCATAGCATACATAGCAATAGAAGAGTAGTTCCCATCTACTCTATCTGCGCATTGCATTAAAAGTAACATAGATAGCACATTCAAAACCCAATAGTAAAACATGATTAGCGCGCTCAAAATGTATCCCGTGTTAACTACTCCTCTTGGTGAAAATAATATTCCTGTTCCTATTGCTGCTTTGAATACAGTAATAAAACCTATTCCCATCTGTACTAATTCATTCTTAGAAAAGTTAACTACATTCCCCTTATTTTTTTGCTTACTTTTACCTATACTTTTTACTTCCTTTACTTGATTCACATCTTTTAACGTTATCTGCCTAGAGCAAGTGTCACTCATTGTGACAAATTACCTTATCTATTTTTAATATAATAAACTAAAGATACTCTAAACATATATCATAGAGCTACTTTTTTATTGTGTTCACCTATCTTTCTCAAAACAGAGTCTCATTGCTCGCTCTTGTAAAAATTTGCAATACAGCGCGAACAAGTACACATGCTTACGTCTACATCTATCAAAAATGTTAGAGAATAACTTTTTTTTGCAAAAAAAAGACGAATTAAACAATATTATATTTAATTATTTTAAACCAAATTATTTTCTAAACTTTGTAACAAAATAGTAAACCAAGTGTAAATTTAATTTAATTTAATTATTAGAGCTCGTGGGTATGAATAGCACCATTAGTATTCTTTCTAGCTTAATCTGAGTGATTTACTCATGATTTGAACCAGTTCAGATGGACTATCACTCCCTGCGTCTAGTTCCAATAAATCACGGCTTCTCTTACATAATGATACCAGGCGAGTATTATAATATTGTGAATTTTCCATGCAAACATTTCTCATACCTCCATTTATTTCGGCATGACTAATTGGAGATTGATCCTTTTCATTACAACTTTCAGGGTCACTGTCATTCCCATAAACGCTTATGCATTCATATGTAAGGTCGAGATAATATTGAGACATTTTTCCTCTAGGAGTTCCCGTGCTTAAAATGCTATCACGGACAAATTCTCGTTTTGGAGTTATAAAATGTTTTGTGTAAATTGAAGACCTTGTAATCGCTTTTATCAATGGAGTAGATAAATTTTTCTCGTACACATTTTCAAAATATTTCTCATTTTTAGAGTTATTTGACTCATCATTCCACTCTCCTCCATTTATAAATTCGATATTAAGTTGTTTACGTATTGCCCTTCGAGCATCAGGAGCCAAGGTTGCCGTTTCATCTTCAAAAGTTCTGGAGCGTCTAGGTGTTGATAAACAAGTACTGTTGAGACTATCAATGGTTTCTAAAGACATTAGTTATTTTGATTTCCCTTTTATTTATTTATCACTGCTAAATATTAGTTTATTTTCACCTTCAAATATATTAATTATAATTTTTACTTTTTTTAGAAAATTAGTTTTTCATGTTATCACAATCTGTATATAATTTCAGAACTTTATAATAAAAATTGATTTATAATTTGACGTTTATTTTTTAATCTTGAATTTCGTTCTTAATATTTAGTGTTATTTATTGTTGCCACTTGCAACTAGAAAATATGCAAAATGTGTGGGGTTGACATTCCCGCCACGTGTGGGGTAATTTATGAATCTAATTATTTTTTCATGCATATATTTTCAAATTTCATGAAATTAAAAAATAACATGAAAAATATTTTTTAAATCGCAAAATACATTGATTAATTAAATTAATTTTTTGTATGATTAACGATTTTAAATAATGGGTAGTAAATTCGCTGTTTTTGATAGTATTGTTCTAATACAAATAACAACATAAGCCAATCAATTATGAATATATCAAATAATAAATATTCCTTTAATAAAATTTCTAATTATTTATTTTTATCTTCTCTTTATGAATTTGGTAATCATTGTTCAAAAGCGCGTAATTTTTGTTTGCTTGCCATAACCCAATATATAACTTTCATAACTGTTAGATATATAAATATGCTATATTTACAAACCCTAGTAAATTTAAATTTAGTTTTAAAGTATTGAAATTTTAATTCATTATTATTTAAGTGATATAATTTGTTAAATATAAATAAAAATCAATGATTTTTATTTAGTGAAAATTTATTGTGAAAAATTCAATAAATAACATTTGAATAGTTTAAATCTGTTTTTTTTTTTTTTTTAAGGTAAAAAAGATATAGCCGTTAATATGAGTTTTTAATAATTTAAGAATTGTTTAACCTATGAATTAAATTGATGATTAGGTTATTCAAGTATTTTATTATTATTAGAAGTTAACACCATGATGAAACTGTTATTTGATAGTTTGATAACCATTAAAATTTTTATTTAAAAAAAATTGTTAAAATTATGAATAAAATTAAATCAATAAATTAACTTAAGATGATGAATTCACTTCTGGTAAAATAGATAATATATTATATCAACATAAATCTAATTTATAGTATAGTGTTTCAGTAATAAAAATATATTTTAAAATTAAACATTTATTAGAATTTGGAATACTAATAACCTTCTGAAATACTTTTTATTCAAGCTGGTATAAGAAAATATTAATTTTTTTAAATTTTTAACAGATTTCATATTATTGAATAAAAAAAAATTTAAATAAATTATTTCAATTTGAAAGATTATAAATAATTGTAATTTGTGCCATAATATCATTCAATAATTCTTTTTATGAAATTATATTGATCTTGAAAGTTTTTGAAGTTTCCATTTGTCTGATCCCATAAAGGCCATTCATAACGACTTTCATCTAAATCTCCAATAACTTCTCTAAGGTTTTTTTTAATAGCATCATTGTCGTATTTGGTTGGCTTATTTAAATTGGGTACCGAGTTTTTTTCCATTATAAAATCTCCTTTTGGAAAATTTGATTCAACAGATCTTAGTATAGATAACCATTCCAAATCTAAATAAATACGAACATCCTTTGTATTATTATTTAAATCAAAATATCTCACTGGAGAACTTGAACTTTTAAATTTATCAATTGCTCTAAATTCGGATGAATATAACTTATTTTCAAATTCTATTGAAGCATCAAAGAAACAATGATGATGTCCTGAAAACCAAAACAACGGCCTCAAATGCTCAATTAATTCTATACAGCCAGGGATTCCAAGCCTACCTAATTCAATATCTTCTTTGAGATATGGTTTTCTTTTTAAAAGGTAATTTAAGTTTCCGAACCTTTCAATTCCATTTGGCCAGTCATGAGAAATCATCAAATCGACTTTTCTTGACTCATTAGAATCAAAAAAGTTGGACTTTATATTTTCAATGAGTAATAGTTTCTGAATTTCAAACCTTCTAATATGATACCAGCTCCTTTTACTTTCTTCAGTAAATGGTTTTGATTCGTAATAACCTCTATAATGATCATAACTTTTATAAATACCAGAGATACCTGCAATTCTAATATCACCAACTCTAACAACTCCAGAATTGCCTAAATAAAAAATGTTTGGAGCTACCCATCCACCATAATAGAGTGGAATTAAAACATTTGGAGTTTCATGGTTTCCACCAATGAAAATAGTCAACTTAGGTGCTTTTTTTAACCCTTCATAATATTCCCAAAAATCACCTTTCTTTGATCTATGTGATTTTACTGCCATGTCTTGTAAGTCAACATCATCTCTTATTGTTTGCATATCACCGCAACATATGATTAAATCGACTTTTTCATTTTTTTCATTCTCGTATTTCTCTACATCCATGTATAAACGGTTGAGTTCTCCATGACAGCATCCAAGTACTGCAATCTAACAATGTGTATTTTGTTAAATAAAACAAATGAATTAACTTACCTTCATTCTCTTTATATATAAAAGTCAGTTAGATCAGTGCTTGCAGTTGATCAAAAAAATAAAATATGATTCTTGTACAATAGGCGCTAAATAATATTGGCATATTTTATTATAATAAAAGTTATCTATTTTTTTTTAAATAGATAAAGATGTCTGATGATAACTTTGATATAGAAAAACTAGAGTTTGGAAAAGGTATGTCTAGCAATTTTGTGATAAAGTTGCAAGATTTCGATTTCTTTACCAATTGTTCGTCGGTCTAATGGCGTATTATATATGGAACATTAATTTTCGTATATTCCTTAATTAAATTATCTATGCAACTTTATTTTACAATAAAATCATTTTTACTCGATATTTAGAATTAAACGGAATAAAATGTTTGAATTTAAGTGAGCTTAGATTACTGCTAGAAGACAGAATGAGAACTTATCCATCAAGCTCTGATGAAGCTCACACATTAATTAAGGCTGCTTACGATTATTCATATAAATTTGGGAAAATTAAGAATAGAGCATCCGTTATGCTAATTAGAGAGTAAGTTAAATTTAATAAGACACTATATTTACCAATACAAATATTGATTTTAGGGCCCTTGACGAAACCACAAAGTTACATGAATTCGAAATAGCATCTTTAGTTAATCTCTTACCTAGAACTCCTGATGAAGCAAAGGTAAGTAATTTGTTTTTTTTTTAATTTCATTCGGAAACTTAAATTCTATCTAGAGTTTAATACCATCACTATCGAGACTACCTAACGACCACATTGAACGTATAATCATAAACTTAGAAAGCCACAGAACATACTCGACTTAGAAAAATAGTTAAAAGAAGTAACTAGAATAGAAGTAATATCTATATTAAAAGCAATATTCCATTTTTTACCTTCACTTGTTCACTTCAAAAGCGTCAAATTTTCTACCTGCACTCATAATATATAATAAAAGTAGCAAGTAAATGAATATACCCAAATAAAAGTAGAGAGGCTGTTAGGTCAGAGTAACTATGACGGCTGGCATTGTATATATACTTCCAGTTGTTACTGTAGTACAAGAAGTTCAAAACGAACATTTTTCGCACTAGAGTAAAGCTCTAATCATCCCTGTTATCTCTCTAAATAAATAAGTAAACTTACCGATTTTAAAAGAGTTTAACTAAAACTTTTTATCTAACAGATGACTATAGAATTAAGACACGCAAAGGCGCGCACCACGCGCCACTCATTAAATGCATTATTGTAAGCCAAAATCAATTAAACTTACCAGCAAATAAGTAGAAATTATTATATCAATATTGTATAATATTACTAATGGTAAATAATAATGCTGTAAAATGTTAATAGAAAGAGCATGCATTAATTAATATTTAATAACACATGAGATTAATATACTTTTATGATTCTAAATCCAATTTAAGTAATTAGAATGTTATATTGGTGAAAATATGCAAAAGGAATCATTCAAAATATATTCAAAAACAGAACATTTAAAAATAAGGAGCTTAATAACATTTAATACTGGAGGAATACAATTACATGAAAATGAAATAAGTAATATCATCACGGAAAATTTGAGAAAGAATAAATTAATCCAAAAAAAAAATAAAGCCCCAAAAAAAAACATAATAATTTCCATGGAAAACTTGCACTCACTGTCTTATATTAATGAAAGCGAAATTTATTTTTATTATGGAGAAACTTTGGAAAACCGGAGGCATGGATGGGGTTTTCTAGCAGATAGAAACAAAATTATTTACGAAGGAATGTGGTATAAGGACCAAGCAGTAGGATTGTACATATCACAACCCAATTTTTTGGTTGAATTCGGTTATAAAGATTACTTTTGCAGAGAATCAAGTTCATATAAATCACAAATAATCTGTGGTAAAGAAACAGAAATAATTTTGGATAATAAGGCTCAACAAAATACCTTACTTCATGAAAATTTAAGTATTAACCACTTCAGTCAAACTAGCAATTCCAAAGAAATTTTAAACCCTTGTTTAATCACAGGTTCAAAGAAAGCTGATTTTTCAGGTCATATGAATCAAGCTTTGCTCAATAAGATAAAAGAGTTTGATTATAACAGAAGAAATCTATTCAATTTAAACTTTGAAAATACATATGAAATAAACAGACAGGCTTTTTATCGATCTTTAAGTTTATATAATTTAAAAAATGGATATCAAGTTTTTAATAGAAAAAAATTAAATGAAATTTTAAGAAATGATGAAAAAGAAAATTTTAATAGTTTAGAAAATAATATTTTAGGCAATAAAAAAAATTTAACTAAAAGTCTAACTAATGATAGCACATGTATAAATTGCAAAACTTTAATATTTAAACAATTTATTTCATCTCCTATTTATGCTTGCGACTGTAATAAATGGAGTAATGAAATCATTTCTCTTATTTTAATATCAAATGGATTATTGGAGGAAGCAATAATATTTCATAACCATAAACTAACCGGTAATGATATTCCTATGTTTAACGAACAGTTCATTAAAGAGCTCGGAATTTTTGACAATTATTCAAGAAGATTTATTTCGAGGTTATTTCAACAATTTTGGGGGTTTCTTGATTACATGGATTTATCTTTAATTGAGAACTTTAATATTAAAAACCTAAGTATTTTACCCTATATTCACAGAACACAGATAGAATTAGGCAGTTATGTTTCGAGCAGTTCTCATTGCATTATAATAAATGGGAATTATAAAGCTCAAAAAATCATATGTAAAGTTCTCAAATATAATATTGAAAATTATGAGGAGCTGGACCCTATATTTAGGGTTGAATTTAGAAATAATGCCGATCTTTTTACTAATAGTTCTGATGGAAATCACGATAATGACGAGAATGAAAATTGGAAGAATGAGCAGCATTCACCAATTTGCTATATTTACAAACACAGGCGAGATCCCATATCTAAAGAAAACTTATTTAAGTATATTCCAACTTCAGTTAAGATGAGGGACTGGGAAGCAAGAATTTTAATTTATCTTTCTTCACATCCAAATATTGTAAAGTGCCTAGGCATCTCTCAATTTAATATGGGTTATGAAGCTCTGATACTGGAAAACTGTGAAGGAGGGAGTATGGATCAATATTTAATTACCAATGATACAACTGAATTTCAAAAACTCAAATCAGAATTTTCAGCAAGTAGATTAGAAATGCTTTCCTGGCTTAGAGATATTGCAACAGGAATGCAACATGTACACCAATTAGGTATTCTACATAGGGATTTGAAATTAAGTAATTTTTTTATATCTAAAGTTAATGGGAAAAGGATTGGAAAAGTTGGAGATTTTGGCATTGCTATTTTTATAGACTCAAGACTCGGTTATTCACCCTTTACAGATTTTGGAAATGTTTATTATGCTGCCCCGGAAGTTCTGAGAAAAGAGGGATTTTTTAAGGAAAGTGATGTATGGTCATTTGGAATGAGCATGATAGAGGTAATAACAAATTCTTTTGTTTTTGACGGTTTCTGTCCAGGCCTTGCAATGGTAGTTAATGCAGCAAATATTGATACCATTAATAAAAACCTCGATGTACCATTTGAGCTAAATAAACTTCTTAAATCAATTCTTGACCCAGATAGAAGAATGAGGCCATCATTTGAATCGATCTCTTTTGAGCTATCCAGAATTATTGAAGACTCACAAAATTCTGCATTTCAAAAACTAATCGAATTTCACGCATTTAAATAGTGTTAGGCGCTGATAACTTATTTTAGTGGTCCTTAAATAATTAATTATTTATCAATTTAAAAAATATAATAATTTTTAAATATAAAGCTAAATGCTTTTTCCAGAGCTTCAGTTTAAATTTTCGAGGCTGGACTCACTGATTTCAAGATATGAATATCTTTCAAAAACTAGGAAGTTTGGAGACTCTGCTGTTTCGTTTTGTACACAGAATATTAACAATACATTAAAATCTATTCAAATTGAACTCAAAACATTAAAAGAGCCAACTGAAAAAAGAAAATTTGAAGAATTTCTGAATGCTCGAAATGATCGTATTAAAAATATAAATGAATCTTGGGTACAAAATACACAAATTCCTTCAGAACAAGTTTCTAATATTACGAAACGCAGTTATAATGAAGATATACAGTCCTTAAATGATAGCAACTTAACAGACTATAAAAAAGGTGATACTTTAATACAGTTGTCTGATGAATCAATTTTAAGAATGAAGAAATCTCTAATGGATACTGAGAAAATAGGAGACGATTCTCTTAATAAAATGAGTATTCAAAAAGAGCAACTAAGCAGAATTCGGAATGAACTAGATAATGTGAAAGACAATATTTATAAGGCTAACATATCTCTAAAAGCTATTGCTAGAAATACTGCAACTGACTTTTGTGTACAAATGCTATGTGGGATCTTCTCTATTTGTTTACTAATTATTATAGTATTGTTAATTGTACTTGGAATCAGAAAACACAACCAATCTGCATAATACCTGCTTTAATTATTTATATTAGTATACTGCCTCATTATTTTCTTATTTTAAAACATATTCTAAATTTTTATTTGATTGTTTTTTACAGTTAGGAAGAAAAATGCTAATCAAAAAATATATAAAAATTTTTTATTTGAATTTTCTAAAATTTCATCTAACTGCTTGAGTAAATTCTATTAACCTAGTGAACTTGTATTTTTACTCCATAAATTAGTCAGTAAATATTCATTAGAACAAGTTTTGGTTCTCTTATCTTTCCCTTTTAAAAGAGTGAATAAATCATTTATTTGAATATGGTTATATTTATTTATATTCATGAAGTTGAGAATTATATCTTTTAATAAAGACTGTGTGACAGAATCCATCTCATATGAATATTTTTGATTTGAAGAATTGTTGTTTTCATTGGCGGAAAGCCAAAATAGCCAGTGGTCAAGATAAAGCCAGATTTTATGTGGAGAAAGATCACTTGTGAGTGACTTTTTAGTCTGACAATGTGGTTGGGGGCAGTTAAAGCCGTTTTTTAGTGGCACTCTTCTAGTTTGGGTATTGCATTCTCTGCAAATACCATGGAACGCTGAGTAGTATCTAAGAGTTAATGTTCTAAGGTGGTTATGAAGCCAGTTTGAAAGAAATTCTGGTGGAAATTGATTGTTACACGCCTGGCATTCCCATCTATTCTCCTTAAGCAAGTTAAACACTGAATTCAGTCCTGAATTACCTTTTTTTATACATTGGAAACAATCTATATTTGCTGTAATTGGAACGCTAATATAAGTCTCTGGGTTTTTCTTCCACTCGAATGTTGAAAATGAATCTGTTAGGTGTTCGGAATCCTCTTTTTGAATAATTTCACTATATTGCTTATACTCAAGACCTAGGCATTGCCCAATTCTACTTATTTCTAAGCCAGGTATTGGAGCGCAGAGCCTTGAGAGTGGTGGAAGTAATTGCTGAGTCTTATACCACTCAATATCAATATTAAGTCCATTTGATTTTACTTCTTCTGGAGAGTAAGCCCTTTTCGAAAGCATAGAACTTTTTGGAACAGCTTCTTCCGATGTATGTAAGTTAAGTTCTTCTTTGCAAATTATATATGGAATTTCAGTACCAGAAGAAACTGGTAAGCCTGAGGAAATCATTCTTTTTGCAACAATTACATGTGGAAGGAGATATGGGTCTGAATAGAATTGTGGAAGCTTCGTGAGAGTTTTTGTAATTATAAAGCTCTCTACTGGAATGGAATTAGAGTTTAGTGTTTCATTTAGAGATTCAAGTGTATTCAATATACTGGTGATTACTATATCAATCGGCTCGTTCGAAAATAGTAAATTAAGTATTTGCGTTGAAACATTTCTAGTTAAAATTGACCAATCACGTCTTACCAAATCCAACCCCTTACATTCCAGTTTAAACTGTTTGCGATGAAAATCAACTATTTGAATGCAAGCATACTTCTTTTTTTTAAGCAGCAATAGTCTCTGTAATACACCGTCTAAGTCCAATTCTAATTTCGTATAATCTTTGTTCACAATCTGTTTAATCTGAGAAGCCAATTTTAGAACAAGTGAATACCCTTCGCCATTACCATCATCATAAATGCTTGTATTGACCATAATACTGTCAGTATCACCATATATAACTTGAAGTTTAGTCTCATCTTCAACTTTTAATTTAGTTTTCTGCAAGATTTGGCGTCCATAGAATGTAATAATTGACGCAAGATCTTTTGCATAAAATCTAGAATTTTTGTATCCTAAACATCCATAAAGAGAATTCGCAGTAAGCTTCAATGCAAGTTGTCGTATTTCAAGTTGAATCTTTCTTGTACTAGATGGCATATTTTTAAGAATTTCTTTAATATGACGCCTCCTTTTTACAAGGCTTTCCAAAATTCCAGGAAGTATTGTATTATCAAATTGATTTGAGCTAGAACCTCTATCAATTAAAGAGCTGCCTTCAGCATCTTCTGTTGTATCTGATCCCAATTTAGTGGGTTCACGTGTTGTAAAACAAATCTTAAATTCCTGAATAATTGATGGGTACAACGAGTTAAAATCTAGTAAGAGTATAAATGAGTCATATAACCCCGTAACTGGTTCCAGCACTAGACCACCGGAATAAGTTTCTTCTTTTTTTGAATGATTATCTTCTTTATCAATTTCAGACAATAAAGAGTCTTCTGCTCTGATCTTATATTTCTGGCTACGTTGGATACAGTCAGGTGTTACAAATTTTCCTTTATGAAACTCATGGAGTAATAAATATTCATTTCTCTCTGCCCTTAAAAAAAGTAGACTTTTTGACCAAAGGAAACCTGCTAAATTCGTTAGCTCCCTAGTTAAAGGTAACACCTGTAGGTGGAATAGTAATTTGAACACTCCTACAGAAACTAGTAAATCTCTAGTAAGAGATTTGCTAATTGTTTCAAAACTCTTGTAAGTTTCTAAATAATAGGCTTCTGCTGAAGCAGATCTCATTATTGAAGCTTTTTTTAATTCTAAATCTTGGGGGAAAACTTCTGAAAAAATGGAATTTAGCTGATAATCAATCCTACTTTTCATAAACTCTCTGGATGATAGGCATGTATCACATATTATGCGTCCCTGAAAGACCGATTGTATTCTTTTTGTACTTGAAAGTGACTTAATACTTTGTTTTTGGTTTTGTACGGAAGTAAATATCTTTCCCAATTTCCAGAAATTAGGGACACCTATATTTACCATTCTACTTACCAACACATCTAAATGGTCAGTCCAAATATTATGACCGACAACAATATCGGGGTCTAACTGTGAAAACGAAGTAACAAATGCTAGTAATAAAGATCTCTCCGTTGAAAAATACTTAATCCCCGATTTTTCCATTTTTTCTTCTGAGCCAATTGGAAAAGGAGAAGAGGCATGCCTCCTGATTCCAGTCCAAGTATGAATATCTACATTTCCTGGTGCCCTTCTTTTTTTTAGAATTTCAGAAGAATTTATTTCATCCCATTGTGCATCATCAATATTTACATTCTTTATTGTAATCATCGAAATACTGTATATTTCTGGGTTGTTAGAACCATTAGAAGGCAATCTTGAGCATACATTTAAACAGGTAATAGTTAACAATGGTGAACTTGTTAGTATTTTTTCGAAATTACTGTTTTCTGCTTTTTGTACTTTATTTGAATCATCCATTTTATTACAGTTAGAATTAATTGCCCACGGCCGAATAGTTTTCCAGTTAGGAACGTGTATTTCAAGCCTACATTGAGATTTTCTACCTCCTCCAACGGGTACTAATTGATACGGTTTTGATATTATTAACCAAGAAGGCCCTTTTATTTCTCTTTTAATTATAAAATTTTCGGTTAAACTTGTGTTTAATCCAAATATATGAGAGAACGTTTCTCCAGATAAATTTAAAGGTAGTGAAGGATTTTTTGAAGAATATATTAACTTTAAAAACGGTTGGTTTGGACCGTATTTTACATCTTTCTGAGAAAAGCAAAAATTTCTAACGACCGGCTTCATCTGTATCTTTGGAATTCGATATTCCTTTCTAATCTCTAAAATTTCTTTTGCAACATTCTGCGAAACTGATATAGGATCTGGGTGGTTAGGAGCGCTTTCTCTTGGGTATATATATAGAGATCTCCACGTTTCTTTGATTACAATACAACAACTTTCAGTATTGATGGTTTTATTATCATCCAAATAGTTGTCTACTGTCATAATTTTGCCAAACAAATATAGCTCACCTGTTCCCAAATCTTCAGTTACCTCCATCAAATAAAAATTTAAGCTTCCCTCTTCGCTAGTATATACTTGAGTTTGAATTCCAGAAGGTTTTTTCTCTATTTTATTTATTGGCTCTTCCCCAAACTTCATATATTTACAATCTCTGCCTTGGATTTCTTGTTCTTCTATATATTCATTTTGATTCACTTCTAAATCCTGATCTTTTATAACATTATCAGAAACAAAATGCTCATTCTGTTCATAGGATGGGTTTTGTTCCATTGATTCTTCTTCATCAATAGCAAAAGTGTTTTCGCAAAGATCGGAATTAGTAAGTTTATTCAAAGTATCAAGTTGAAACATATCATGTGCTTTCATATTCTTCTTATTCATCTCAAAATCTTCAGGGCCATATTTCTCATTTTCTTCGCCCTCCATATCTATATCTTCAAATAAACTATCATCAAAATCTTTGAGAGCAGATAAAATGTCCATACTTTTTGATTTCGCTTCATGTTTTTGCTCGGTTTTTAACTCATTTCCCCTATGCATTTCTTCTGGAATAAACTGAAACTGTTTTAAAATTGAGCTTCCTTCGTTAAGACCTTTTTTAGTATGTTCCTTTCTCCTTTTCCGATCGTTCCTCTTCCCCTCACTTATTTCTGAGGGAAGCGGAATATAATTATCCATCAAATCTCTCCCATCATCTTCATAACCAATTCCATTGTCATCTACAACAAAGTTGCCGGACCTTCTCTCTTTAATAATGTTCTGGTACACTTCCTCATCAACCTCCTCGAATATATCATTATCTTTCAATGTATAAGCATCGCTTGCCTTAATCTTTCCCTCTCTAATTTTCCTTATCTCTGAAAGTGCTCCTTGAGCATTCGCAAGGCTTCTATCCCTCATTATTAAAAGAAACCTTCAAGCAATATATGTTCCTTTTCTTTAAATTACAAACCTTAACGACAGAATTCCCCACAACATAGTTATGAATTAATCCCATGTTATTACTAGTAAGTATGGCGCCAACTTTCTTTTTTAATGAAATTATTATTTTTCTATAAACTTAAGATATAAGGCTATACTGTCAAAATTCATCAGGGAAGACTCGACAAGAATTACACTTGATCAATTTTTTGTATTTACCTTAGTTGTTTGGCCCTCCTCCTCTCCTTAAAACTAATCCTCAAAGTTATTATATGAAATTAGGCATTCCAATCATTAAATACTCATGATTTGCATTCCCTGTGTTGAATTACTCAATTTTCTTTTTATACTTAATTTATATTATTCAACAAAATAATTTAACAGTAGTTCAACTATGGCGCCAAACTCGGAACTGTCGAATAATCATCTTTTACTCTAAAATGTACATTGATAATTAAACATTGATGTTAGATATATTCCTTAATGCATATTGAAAAATATGATTAAAAGGTGTTGGTATTTGGCACTATACCTTTTTATCCTTATTGTTAATCTTTACTTAGAAATCTGTTTTGCCCTTATAAAACAAGAAGCAATTTTCCTTCAAAGTGAAGCCAATGAAAACAAGAAACTTGATACTCCAAATTCTTTCGCTTTCAAAAAAAGAAGAAAACGTAGATTAAATGGTAGAAAATGTGTTTTAAAGAATCATTTTAACTGTTCAAATAATTGCAATGATGACTTAATTCGAATAATGCTTCCAGAAAAGAAGTTCAAACATGTAGAAGAAATGATTGATGATGAATTATTTGAAAAACCTAGTGGATTCACAAGAAAATATAGGTACTTAAGGTTATCTAATTCTTTGAAAGTATTTATGGTTTATGATAAGACAGCTGAAACTTCTTTTGGAAATATGCACTTAGATTTCGGATTTGCTTCTGACCCAGAAAATATTCCTGGGTTATCTAGGTACCTTCTTTATACTGTATTATTTGGGTCATTAAAAAAAAGACTTATAAAAAATTTTGATTCGGTAGTCAAAAAGTTTGAAGGTATCTTTGGTGCAACTATTCATAGAGATTGTTCAAGATACAGCTTTAATATACCCTCAAACGAATTTGAGGTTACTTTGAAATTTTTTGCAAGTATGTTTGTAAACCTATATACAGATGAATATATACACAAAGACATTTTGAATAAACTTTTGGGTGATTTAATTCAATATATCAACTTGGATTCCTTTAGACTCTCAGATGTATTGCAAGAGATTGCAATACCACCAAACACAGAAAAGAGTAATCATGATTGGAATATATTAGAATATATGCAAATTCAGCAATTAGACAAACTTAAATCCAAAAAGCTGTTACTTGAGTTTTTTAACCAATATTATCGTGCTGATAGAATGACTCTTACAATTTTATCTAATAAAACTTTGGATGAACAAACCTCAATTGTAAGAAAATACTTTAATAAAATTAGAAGAGGTGACTCCAATATTGTTACAAGGTTAAGACTTCTAGATTTGGGTATGAATCATCCCCTTTATGGATCTACAGGAAAGATTTTAGTTTTCCATTCTCTAAAAAGCTACCCTTTTATAAAATTGTTATTTCCACTTAATAATATATTTAAGCCAAAACCCAGCTCAAAACCAATGTTTTTTTTCTCAATGTATATTTCTAGTAAACGAAAAGGTAGCCTCTATTATTACTTATATAAAAATGAATTGATTACTGACATGAAAATTTATCTATCGAACTCATTATTTGGTTATTACAGCTTAATTGTAGATGTTCGCCTACAAAATTCAGGTGAACTTGCTATTATTCATATAATTCGAAGTATATTTTCAGTATTCGAAATGATGAGGAATAATCAACCAAAATTAGAATTATTTAACCAAGTAAGGGCTCTTAAAATGAAAAAATTTAAACATAAATCAAATAGTTTTATATTTAATGAATGCAGTTATATTCAGAATGCATTCTGTTTACTTAAATGTACTCCAGAAAAAGTTCTTTCTGCAAGTTCAACATATACGGAATTTAACCTAGAACTTCACCATAAGATTTTATCATATTTAAAACCTGAAAATATGCTTTTAATCGCAACATCTAGATCCAAAAAGTTGAAATCTTTAATTGAGTTTATGAGTAAAAATAGCAATGAAACAAAGATTAATCACAAATCAGATTGTAATGATTCACTAGATACTTCAATTTTAAAAGAAAATACCACTTCATGTCAATTTTGCAAAGAGCAGCTACTAACAAGCAATAACTTGACCTTTCCTTGTATTGATTGTTTCAGCCAATTGGGTGATTTAAGAGGATTCGATTACAGTATTTTGTTCGAAAATTGTTTCAATGAAAGCGAAATTATTATTTCAAACTTTACTCGTACAAATTATTTTATAAAGAAAATTCATCCCTTTTTTATTTCATATTGGGCAAATTCAGTTAAACCTTATACAGCATTTAAAACATTTGAAATTTACGATCCAGATAATAAATTTTTAAGGATTAAGGAACCTAAAAATTTTCTTTTGGGTTTTCAAGAGCAGGATGTACCTATTAGGCTTGTAGATGCAATCCAAAACTTGGGATCAAAGAGATATAATAAAATTATTAATAAAGACTTTCTAAAAGACTATCAACAAATATTTTATTTGCCTCTTCATTCAATAAATACTCCAAAGTCTTCAATCTCAATCACAATAAAACTGCCACCAAATTTATATTCTAATGAGTTACCCTTTCCATACTCACCCACAAAACTCGAAGTAATATTTTCGATGATATCACTTATGTTATTAAAATCTTTTGAAGACATAATGTATTACTATAAGAAATTGTCAACAAACTTAGATTTCTCAATCAATACACCAGTTATTTATTCTTTCTACACTTATGGTTTAACTTTGGAACTTACAGGTATAACAGATCATCTCTCGCATGCATTATCAACCATTGCATATCGTATTAAAGATTTTCCTAACACTGCGAGAAGTTCTGATCTAAATGTTGCAAAGAACTATTACCTGGGGCATATTAAAAACAATAATTTGGACCATCTACCTGCAGTTCAATTTCAATCTATATTAAAGGCTCTTTTGTTCAACCAAAATTTAACTTCTTGTTCGATAAATAATGAAATTGAGAAGATAAGATTACACGAAGTTACCAGTGTTGTTGATTTTCTTGTAAAAAATGGAACATTTGAAGGTCTTGTCTATGGAAATATTAATCCTATAAAAGTAAGAGAACTATTATTGTTATTTTTTATTAATATTGGGAGAACCTCAAATAAAGAAGAAAATTTCAACAAAAAACAAAACATCTTTTTAAAAATGTTTTCATTGTTTAAGAATTCATTTTTCAATTTTTTCAATTCTATAAGGTCTACTATCAATCAATTAACTGGGAATTTGACCGTACAAAGTGAGCTACCAGAACATTTAAAATCTGTGCCTACGCAACATATGACACAAAATACCTTGAGAGATCTTCAAGTCATTGATTTACTTTCATTTAAAGAAGGTTCTAGCTTTGTTTATTTTGGAAAGCCGAATTTTGATTTTTTCCAATTTCAAACAATAGTTTTGAAAATATGTTTCGGATATTTTACAGTTGAAGTTGAATCACTGGTTGATATTCTTGTAGAGACTATACTCAACAAACATCAAGATAAGCTCAAAATTGAAAGAGGCAGGATATTAATTACTATTAAAAGGAATATTTTCTCAGATGGAATTGTTTCTATTGATATTAGAGTCACTTCAAAAAATATGTTATCTGAGTTAATTTTATACATCATGAAATTGTATGATGACTTGATTGTTAATAATTCTGGCATCACATACGAAGACTTTATTTCGACAAAAAAATCTTTGGTTAAATCTCTTTCGAATAATTCAAGTTATGATAGAATTATTAACTTTAAAGAAGAAATCCGTCTAAAAAGGTATCAATTCAACAGAAAAAAAGAAAAAGTTGAATTTATCTCTAAATTAAATTATTCGAATTTTCTCAAATGGTTTAATGCACAACCACCAAAAGTTATTAAACTTTTATTTGTTATTCATTCACCCAGTACTAGCGAAAAGGAAATTTTGAAAGCAAACAGCAATATTCCTCTTGAATTTAAAAGAATAAACTCCACTGACTACTTCTTTAAACAGAACAACACAAGATCATTTAATCCTTCTCAAATATATAATTTAAAATGACTAAAGTTTGGCATTATAAGTTTATTAGTTTTGACTTTTTTTACTTTGCAGCAATTCACTAATCCAGCAAGTTAAAAATTTGTTCTTGGATTTTATTTAGTTAAATATACCTATTTTATTATAAATTTATCAAAACTATAATCTTAGTTTTTTCTCTCTTTTTTATTCTACTTGCTTACTACTCACTCGAAAGTAATACGAACTTAGAAATTATAGCTCGACCTAATCCTAATCATATAAAAATAAGAGTTTTAGAACGACTTTAAGCAACTAAAAATTTAACTAGTATAAAAAATGTTCCGAATTGAGATTTAATAGTATTCATAATAAATAAATTTGGCGTGGTATTATCTTACATCTACAAGTTAATATTCTGAATTTTTTAATGAATATATCAAGAATATTGGCGCAAAATATTTGACCTTGAAAAAATTCATTTGTTTTTTTTTACAATGAAAATCGCGACAGAAAATATGTTTATGCAAATTCTACTCTTATTGGTATCGTTTTTGTTTTTTCAATTAAACTCATCAGTATTGGTAAATGGGTCGACTATCAATTCAAGAAAGCCGGAGAAAACCATTAATATAAAAGAAACAAACGAAAATTTTTATTTTGAAGCTTTTAATGATGAAAAATTCACTAAACCATTATTATCAGACAAAAAGTTTAGGTTTATTAAATTGAAAAATGAATTAGAGGTTTTTTTAATTTCCCAAAACAATACAAAAAATGCTTTTGCTAGAATGGGCGTCAAGGTGGGAGATTATATGGGTCCGTATTCTCTCCCTGGTCTGGCTCATTACTTGGAGCATTTATTATTTATTAACACAAAAAAGTATCCAGAATTAGATGGATTTATGAAATTTTTAGCTTTACACAAAGGCTATACAAACGCTTATACTGCAGAAACTGAAACTGTATACTTATTTAATACTGAATCTTCTTCTTTTGAAGAGGCCCTTTCGAGGTTTTGCGAATTTTTCAAGTCACCCTTATTTGACGATACGTATACCGAAAAAGAGCTTATGGCAGTTGAAAATGAATTCAACTATCGTAAAAACTTACAAGAAATACGTTCATACCAAGTGTTGTTGGAGCTTGTAGATGAAAGAAGTATTCTATTCAAAAGGTTTGCAATTGGAAACTTGGAAACTTTGAGAACAATTCCAGAGTCCCAGGGGATTAACGTTAGAGATGAAGTGATTAAATTTTACGAAAGAGAATACAGTTCTAACAGAATGGTATTAGTTTTGGCAAGCAATCATAATTTAGATGAATTAAGTTATTTTGCTAATAAATACTTTTCAGATATTGAAAATAAGAATCTGCCGGTGAATTCAGTTAAAATCCCAATTCAAGAAAATTTAAATCCATTCAATACAATGATAAACAAATTGGTACTTATAGAATCTATAGATGAATTTACGAATTTGAAATTGATATTTCCAATGAAGGAGTATATGATTCAGCATATATATAAAGACAGACTTTTGTATCTTGATAAGTTAGTTACTTCTGACAGAATTGGAAGCCTTGGTCATTTTTTAAAGTCTAAAAAATTAATATTTGCTGTAGTTTCAGCGATAAATGATGATAATTTGGGATTTACAAACGTAGAAATTACTTTTTCTCTCTCTAATAGTGGAGAAAAAAATATACCATTCATTTTAAAATCATTTTTCTCTGTGTTAAAATTTGCAACTATTAATAAATTTTCTAAGGAGATTTACGACGAAAAGAAAAAGATGCTTAATAATTTTTTCAAATATGGAGATTTATCATCAATTGATGTAGAAAGTGAAACCGTTCTTAATAATTATTTATATTATGACTGCAAACCAGAACATGTTCTTTATTGTCACATGTATCTTGAAAAATTTGACCCAACTGTCTATCAAGAAATATTTTCCCAATTGATTCCTGAAAATCTAATAGTAGTTTTGGAGTACTCTGACATACAAGATCTCATCAATAACACAGATCAATCCAAACTTAATCATTTTTGTAACTCAGATTTTTCTATAGAAATTGAAAATGTTGATTACAGCGATTCAAACCATGGTCTTGAAACATTAATTAATTCTAGCATATCATTGGATGATATTAGAGTTGAAAGATTTATTAAAAACAAATATTTAACAAAGCCATTGAATTCTTGCTTATTATCATTACTATCTAATTCTAATCATACTTTTGCATCTGAAAAGTGTGGTATTACTTTACCTACATTAAACCCTTATCTTCCAAATGATTTCTCAAGCAATTTTGATGGCGTTAATGAAGAGAAAGTGCCAATTAGACTTTCTGAAGCAATTCAAAAATTCCAAACTAACAACAAATCTTTTAATATCACTCAGAAAGAACTTCAAAATTATAGTGGGTTTTTTTATTTTCCAACTAAGAATATCAATTCTTTAAAATCAATTATTCAATTTAGATTCATTTTTCCACTAGATAAAGTTTCTAGTGAATTTTTAGAGTTTTCACCAGACACAGTTGGAATCTATTTGCTTTTCCAATTATTCTCACTTTTATTCAAAAATGAATTTTCAGAGCGTTTTCACGATATTGAATCTGCTTTATATGATGCTTCAATTGATATTTCAATATTCGTATTCAACCCTAACAAAGCAAACCAATTAATGTTCAGATTAGCTGGGTTTACAGATCGAATCGAAGAGATTGCTTTTAATTTACAAGTTTTTATGTCGAATTTTCTCACTTATATCACCGATTCTGGCTTTCAATTAAAAAAGGAGATTCTCAGAACTACTATTAAAAACACAATTTCAAATCCAGAACTTATCGATGATATTTCGTACATAAACAATAAAATATTCTTGAATCAGGATTACTCTTACGAAACTCTTCTTTCTCGTCTGGAAATGATAAACTTTTCTGAGTTTATCTATTTTTCAAAATTCTTTTTGAAAAATTGCAAATTAGAGGGATTTTTACTTGGAAACTTAAATCCAATGCAATCTTTAAAAATAATCAATAAGTTTTCATCTGTGTTTTTACTTAAAAACGGTAATTCAAAAAGTAATTCAGAAAATTCTTTTATTTCATCAGTGATTTATGGAGCAAAAAATTCCAAAAAATATCTTGACTCTATCTATGCTTTCCTTTCTAACGTTTTTGCCGGAAAAACTGAAACTGAAGATCAAGGCTACTTTGAATTACCAGAGCATTTAAGATCTTCCTTACCTTTATTTGGCTCTCCAAACTCAATTGAAAAACTCCAAACATTAGATCCCCTCTCTCTTAAAAGAGGTTCTAAGTTTTATTATTACCATGTCTCAAAATCAAAAAGCAACATAAATAATTCAATATTCATGAAAGTTATAATTGGGTACAATTACCTTAAGAACCATATTCTTACAAGCATTCTAAACTCAATGATTTCAGATGAATTCTTTACTGAAATTCGTACAAAAAGGCAACTAGGATATGTTGTAAATGTAAAAAAAAAAGATATTTTAAGTCAGGAATCTGAAATTGACTTTCTTGTTATTTCCTCCAACAAAAATATACAAATTTTGTCAGAAAATGTACTTGAATTTTGGGATGAGTGGTTTTCTCCAGAATCAACTGGTATCACAGAGACCTCATTTAATACTGTTAGAAAATCAATGATTGAAACTCTTAAGACCCCATTAATAAATATGATGGCTGTTTTTTCCGAGTTTTCATTCACAATTGAAACTAAAGCATACGACTTTAACTGGAGAAATAAAGCTATTGATTATGCTGAAAAACTCACATATAGCGAATTCTTCAATTGGTTTAAAAATATTTACAACAATTCAAACATATTTTTGTATGCTATTCAATCATCTAATTACGATAATGATATTCTTAATAACCTATCCAACTACGTTCCCCAAAACTTCACCAAGCTCACTCCATCTGACTCATTGTTTAATCATACAAATATCAGAACATATAACCAATGGAAAATTTTTAATGCAGTCTAAAGTTTAATACTCAAGTAGCTCACATCTATTTATGTTTTTTATTTCTAGTTTGGTATTTTTCATTAATTTGTCAAAATTATTTTGTTATACTTCTTAACATTAGTATTTAAATTTATTAGAAGAAATGCCAAGCAAAAATGGTAAAAAAACCATAATTCTGTATTAAAACTTATACTACTTGGTATAGAAATTATGTGAATTCACGCTTTAAAATTGGCACTAGATCGAATTAGTTCTAAGGACTTTAGAAAGAGATTGTTATTAATATTAGTTTCATATATTTATTTTCGAGACTTGTACAGATTCAATCTTTTAGTTTGCAAGATAATTCTCACTAATTTGTGCGCCTAAATTTTGTCAAAAGGCGAATGTCATATAATCATAAAATATTCATTTTATTAAGTAGGTATTACATATGTGCATAATATGTTGCCTTCACTACGTTTAATCGTTCTCTTTATTCCGCTTTTTTTCATTCATTATTTCCTATGTTTTTCAAATGAAGAAATTCTACCATTTAACTTTACAGATGTAAGTTCCAAAGGTAACGAGATATTTCAAACAGACAAAGTTAACATCACTGACAAAGAGGAAACCAAAAATGAAAATTCTGATATTATTTATGAAACCTCAGTTTATTTTCCATCAATAAAACTAATCAATGACCAATCATTTAAGATCGTTAAACTAAGTAACAACATAGAAGTGATTTTAAATTCAGTTCCAAAAATGGATGAATGCGAAATTTCAATTTTAAACAGAGTAGGTTCTGTGCATGAACCACTTGATTTACATGGGCTAGGATTTTATTTGATGAATATAATGGTTTCTACTTCTAAAAACAATCCAAGCTCTGGACTTTATGACTTTTCTATGGATAATTCGATTTCACTTAATTATCAACCCTACTCAACATATTCAATATTTGACATTATAACAACCACAAAATTGTTTGAGAACACATTAAAACACGTTTCTGAAATGTTTAAAACCCCTATTTTTTCTGAAGAAGTTATGGAAAAGGCTTTTAATCTATTGGAAAAGAAAAATTCTGAAAATAATCATCTAGTTAATAGCCATTTGAGTAATTTGGTTCTTTCAGATCCAAAGAGTATTTTTAGCAGAAATAAGTATGGAAATAGAAACACCTTAAAGACTGTTCCACAATCAAAAGATATTAACGTGAAACAAAGCTTGATCAAATTTTTTAACGAGCAATACAGCTCCAACAAGTTAATATTAAGCGTAAAAAGTGCACTTTCAATAGAAACTATGCAAAACTTAGTTAAGAAGTACTTTATTGATATCCCAAATAAAAAATTACCAATAAATGATCAACACAAACCATTTCAAAATTTTTCCATAAACCCATTTTCCTATTCTGTTGGAAAGATATTGTTTAGTATTGATGATAATAGCCAAACTTTGGAGCTGATATTTCCACTGAAAAATTATTTGTTGCCATATATGAAATCTGATCCCTTATTTTTCATAAAAGTATATATTTGTGAAAATAGAGATGGATCTTTAATGAGATATTTAAATCAAAAAAAATACATTTCAAATATGGTTTGTATCGTTAAAAATAGTTTGTTTGGTTTTACAAATGTTCATTTCGTTTTTTACTTAAACAATAGTGGTGCATTCAATATTAACAACATTATTAGAGCTTTCTTTTTTGCAATAAATAAAACTAAAGAATTGAAATTGGATTTAAATTTTTACAAAAAAACTAAACAAGAGCATATAGAAGGAATTCAAGCCTCGGCTAAATATTTTTACAGTTTGAAATCCTACATATTATTAGACAATTATTTCAAATATAAAACCTCTACATTTAAATCTTTATTATTAGGAGTGAATGAGTTTTCAGATTTTGATAATAATCTTCATAGACAGGTTTTAATGGATATTAAACCAGAGAATTTGATTATTGTACTCAATTCTGATTCTGGAAAAGCAAGTATTGAATATAGTGGGGGACTTAATTTATTTGAACAAAGTATTACTGAACAAAATTGCTCTAAATACGAACAATTTTTAAAAGAACAGAAATCATTTACATATATTGCGTTAACAAACATTCTCCCCAAAAACTTTAAATCAATTGTAAAAACAAATGATAAATTTAGATACATTTTACAAGAACAAAATTATTGTTTGAAAAAATATTTCTCAAATTTCCCAGAATCACTATCTCAAGAATTAAAAATTTACTATAAAGAGAGTGAAAAGCCAGTTTCAAGAGTTAGTATGGATTCATACAGTAAAGTTAAGCAATTTGTTGTTCCAAGGAAATTAAGTCAGTTACTTTCACCGAATTCCTCAAACAGAGCTGGTAATTTTTCGCAATTTAAAGATTTTTATTACTACATTCCACATGAATCACCAACTCGCAAGATTTATTTAGCTATAAATTTTTTCTTTCCTTTTGAAAATGAGAAACTAAATGTTTTGAGGTCTGCTCGTATTGCTGCAATAATACTCTTTTTTAATGAAATCCTAATTTCTTTTTCTGAAGCAATTACATCAAAATTTGCAAAATACAGTGTTGAATTTATTCCAAGTGTTTCATTACCCAAAGATTCAATAATTAATGTATTTGGCGTTTCATTAATAATTGCAGGCTTCCCAAACGTTTTTTCTAAATTATTATCAACTTTATCAACAGATTTAAATGCGTATATTGATTTAAATCAAAACTTATTCAAGGATTTTCATGAATATTTTAAGAAACATTTAGCAAGTATAATCGTTTCAAGGCAACACAACACAATACTATCTGATTTTTTAAATCAGATAAATACAAATCACAAAATATTAACAGATTCAATATTAAACGAAGCAAAAACTTTAACAATAGAAGAGGTTAGAACAGTAGTGAATGCAATTTTTAAACAAAGTCAAGTTTCCGGAGTTATTTATGGGAATTTAACTCCTTTTGATGCAGAAAAATACTTAAGCCAGCTATTTTCAGAATTCATTGGAGAAGCTCCAAAAATTAAAACTTCCAGATTTAAGACGAGGAAAAAAATAATTATGTCTTCAAGAACAAAATATTCACGTATTTTTACCAAAATAGGCTCAAGACGATCTAAAAACAGAAGGATTACTTTAACTAAAAAATTAGGAAATTCACCATTTACTAAACTAAATTTAACCAAGAAGTTAAATAAAACAAGCCGGATGACTGAAAAAAATATTTCTTCTAGATCAGAACTTTATAAGGTTTACTCTTCGAAATTTTCTAGGTCAAATTCAGAGATGTTTAAAGATCTACAAATATTAGATATGTCATCCATTAAGCCCAATTCAAAGTTTTTTTTCCAGGCATATTCAGATAATATAGCTAAGAATGTTTCCATTTTATGGATATATATAGATAAAGCTAGCCCAGAATCATTTTTATTCAGCGAATATCTTAAATATATTATTGACAATAGACTTTCTGCTGATCAAAAACATCATAATGGTTTAGTTACTCATATTAAAGATTACGTGATCTCATCAACCTCATATTTTATTTCAATAGAGGGTCGCTCTAGTAGTGAAGATTTTTTTTTAATGAACGATTTGCTATCAAGTTATGTTGATCAATTCTTTTCATCTAACTCATTAATTTTCAATGAAGAACTTTTCAAATCAGCAAAAGAATTTTTGTCAAGAAAATACAAGAAAGAAGGAGTTAATATTGACTTATCACTTAACAATTTATTTGGCGAAATCAAGAACCAAAGGTTTGACTTTGTTAGATTTAGGTCAATTGCAAACCTACTAGACGAGCTAACTTTTGAACAGTTTACTTTAAATCTCAAAAAAATACACAAATCAACTTTTTCTATCATATTTTCAATATTTAATACAAAATCTCAATCTATTGTTCCAAATGGATATACTTATTTATCAAATTTAAGTGATATTTTTAAATTTCCAGGGATTAAAACATTTAAACCAGCTTACTCTAGAGTTGACAAACAGTTATCAAAACTTCCTGAACAAAAGGACTGTTTTTATTAATTTCACTAAGTTTCAATAATTAAATTTCTTTATCATATATTGAAAAAAAATTTTATCATGACTGCAGACCGAATTTGTCAGGCCCATTTTTTTCCGAATTGTTAATACTTAGATTTAACTACTAATAAAAGTTATTTCTTAATTGGCTGTTCTATTTATTATGCAAATGTATGTAATAAATATTGTCTTGTTATAGTAAAAATACAATAATTTTTTAGCTAATAGATAAGTGCAGTACTCTTTAATATTATACTAATTCATATTATTCTATTTTATTTTAAAGTCAAATTGAGCTATTTTTTTTTATCTTTGTTTTTTTTTCTCTATAATTTGCAGTTTCAAACTGTCCAATGCTGTGCATGATGCATGTGGCGCCAAAACCACCGAGAAGATAATATGATTAAATATTTAATATTTATGATAGATCCAAATATTTTGCTTTTTGTGATAGCTCCTAGTAAATAAGTTGTTGAGAAATAATCAATTGTGGTAATTGGCTCAACAAATGTATTTCTGGATTTTTTTATTTTAATTTGCAAATACAAGATGCCAGTTGAAGAACAAAGTCTCAAATATTTGGAGGTGGTTGACGACTCTGAATTCACAAAACCAGAAGAATCTAATTTTAAATGCAGGTTTGAACAACTAAAAAATGGCCTGGAAATATTTCTTATTTCCAGTGAAAAGTTGAATGGTACTTGCGTTAATCTTCTTGTCAAAGTTGGCTCAGCTCATGAAGGATCTGAAATTGACGGATTGGCTCATTTTTTAGAGCATTCATTATTTTTGGGAACAAAGAATTTTCCAGGACAAAATGAATTTGGAAAATTTGTAAGAACTCACGGAGGAGCTACAAACGCATCCACAGATGTTTTAATGACACATTACTCATTTTCTATTCCAAACCAATTCTTAGAACCAACTTTAGAAAGGTTCTGTGAATTTTTTAAGTCACCTTTATTTTCTGAAGAGTATCTTCAAAATGAAATAAATGTTGTAGAAAGCGAATTTCTTTCGAAGACAAATAATTATTATACATTATTGGAGCATGTATTTAAACAGATTGCAGATGAAACCCATATATACAGTAAATTTTTCTATGGTAACTCTAAAACTTTGAAAAATCTTCCTGAGAAAAATGGAATTTCTCTTAGGGAAAGGACAATTCGCTTTTTTGAGGAATATTATGGTTCTGAAAATATGGTATTATTTATATTAAGCAATTTCTCTATTCAAGAGCTGTCCAGAATTTCATTTAAGTACTTTTCAAGTATTAGATCTTGCACTAGATTATCTCCAAAACCAGAATCCTTATCTTTATACCCAGAATTTCCATATTTAGGTGTTTCAAGGAAACTAGTAAAAATTCACCTAAATACAAATAAAAATGAACTAATGTTGATATTTCCATTACCTAAAAAAGAGTATGGATTATCAAGGATTTTTACTAAATATTTATCATTTTTTCTTTGCCCAAAAACAGGAGAAGGGCTACTAAATGATATAATTCAAAAAAAACTTTGCTATAACATATCATTGAGTGATACGTATTCTCAATTAGGGTTTTCTTACATCGCAATTATCTTGTCTCTATCAGAACAGGGAATTTTAAATATGAAAAAAGTTATCTTGTCTTTATTTTCAGCATTTCAGATTGTGAAAAAAACTACATTGATTGACGAGTATATTCAACGAATCTCAAATAAAGATTACCTTGATTTTCTTAAAATTGAAGATATTCTGCCATCAATACCGGCATTAGAATTACTTAAAGTATATTATATGACAAAAAGTACTCCACAAAATTTATTTTCGGCTTACTATTTTACACCTCAATTTTCACAACAAGTTTTTGAAGATTTTATGAGCTATCTGAATGTTGAAAAGATGGTGGCAATCATAATAGGTTCTCAAATTGAACTAGATACACTAATTAAACAAAAAATTATTCAAAAATCAAACTATAAAGATTACTTAAATAAAAAAAAACATTTTAAAGATTATATCGCGAATATCATCCGTTCAGGATACATTGGAAATGTAGAAAGTAAGTATTTGTTAACGGAGAAACACTTTAAAACAAATTATTCTATATGGGACTTTTCAGAGAGAATGTTATCTTCCATTTCAGAAATCAAAGTAGAATCGGGAGTTGACTTTAGTAATGTTCCTTTACCAATGCAAACTATAGCTCTACTTGATTCAACAAACATTAACAAAATGAACATAATCCTTAAACCTCCTTTATTGCTTGATATTGCCTATCAGTTTGAAAAACTCAAACTTTCAGGAAAAAAAGACTTTCCGATATCTAGAAATCTAAAAATTTCAAGTATCTGGAGAGGATTATTCTATATCCAGATCCCTAGAAACACATTTTCTAGTTCTTTTTTTGTATTTAGATTGGTAATTCCTCCGTTGTTTGGAAAAAAGTCATTTGACCAATTTTCTGAAAGTGGTTTTTATATTAGAAATATGTACCACTCTTACGCCTTAACACAATTATTTGCCGAGTTAATTAAAAAAAAAATTAATTTGAGCTTTGATAAATTATCTAAAGAAGGAACATTTTTACAAATATACCCAACATATCGTAGCCCATATCCAAACTATGCTATAGGAATTGAGTATTATTTATATGGAAAGCTAGACAATCTTTCTAAATTTATGCATGAATTATCTCATACACTGAAGAATATCTGTAAAATAAAAAGTGAAGAGTTTGAAGTAATCAAGGAAGAAACAATAGGAAAACTTCTTTTAATGAATAGCCAGTTATTATACAGGGACTTAATTTGTGGGGCCGAAAATGAGGTTTTAAATACTGGATTTATAAATAATAAAAAGTTTCTTAATTTGGTTAATAAAGTTAAGATGAGTGAGATAATTGCATTATCCATTTTTTTTCGAAAAAATTGCATTTTTGAAGGAATATTTGCAGGTAGCACCCCTATTCATATATTTAAAGCAGTATTGGACGACTTTATCTCAAATTTAAGGGGTCTAAAGTTTTCAGAGATTAATAAACCTTTATTTTATGTTAAAGATAACCCGGATAATGATAATTATTTTAAATTTTACTATAAAAAAATCTTTTTTATACAGAATGAGGATTCACATATATATACAAAAAAGAAGGCTAATTACAATGGTTTTGATTTGATTGACTTGTTTTCAATACCTCCAAACAAAAACAAGATTTATTACTTAACAAAAAATATTAAGAGCAAACATAATTTGATTAGACTTTCTGTTTTCTTTAAAAAGGAAAGCCCTATAACATTTTTCAAACTCCAAATGATCAACCAAGTATTTTTTGACATTCTTTTCGAGCATGTTAGACAGAGAAAACAAATTGCTTATGAGTTTAACTCTGAAGTATGCGAAGTATCAGATAAAATGCTTTCTTATTCATTTATTATTCAGACTGATAATCACACTATTATGAGTACTACACTCACATTATTAGAATGTTTAAAGGAGTTGTCACCAAAAATTATAAACGAGGAGCTTTTTAAGGTTGTTCTTCTTGAAAAAATTGAGTTTTTGGAACAAGGGGACTCAGTACTCATGGGGATTAATTCATTTATTACAAACACTTTTAATAGAACATTTAACTACAAATTAAGAGAGGAAATTTTAGAAAATCTTCGCTCTTTGAGCTTTATTCAGTTCCAAAGCTGGTTTTCTCTTTCTCTTAAAAATGCACCAATATTAATTACTGCTTGTATTTCAGAGAATGCAAACAGTTCAGATAGAAAAATAAGTCAAAAATTTATTCCTCCTGGTTTTACAAAAATTAAAAAACCCATGGAACTTTTTAAAATTAACAAAGTCAAATCATATTATATTTACCAGAGGATTTTTAATTAATTAGGCAAAAAATGCATTGATATTTATTCAATAAATTTTGTGTTCAGCCGTTTATTTTAGTCTAGAACAATGGATTATTAGTATTGAGTTTCGATTAACTGGAATTATAGAGTTTCATATTAAAAGGAAAGCTGCATTGTAATTATTTGAAGCTCAAACAAATTAATATTTGATGCTTCCACTAGCAGCTCATAAATCCAAACTAATGCAATGCATGAATAAATTAACAATTTATATTTCTCCGTTATTCTTTGAAATAATGTATTTTTCTCAATTTAATTTGTGTAATCTAAATATTAATTAGTTTTGATTAGATATAACTTTGTGTCACTTTATAAATATATATATTTTTACAAGAATGCGAGCTCATAATTTGAAGTTCGAATCAATAAAGATGAGTTAAAGCAATTAGTTATTAAGTAGAATGAATACAAAATTCAAATTATTGAGCATAATACTCTTACTAATCCAAAGGTTCAGTAACAAAAACCTGGTAAAAAAACAAAAATATGCTACTGAACTGAACTTAATGGAATTTGGTCAACAGGGAATATTGGATGGTGGGAGTGAAGAGTTTATCTCAGAGGAAAAATTGAATAACTTAATTGGATTATTAAAGAAAAAGAGATATAATTCCAAATTAAATGAAATAACAGTAGGAGATATTAAGATCAGGATTGTTTCCAGAAAAAACATTAATTTCACTAAAATAGTACTGGATGTAGAATTTGGTAATCAGTTGAACCCTTTGTATTACAATTCAATTTCAAGTTCAGATCGTTGTTTGTTAATGCTTAGTAAGCATTTTCAGATTCATCTTCGGCAAGTTTTTGAAAACTACCTTTCCAGAACAAGTTTTTTAAGTTCCGAAAGTCATGTTTATTTTGGAGTATCAAAATACTATTTGGAACCTAAGAAATCTAGCTTAAAAGAAATTGAGTTAATTCTTAATTATGTTTCAATATTCTTCAGTAGAAATATCATAAACTCAAGTAACATTCTTGTAAACTATCTTTTAGATCTTCAAATAAATGGGAACAAATATTTTATGCCAAATAATTACATGAGAAACCTATTTTTAACTGTATTGGATGATAAATTTAGAGGCAATAGTAACAAAGCAGACAGTTTTAGGGATATTTATGGAGATTTGAAAATGTGTGCTAATGTTAAGAACGTAAAGGACTTTACAAGGAAATACGGACATTATTTTAAAAGGAGAATTAGGAATGTAGAAATTTTGTTAAACAAAGAAAAAATTAATATACATAAGTTAGAACGAATTATCCATCATACATTTAGGAAAATTCATGTTTCAAAAATAGGTTTTGACCATTTAAAAATCTTAACAAAGATTAATCCCTTTTCAGAAATAACAAAAGGAATTCTTCAAATAAATAGTAATAGAGTTGATAACAAAGTTACGTTGATGTTTCCATTATTATATCAATTTAATAAAAGAACTTCAGAAATAACTCAAATTTTGGACAGTATTTTGGCTTATAATAATACATTGATTGATAGTTTAACAAAACAAAAGTTGGTTTTAAATTATAACTATGAATTTGAACACAACAGTGAGAATATGTATACAAATCTATTGCTAAACTTTATCCTAGACAAATCCTTAAATTCCAGAGAAGAATTACTAATATTTAATCTGATTAACTTAATTGAGATTTGGCTTGAAATATTGAATGCTTCATATTTGAATAAAACAAGCTTAAGTAGCAAAAATATATTAAATTCAGTTGAACCTGGCTTACAGTTCGAAAATACACTGTTTAAATGCCTAAGTATTGATAACATGGTAATAATAATTTATAGTAACAAACCTATATCGATTAATGGTGTGGATATATTAAATTTAAGCGTCAAGATCAACGAAAATAAGTACTGGTACTTCATTAGAAAGTTGCATTCTATTTCATATTTAATACGTAAACACTTTTTGCCTAAGCTCGGAATTAAATATTTAATGCAAAAAGAAGATTATTATTTCAGTACGAAATATGTGTACAACAGTATCCCTTCATCCTTAATTAGATATTTCCAACAGAAGTACCCCAAAATCAATGAGTTATCGTGTTAATTCGAAAAACAATTTATAAGAATTCAGAATTACTTCAACAAAGATATTGACGTGATCTTCTATCTAAACAAGGTAATTATGGTCAAAAAAGATTAGGATATAAAGTTAAAATACTTAGAAAGTGATGATTAAATAAATATTTGTTAAATATTTAACAAAGAATTTTGAATTAGTGATGAATTTAAATGAACATGCTCAGTTAAGTATTAATTTTGTTTTGAGATATGTAATATATAGCTAATGTCTAAATTGTTTGGCGCCAATACTAATTAGATTTTTGGTTATATAAAACCGAAACAAAAATCAAAATAGAAAACAAGCCAATTAGTTAAGGAAACCTATTAAGTGATCTACTGATCTCAATTATATAAAGCCGTATGAATAATGTGTAATTTAGCTTTTCCATTATTAAATCCAGGTATCAGAAGTCTAGCATATTGTTTTTAAATTAATATGACAATTAATAGTAAAATTCCTAAACTTTTGAAAATGGATAGCCTTTTGGACTTCTCATTATTGACGTTAATTTTTATTTTATACTTAAATTTTGCGAGTTGTTTTTTACATGGGCAGAAATTTGATCTAAATGACACGTCTATTGGAATTTCGGAGTTTGTTTCGAATGATACCTTTGGCCATATAACTTCCTACAGCCCATTTATATTGGATGACTTTAAAGACATCAATTCCTTCTCGCAGATGCGATCAATTTACTATGATATCAACGATTTTGAGGAAGTTAATAATGACGATTTTGTCAGAATGGCCAATAAAAATGGTGAATATAAATTTGTTACCTTAGAAAATAAGATGAAAGTATTTTTAGTTTCAAAGCCTATCCTTTATAAATCTTCAATTTCAATAACAATAAGGTACGGTGCCTTTAATGAACCATTGAATATGAAAGGATTATCCGTTTTATTGAAGAATCTAATTATTTCTAAAATCAAATTTAAGACTAACAGGAGAATTAATCCTCTTTATTTCAAAGACTTAGAGAATACGATAGATGGAAGAGTATATGGCCACGGTACAGAAATTAATATTGAGGTCTTTAATGAGGAATTTGTGGATGTTTTACATACTCTTAGTGAAGTTTTATCCAATCCTTTAGAAATAGATTTAAATACATTATCATTCTTAAGGAAGGTTACAAGAGAGGAAATTAAGGCCAAATGTGTTTCAATGGATAATTTGAAGTGTATTTTGATAAATGATGATTTTTGTAAAAAGTCAGGATATGAGTATTTATATGCACTAACTGATACAAAAGTAAATACAAAGGAAGAATTTAAAAGAGGATATAGAATTGGAGCAAATTCTAAAATGGCGGACGAATTTTCAGATGAGTATAGTAATTTGGATAGCATGTTGAATGAACATTTTAACAAATATTATTGCAGTAATTTAATGACCTTAGTTATTGTATCAAATGAAAATATGCATGATCTGTTGTTATTGGTTAAGAAATTTTTTGAGAAAATTAGGAAATCTTATTTGAGTGTGGATGAGTTAAAGAAGGCATATACCTTTAATGAAAACCCATATTTAAAACATGTGGGAAATGTAGTCGCAATTAAACAAAGTTCAGAAAATCTGGAACTAAAGTTAATATTTCCTATTCCATATCAGAAAAATTTATGGAGGTATAAACTTACTGAATATATTTCATTTTATTTGGATGATGAATCTGAGGAAGGACTGATTGGGGTCTTAAGATCAAAAGGATGGATTAGTTCATTATCTTCTGGTTGTGAAACTAATGAAAATGGCTACTCGAATTTTGTGGTCCTCATTACTTTGCAGAAAGAAGGGATCCGACACATTATGCAGATACTTGAAGCCTTGCTTTCAACAATTAAACTGATTTCGAAGCAAGACTTTTCGGAGGAGACACTATCGCATATAAGGGATGAGTCTTCTATTGAGTTAAAGAACTTATATTTGGATCTTGATACTGACCAAGCAAGTTTTGTTTTGAGGTCATACTTAGAAACTGGTTGCTTTCCTAAATATGTGTTGGTTGCTCCTTTTATAATGGATCGGGCCGAGGGGAAGCATATACAAAAACTTTTAAATTTTATTAGAGCAGATAATATGGTTGTATCATATCCCGTCAAGTCGTTGAATAATGGAGCTTCCTATTATCTAATGTTAAGCGAATCCTTTATAAATTCATTCATATTCAATTTTGAGAAAGTTGTATTTAAGGCATTTTACAATCTCTCCAAATTCTTTTTAAATTGGTTTGGGGTGTCTTCGGAACAGGTTACTTTTAGATTTTATAAGAAGCTCCACTATTCTGAGGAAATAATACCACATTATTTACAAAAGAAACTTTCTAATATTAATGAAAAAATTGCTTTGGAGAAATTGAAAATTCAATTGTTTGATCCTTCACTTGAAAGTTATACTCAAATGTATGTCAATGAAAACTTAAGAATTTTGGGCCATCCAATAACTTTAAGGGAAGCAATGAATGACAAGCTACTTAATCAAGGTAGATTTTTTGGTAATATTGAAACTGAAGATTTAAATTTGAATTCTTCTCAACATATCGAGGATCATTTTTTTAAGGAAAAGAATATTTTGCAAAATTTGAATAGAAAAAAGCTTTATGCTAATAAATTTGAATTAAGTGACAATAATGATTTAGTTGGGCATAAACAAAGAAACTATAGCAGTAACTTATTTATGAATGATCTTAAAAATAATAATGGGGAAGAAAATGCTGAATATATAGAAGGGTATAAGAGAAATAGAAAGGATCATATTAAAAACAAAGAAATTGACCATTCATATCCTCAATTCGATATGGACTCGATATTCTATATGCCCTTACATAATAAGTTACCAACATTGTCGATTATATTTGATATAACTATTCCTTCAAATTTACATAATTCTACGGACCTATTGTTGCTTAATATGAACAAGCAAAAATTAGTAATGCTTTCATTCCTTTTTAAGCATTCAATGTCTTTATCTTTAGCTAATGTTAATCCCGATGGAATAATTAAAACGGAGAACTATACGGATTTTTTAAACATGAGTGTTCTTCCTGGATTTCAATTTACATGGGATGGTAATACAAAATATTTCGAAGATTTCTTCGTAAACCTGATTTGCAACTTAGTAAATTACAGAGAAATTTTAACAAATTCATATTTTGAACAATCTATTAATGCACTAAAAAAATTGTTGGCAAAGCTAAGCTATACTAGTAATGAGGAATACTCTTTAATTCAGTTACTAGAGATAATGTATTTAGAAAACACTAAATTATGGTCATTAGAAAATGATGTGAAGCATTTAACTCTTGAAGATGTCAAGACTTTTGGCAAAATTCTCCTTAAATATGGTGAATTTCATGGCGTTGTCATTGGAAACTGCACTCCATATCAAATTTATAGTCGAATAGATAAATTTATAAAGCTTATTAGACCTTCATCAAAATTATTAAATACATTTGAAAGGGCAACCTCAGGAAAATTGAGTATGATTTTCGGTACTCAAAGCGGTGGATGGATATCTGACAAAGATTTAACTGATGAAATGATTAAAAGAAGTTATATGGGACCTATCTTTATGAATACTGAGAACAAAGGAAATCCACTTGGCAATAGATTTATTAATATGAGTCTTTTGCCTCCAATTTTTCATAAAAATTATTTTTTTAAACGGAGAATTTCAAGCTCAGACCCATTCAATGTCGTTCTACTATATATTTACATCGGAGAGGCAAATGAGAAAGGCAGGCTTCTTTTAGACCTTTTGGAGCTTGTGGACTTACAAAAAGTTTTGAAATCTTTTATTGCAAACAAGAAGTCTCTTCGTTATTCTTCGATTCAAATTGGATCCTTATTCATTTCTCCTGAAATTGCAAGTTTTCAGATAAAAGTAGCATTCCTTTCTAATAAGATTATCTCTATGGTCAATATCATACTCGAATTTTTTGACACTTATTTTTTAAACCCAGAAAAAGTATTTTCCGAAAAAGATTTTCTAACTTTGAAAAACATGCTACTAAGTAATTTTCAGAGAGACTCACTCAACCCTAACAAACTCGCCCAAATACATTATGAAAGGATTATACGTGCAAACTTAACTCCAGACTGGCAAATTAAGGAGGCTAGAATGCTTAGAAGTCTCAGTTATTCAAATTTTCTTGAGTTTTGGAGCTTGTTTAAAGCTGCGCCTACAATTCTAATTGCAATTCAATCAAATAGAAGTCAGGACGATCAGTTTGCTAAATTATCGGAATTTGTTCCTGAAGGATATACTAAAATCAAGTCTATTTATCAATTCAAGGATTCATTCAAATAATAATATTTATGTAATGCTTATTACTTTATGTTAATAGAAGCGAAGGTACTATTTGTATTGAATACAATATAAATACATAAAAACCAATTTACACATAACTAATTAATATGATTACATATTTTATTATACCATTGAAATCGTAACTTCTTTTCAATTTGCATCCACTCCCCTACATGGCGGGGCGGTAGTAATGTGTGGGCATCAATTATTTGCAGAACATGATTGGAATAGTCATACTTCTTCCAATGAATACATTGGTAATATTCATATTTTTATATGTTTTCACAGTATCTAACTTACTTAATAACCATCTTATTTAGATAATACTAGCTTTAAATTTATTATATTGTTTTTTTTTCTTAATTAGATTTTCCAATTAAAAAATATGTTTTCGGCGGTAATTTAGGATTGGTGAGGCACCAAGAAAAATGATGTAAAAGAAATATTAAGCAAAAACAGATTAGTGGATAGAGTTAAAGAAAATTAGGTAGTTTTCTGCAAAAACTCTGGCTCCATCCATCTAAACCAAGAAGAAAAGGTCTTGGTGTGAATAAGGTATATCTCATTCAATTCACCATTCTGTTTAAAGCTCATATAACTTCAAGATCTTATCAAATTAGGAGTTTCTGAGAAGCTGATAGAAATAATAAAAATGAACTTAAAGATGTTACCATTTGGGTTTCTAATACTGCTCTCTCTTAGTTTACAGTCATGTTTAGCTTCTGATATAGTTTTAACAGTAAACAATTCATCTAATAGTGATGTTTTTGCAGAATCAGGTGACAAAATAATTAAGAACGATTCTTTGGCACTTGGTGGTCAATACTATATAGGTGGACTAAATAGAATATCAGAGTACAGGGCCAAGAAGAACATTAATGATGCTTATAATAATTTCTACGATGAAGATTTTGTCAAATCAATCAAGGATTCAAACAAGTACAGTTTTATTCGCCTAAAAAACGACATTCAAGTTTTCCTCGTATCACAAAGATCTAGCTCATTTTCTTCAATCACTTTAGGAGTTAGAGTAGGTAGTTCCATGGAACCTAAAAAACTCCCAGGTTTGGCAACTTTGTTAAGTGAACTATTATTTTATGAATGGAAGAGGCCTGTGGTTGGTCAGACAACACCATACGATCTTTTTATTTCCAGTAACTCCGGAGTTTTTAAAACAAAAGTGGCTCCATTTTTGACCGAATACTATTTGTCTGTTAAGCAAGAGTATTTTTCCGAAGCTCTAATTAAGTTTGGATCATATTTGAAGGGCTTCAACCCGAAAAGAATTTATCTGGAACCAGCAATGGAAACACTTCAGTCAGAGTTTGAGTCATTAGCGGGTTTTAGCTCAATTAGGCTAAAACAGATTCTTAAAGAACTTTCTGCGGAGGGGCACGTTAACCATGGGTTTCATTTGGGTAATATGAGGGAGTTATTGGAAGGTACGGATTTTGACGAAGAAGCACTTCTTTTCGAGTTGATTAGGTTTTATAGTTCTTACTACAGTTCGAACCTGATGACAATTTCCATTGTTTCTGACAAAAGTATAGATGAACTTGAAAGTCTCGCGAGAACATTTTTTGATGAGATTCCAAATCTAAACAAGCAACTAATTACTCCATTTGACCTATCACATGAAATAACTCATCCTTACATTGATTTAAGGTACAAAGTAATCCAGGTAAAATCAGCTGAAGAAAGTCCATATTTCACGATTATCTTCCCCATTCCACACCAAAGTCCGCTTTGGAAGTACAAACCAGCCAATTATATTTCATTTTTCTTCACAGATTACTCTGAACAGTCTTTATACAGTTATTTCAAAAAGATTGGAGTTATCTCTGGTTTGGAAACCATGGTTGAGATAAATGATAATGGGTTTTCAAACTTTGTTATCAGATTTAACTTAAACTCTAAAGGTGAGAAGGCTATTGTTAAGATTCTAGAGATTACATTATCTTTCCTAAAGCTAATTAAGGAAGTTTCAATTTCAGAAACTATAATAAATCAAATTAGAAAGAAAAGACAGACAATCTTGGAGGCTTCAACTGATGCTCTTTATCCGGAACTTTCTAGAAAAATTGTTAACGTGTTTTTGAGAACAAACTGTTCACCTACGGAAGTTTTATATGCAGGAGTATCAATGAATAGGATTGACTTCAATCATGTTAAAGAGGTAATTGATTACTTGAAGTATGATAATATGATATTAATTCTTGAAAAGAAAGCCTTCAAAAAAAGTGCTTCTAACATTCTCCTTTCTAGCCAATTCTTCTCGGATAGCAAATGGAAAACTGCTGGAAAGTCCATATCTTCTTTTTTCAGAAGCATAAATACAGCTTTCCGTAGAACTAAATTAGGAGTTTTCCCAAAATTCTTGAGGGAGGAGCATCTCGGAGGTGAGTATTTGCTCGAGGATATTCCCGATAAAGTTATTGGGGTACTTCAGTCTGTTAATTCGACCTTGGCAAATGACATCCTGAAAATACAGATGCCTGGTATTGACCCCAAGTTCCCAAGAAATTTCATAATTTATACAGAAGACGTTCCGAAAAAAGAATTCCCTGTCTCTCTTTATTATGCAATTAAAGAATTCAAACAGGCTAAAAACTTTACTGAGATAAGTTTATCAGAAGCCTCAGATAATTCTACAGACTTTTCACATTTACATTTGTCAAATCCAATAAATCCAAGAGATTTGGTAATTGCTTTAAGTACAACAAAAATGAGTTCTATTTCAAGAAGTTTTTGTTACCTTCCAACATCATTCAACCCCGACGTAATGATATCTGTAAAACTACAAGTACCGAAAAACCCTCCAAAGGAATTCAGCTACCCAGAAAAACTAGCAATACTAATGTTTTTGTTCCAAAATACCTTATACGATGTTCTACCAAGCAACTTAAATGAAAATTTCTTTTTTGAGAGAAACTACCATCTTTGGGAATTACAAGAGTTCTTTTATGGTCTGGAATTCAGTTGGAGAGGCTTTTCTTCTATTTTCCCAGATAGCTTAAATGAAATTGCAAACATTCTTTCCACATTTGGAAATTCAATTAAGCAAGCGAGTTTCCAGAATGCAAAAAAACGCTTCCAAGACATTATTGATTCGTTCAAGTCTGAGAATGATAACCTAAAACTTCTTTCCCTCTCTTACCAGTTGCTTGATCCAGGGTTTATGAAAATTGGCAGACTTGAAAATGAACTCTACAAAATTACAATGCAGAACCTGATTGATTTCGTTAACTTCTTTCTCAATAGCTTTTCAATTTCAGGATCCATATTTGGAAATGCGACCCCTGTACAAATCAAATATTACTTATCCTCTTTCGTGAATACAGTTCGTAAAGTGGACAATTTATCTGAACTCGAAGATCAATCTAATGCTAAGATAATTAATGTAGACGAAAAAGTAGATCTAGGTGGCCCCAAATTTTTTGATGTTCTTGAATCTGAGGAATTTGGCTTTGAAGTGAGAGAAAGAATGCTTAGGTCTAAAGACAAAAAAACAACAGTGTCTAAAGATTCTAAAAATAACAATAATCAAAGTAACAAACCCGATGAAGTTGTTGATACAAACCAATACAAGCTGATTAATGTTGAGAATCTTGGTTACACAAGAAGTTCATTTTATGATATGAATAGGCTGCCATATAACTATAGTAACTCTTACTTCTTTTTTACAAATTCCGATAAAGATAGCAAGAATAACATTGTTTTCCTTCAGATACATTATGGTTTTTATAGTGAACAGAGTTTGGCATTTCTACAAATAGTATCAGAGCTCAATTCCTACAAGTATTTCATAGAATTCTCGGAAAACAGATGTACAGATTGCTCTCTGAAAATACTTCCAAGAATAATACTCGGCAAATATTTAGTTCTTGAATTCAAGCTCCAGTCTACATCCAAAAACATTAAGGAACTTGGAGAGCTTCTTAACAACTTCTTCCAGACATATTATTCTAGGCCATCGAAGATGGTTTCAAAATCGGAAGTCCAAAAGGCAAAAGAATTTTTATTATTGCTTGCCAGAAACGCAAGATTAGCAGAAAACAATGGCAATTTAATGACACCAAAATCCAACAAAGTTTATTACGAAGGTTCTGATTCAGAGGATTTATTTACGCTATCATCTTTTTATATGGGATTTTCCAAGCACACTCATCTTTTGTGCTCATGGAAAAAAGATTATATTGAATTCATTGATACCTTAACGTTTGACCAATTTTTCAAATATTGGCAGTATTTTAGCAACTCTTCAAGACTTTTCATTTCATATCAATCTCATAGCACAAACTATGAGCTATTTGAGTCACTTGAATCATATTTGCCTCAAGGGTTCACTAGACTCTCATTTGTAGAAAGCCTTTATGACATAAATGAACAACAAACTATATATAACATCTAGGTTTTTCGTTTAATAAAATAATATTTGCAAAAAAAAAATTCGAAATGAATAGGTATTACATACGATTCTCAGTGATCTGAAAAATTCCTTTTTTTCCAAACAATCTTTGCTTTTTCATCTTTTTATTTTTTGACAAATATCTGAAAATTGCATGTAAGGCGGGATAGATAAATATTCGAGTAATGTTTATGGAAAATACAAAAGAGATATTATAGATTTAATTATTTTCGAAAAATTAATATTTTGGCAATTCTAATATAAAATAATAATTTGATGCAAAAATTTGTATTGCAAGTACCAAGAGAATTAACCTATACTTGAATCAATTTGTAAATATTTGTGGGAGTGTGGGGCGCCAGTAATAAGAGCGAGGAAGCAGAGAATAACTTTATGAAGTTTGAAGCAACCTAATAATAAGGAGTGAATGCGAAACTCAAGTTTGAGCTGAAATGGAGAGTTGCATTTAAATTTTTTATGAAGTTATTTTGATAATTTGTTAAGTGTTATTTTTTTAAAAATAAACAAATTTTTTCTTGGTCTTTTTAATGAATATATATTTATTATTTCAAGACTTTTGTTCAAATATGTGTTGTTTAAAGAATATTTTTGTTTTAATAGGAGTTTTGTTGATTCTAAACTGCTTAAACTACGAAACCAGATTGAATCAGGCCACTGGGATTAGTATGATAGAGGTGATTACTGATAAACAAGGAAATCCAATAGACCAATTTAATTTGGATGGTAGGTTGTTTATTAACACCACGGATATAGACAAAATTGCAGAAAATATTATTTTTAATCAAACAGAAATTAATGATATACAAAACCTTAAAGAAAAGTTACATACAGAAGAGGAGTATGCAAAATTGCAAGAAAGTGGGAAAAAATGTTTCTATGGCTTAAACTGCTTATATGGATTGAACTCAATGGATGGCTTAATAAATAAAGAAAAATTTAAACAATCCCAGAGTTCTTCGATAAACCAAACAATAATTGATAATGACCAATTCAACAGGTATCTTGGAGATGAAAACATGTATAGATTTTTCAAGCTGGATAACGGGTTAAAGGTATTTTTAGTCTCAAACAATTTGTTATACACATCCTCTTTGTCTTTAGGAATAGAGGTAGGAAGCGCTAATGACCCAGAAGGAATTGATGGTGTTTCATATTTACTAACACAGGAGTTGTTTAAAAAAGAGTCCAATGTTACAAATGAAACTGATTTCAGGAAATTATTGGACGACAACAATGGATATTTTAATGTGGAATCAAATAAATTTTCAACAATTTACTCATATGATATTAAATCAAAATATTTCCAACTTTCAGTAAATGCCTTTAAAAAAAGACTTGAGAAGGTAATTACCTGGAGTTCTTTAGATGAATCAATTTCTGAAGTTGCAAAACTGACAGAATTATTTAAAAATGTATATACTTTGCAAGAAATTCAATTAAAACGAAGCCTTTCGAATTCTTCCCACATATTCAGTAGATTTCCATATGGTACAAATGAAACATTGAGGGAAATTCCTTCAAAAAATAACCTCTCACTGCAAGAGGAAATCATTAAGTTTAAAAAAAATTACTACAGTCCACACTTAATGGTGTTAAGTATTTCAACAAGTTTAAGCCTGGATACAACAGAAGAGCTTGTGAGAAATACATTTTCTGATCTAATCAATACTGGTATTTATCCAGAAAAACCAGAGGAATTATCTGGAAATGTGACCCACCCATATGATACATTAATTGGAAAATATATTGAAGTTAAATCTCCAACTCCAGAAGCATACATTACTATGGAATTTCCAATACCAAATCAAAGTAAGCTTTGGAGATATAAGTTAGGCTCATATGCCAAATATTTCTTAACTCAACGATTCCAAAATGGTTTCTTGGATAAAATGACAAAACAAGGTTGGATCAGAGAAATTGAGGTCGATGTAATAAATAATGATACAGGTTTCTCTAACTTAGTTATCAAGGCGATTTTGGTAGACTCTGATAGAAATAAGTTATTAAGAGTAGTGCAAGCTATTTTTGCCACTTTAGATGCCGTTAAAACTGCAAAGTATAATAAACATCTAGATGAGCAAATCAGACGTGTAGAACAAGGAATACTAAAACAGTATAAAAGTACTGGATATTACAGATACTCCAAGAATATCGTAAAGTCATTTCTTGAAAGTGGTTGCTCTCCAGAAAATATATTATTAGTGCCTTATGAACTTGAAGTTATAGATCATAGTTATGTAAGAATGATATTGGAATATTTAAACCCATTTAATATGGTATTAACTTTTTCTTCAAACTCTTTTTCCAGAAACTCAAAAGACTTTTTGTTATCTAGTGAAATTTATGGAGAATCTGGTTGGGGTCGATTTTCTAGAAAATTTGTATCATTCTTAAGAACAATTCGCAGGACATTTTTGAGAGCAAAACCTGGTGAGTATCCAAACTTTATGATAGAAAAGTACTTAAATGCAAACTATTTAATTACAGACATTCCGACAAAAATTTTGGATATACTTGAAGGTAGTACTCAAGAGCTAGCATTTGAATATTTAGGTTTCAATATTACAGAAATCGTAATAAATTATCCAAAGCAGTATAAGATCTATACTTATGATATACCACCTCAAGTACATCCACAACTTTTAGTAGAATCTTTGGCATCTTACATTAAATATACTTCCAATACAACAGAAGATATTGACGAGGCACTAATGAATAAAGTCTTATCAGGGTTCAACGAATTTGTCTCGCCAATTGCTTATTCCACATTTTACTTCCCCATTAATGTAGGTGTTCCGAAAATATCCTTAAACTCAAGAATTATTATTCAGCCAAAATCTTTGGTTGTATATGGGTTTCAATCTCTCCCAAAAACAAATGCAAAACTTGTCACTCTATCTTATCTTTTTATGAAATCATTCAAGTATGCAACCCCTCCAGAATACAGAGATTGTATTGTTGAAAATAGTTATAAATCAATTTCAGAGTTACAAAATTCATTTTTGGGAATAGAATTTAGGTGGACAAATTACACTTCATCTTTTGATGATTTCTTTTCAACAGTTTTTAATGGGTTAAGAAAGTATAATAGTTATATTAATAAAAATCATTTTGATCGGGCAAAATCAGATTTTGAGTCAATAATTAACAATATTTCTTCACTTAATAGCAAAACTCTCGCTGAATATACTTCTTTTGAAACCCTCAACTTTTATATGATGACACCATCCATGTTCATTCAAGCTATTAAAAGTGTTAAATTTAAAGACGTAGTTGATTTTGCATCTTATATCATAAAAATGGGTACAATTGAATCACTAGTTATTGGGAACTGTACTCCGATGCAAGTAAACTCTTACTTATTAAAGATTGGGAGAATTCTCAATAGAGACTTAGTAAATACGAGCGACTTAACTCATCTAAGACTCTTGAATAACTCCACTCGTATTATCACTGGTTGGGACACTAATCATACTGAATATAGTAACTTCAATCTACAGGATAGTCCTAAAAGCTCAATTACCTCAAATCAGCGATCAGAACTAAACAATAATACAATTGTAGATAGTCAGAATTATCTTGGGAATTATTCTTCTACCAATATCACAAGGAAAGTCACAATTGTTGAGTCTTCAGAAAAAACTTTCTTGACTGAGGGGTATTACAAGGGAAAATGGACTAATAGAATAAATATGGACACTTTACCTAAAGAATATAAAAATATATTTTATCTAAAAAAATGTTCAAACTCAAATGAAGATCTTTCAGTCGTTTATATGGAGATCCAAGTTGGTGAGTATTCTGAGGAGATGTTTGCATTCTTAAAACTTGTGGTTAACTTGGACATTCAAAGCTCATTCAAACAATTTACATCCTCAGATTATCCTAATACAGTGTTTGAAATTTTGCCATACTCTATAGGAACAAGTTATCTGTTACTTAAAATTATGATTTCATCTGCAGAATATAGTATTATAAAATTGACAAGTTTAGCCGTGCAATTCTATAATAAATACTTTGCTCTAGTTACTCCTTTAATCTCCAGAGACGAGTTCAAGAAAGGAATTAATCGTGCAGTTACTAGTATTGAAATTCCACATATTAATATGGAGGAACTTCTTGATCAGTATTCTAGCTCTCTTCTTGATAGAAAGTCTGATCCAAATTGGAAGTACATACAAGTTGCATATTTGCTTAATCTTAACTATAATGAATTTCTAAATAAATGGGGAGTTTTTGTTAAGCCTGCTAAAGTTCTTATTTCTATCTTAAAAACTCACGTCTCAGCTATTGAAATTGCAGAAGCAAACTCTTTCCAACTAGAAGGGTACAACAGGATCAACTCAACGAGTATCGTAAAAAAGGCTGCAATAGAAAACAATTTTATTTCATATTAAGTATAAAAAAATATATCGTATACATTTTTTTAAGGAAATTATGATATAATGTTTAAATTTACTAAAAAACTCCTGTTTAATTAAGCCATTTAATGAAATAATTTTTTGATTGAAGGATGTTCTTAAATGTTATTTTTTCAAAAAAGAATTCTAGCAAAGTTAGATTATTAATAAATCATGAATTTCCTCAATTTCTTGTTTTGCAAAAAGTAAGTGTTTTTAACTCCTAAGTTCTATGTTTGATCTCTAATTAGTTGCTGGTATTGCAAAATACTTCCTAATAGATACAATAATATTACTTGTTTCGGTATTACTACAAGAATGTGCGGCAATAATCATTTAATTAACACATATTCAAAACAAATTAGCATACAAAATAGTAGGAAAGGTAGGTTAAATGAAGTAAATCACAATAGTCTGCTAACCTAATAACTCCGTATAACAGTGCTTCAAAAAAGTAACAGGGGATAATAAAAAAGGATGCAAATAATAATTGCAAAATGAATATGGATTGTAGTCAGAATGATGGTGGTTACAGTCAAAATCAAATTAAAGAATTTGATCATGGACAACTAGCATTTAATTAAATGAAGAATGCATGGAAATAAGCAAAAAATACAGCAGTATTAATTTTTCTTTTTTCTAATCTCCAGTGTATTGGCGCCCACTAGACATAACTTTATTTCCAATAAAAGTAAAATGTATATAAAAAAATGGTACCCATATAAACTAAAGGATAAAAGCGGAAACATTGAGATAAAAAAACATAATAGGTCTAATAGAATTTTAATATTCAATATACGACTTATTTATTCTCTTCTGATTTTAGAGGGTAGTTACAATTGATTAGCATTGAATACTCACAAAACAGTTATAGCCTATATTAAGGATGTATCGACTAATAACTTTGATTTTGGTTGCAGGCTTTTTTGTCTTAAATAATTATTGTGCAGATAATCGTATTTTATTTGATAACAGATCAGTGCATGGCCATTCTTTGTTGGAGTTGGAACAAATTGATGGTGAGAATGGTTCTGAAACATACAAATACAAAGATGTCGGTTTTAATGATGATGTCATACTCTCGAAACAGTCGTTTAATAATGGTTTTACTTTATTAAACATAAAACAGCCATTTGAAAGTAAATATTCTGATTTTAGAGTGGTTATCAATGGTGGTAGTTCTTCTGATCCATCTGATTTACCAGGTATCAGATACTTTGCTTTATTATTATTTAGTAAACAAGTGAATCGTTGTATGAATAAGATATTTAAAGATGAACTTATTGCAAATTTCAAGATCGAGATAAATGCAGCTATTTCTAACTTGAAGTTTACCTTTTTGAGCAATCAAACAAGTAAATTCTTTAGCTGTTTCCTCAATGCTATCAGCAACAAAATGTACTTGGAAAATAAATCATATTATTTTGAGATTTTGCAAGCATCAGATGAATTCGATTCAGTAATTAGTGATCCAAATTCCATTGAAGTAGACAAGCTAGCTATTCGGATGATTTACAGTACTGAATCTTCACTTGGATGTACCTCTTTGCAGTTTTTAAATCTTTTCTCAAAGACCTGTTACAAGAATTCTATTAATTTAGATACTGAATTACCAAAGTACTCACACAAGCTTATTTCTGAGATGTTTAAGCCTCATATGTTATCTGCAATATTCATTGGTAACTTGACCACATCACGCCTCACAAAGTTGCTCTCTGGATTGACTAGGGGAAAACTTAGGAACCAAGTTCAAAACGATTTTTCTAAAATAAACAGAGCTAACAAAGCAATTAACAATTCTGGAAGTAATGTTATTATAAGAAGAGGCTTCTCAAATGACAAATTGAGAATTCATATTCCATTCAATACTGATGACTTGAAATCACTAGAATCAAATTCACATATATTCGTAATTAATATTCTCGATTCAAGGCATAACAGTGGTATCTTTAACTTTATTTTCATGAATAAATTTGCTAGTCATTCAAGAATCGGTTACTATATTGAATACAGTACTATAGTATTGTACTTTGAACTTTCTTTAACCAGAAAAGGGTTGGAAAATATCCCAGTTATTATTGATTCAATTGTTTCCTACTTCAATTTACTGAAGAACAGTGTAATTAGCGACAGAGCTTATTCTGAAGTTCAACAATTATTTGATCTTCACCTTTCCACTTCAACAATATTTTTAGCAGAATCTATGGTGCACTACTTGAGTTCACATTTCATTATGTCAAAGTCTTCAACTAATATTCTTAGTTCGAACATAAACACTCAATTTGTTCGTTCCGACGTTGAGTATTTCCTTTCAAAGATGAGTTTGGACTCTCTCAAAGTGTCTCTTTATATTTCTAGCCATTTCGATATTAAAAAAGTTTTTTCAAATAACTTTAGGAATCGAGAAATGCTTTCAAAAGCTATTGTTGAGCCTCATACAAATATTTTACTATTGGTATTCGAAACGGATGACATTTTACCTAATAAACTATCTTCTTTAAGTCCATCATATGCATTGGATACATATGGGTTACAACTACCAAATGACGAATTGATAAGCACTATCAATTTACCATCTTTCTATTCAATGCCTATTTTTGAAAAGATAGTTCCATTGCACAAGTCATTGGATATTCACTATAATTACCTTAAGAAAACTAATAGAATGACTACTATATCTCGAACAATGTCATTCAAATCAATCACCACTTCTCAGATTTGGTTCTCTAATAACGAGATATATGGGAAAAATGTTAAACTAAATCTAAAATTCAGTTTACGTGAATGGAGTCCATTGATGAATAAGTTTTATGGCAAAGTAAATGTTTATTCAATTCTGTCTGCAATCCATACTTTTACTACAATTCTCAACATTAAGTTGTATGAAAGCTTGTCTTATATTTATAGACTAACGGGAACAATTGTAGAGCTTATTCCATCCCAATCATATAACGAGGCGGTTTCTGATCCATTTGAATTTTACTTAATTGTAAATTCACCAATCAACTATTTTTCTTTGATTATGAGTGAGACTTCAAGGTTACTTTTATCTTTTGATACTTTCTTATCTGATAAAGGCCTCCTTGCTAAAGCAGTAATACTTGCCAAACAGTCTCTCCTCGAATTTTACAAAAGTTACAGCCAAATTGAGAAGGATACTAAGGTTATTGCTCAGATAGTTTCTTCCCAACATTGCTCATTTGGAAGTCTGAGAAGATATTTTGAGCAAAGTAGTAATGTAGAGTTCATCAAGGCAGTATACGATTCCTTACTATTATCTCCAACTATTTATGGTTTCATCGAAGGCAACCTTACCCCTTTCCATGCTAACCATATTTTGAATGTATTTATAGAAGGACTTAATCATAAATTCTTCCATATGGAAATTAACGAGGAAAACACACAAGAGTTTCTTAAACAAGTATCTTATCCGAGGAGTAGAAATTACTTAGATTTAATGGGAAAATCTCCAGAAGTTGACATTGGAACATTTGTCTTGGATGTTTCCACTATTCCAAACGAATACAAAAAATTGTTTGTTCAAAAGCTAGATGTCACTGCTTCTTCATCTTACTCCACAGCTGCAATTCTAATTGGTCAATTAAATGTAGAGAATTACATCAAGGGATCTATTATCAATGAAGCTTTGAAATACGAGGCTTTGAATAAGTTTTCGTCAAAAAATACCTCAACCAAAGAAATTGACTTCCACTCCAGTATAACATTAGTTGCAAATAGGTTCATTGCGGTATTGTTGTCTATGGGAAGTGTCAAACTTTCAGCTGGGACTCTAACTCAAGCTATACACAAAAGTTTAACTGAATCCATCTCTAAGATCATGAAAAACTGCAAATCTAAAAGTTATCATAAGAAAGTTTTAGAGAAGATCAATCTCAGTGACCCTCTTTCTAACAAAAAATTCTTTTTGTCTAAATCCAATTTAGTAAAACTTGTGGATGAGTCCAAAGAATATTTTGATAGCCTTAATCATACCAGTATCTCCAATTTGTTAAATGAGACCGGAAATTTACCGAATGTAATAATTACTACCCAGAAAGTGTCTAATATAAAGGCCTCTATTTCTTCATTAGATTTCATACCAGAGGGTTACAATGATATTAGTGATAACTATAAAAGTCTTTTGGACAATCAAATAGCAGAATTTAGATATGATTAGATTCTGATTAATTGCATTATTTCACGACCTTAAGAAGATCATATTGTGATAGGCGGTAATGCAATATAAATGAAAGCTTTACAAAGCTGCCTTTAAAAATTATTCATACAGGGGTAGATTAACTCTTTGAATTTAATACTTTTCTTTTTATCAAGGTTTATTCATAAATAATTGCCTATTGTTTAAATTTATCTACGGGTTTCTATTGTTTACAAGTAGTGGAGTATGAAAGTTACACGTATTTGTTTTTGCATGTAGATGAATGCACTAATCCTAAGAAGAAGATTTGAATGAAATTGCAGAATAAATAATTTGCAAAGATTAATTTACAAGAAATTTACGTTGAAGTACCTTGTTTAGAATTGCTTTATTTTAAATTTAGATTTTCCTACTAACGAATTAAACACTATTAGCTGTTATTATTTAACACTTATCTATAAACAACTGAATTAGCCATTCAAAGAGAATTGGTAGATTTGTTCAAGTCCATTTGTGCAAAGATAAACCATTGAAAAATTAAAGTATTGTGGACAAAATCATATTTTCTATTGTTCGTATTAAGATTTATATCTTTGTAATTTTCTTTTGAAATTTGTATTAAAAAAAATTAGGCAAATTACCCGCCAGATTTTTGGTACCAGTAATTTAATTTTCAAACGAACTGTATTTCTGCAATAATTTCCTTGTAAAAAGTGATGAGAGTTGGGATCATTTTCAAGTAAATCTGGACAAATTACAAGTATAGCAGCTTTATCATTGTTTAATTATAATTATAAAATGAGGCTGCTATGTTTATTCTGGTTATTTACACAGATTGTTTTGGCATTTTCTGCAAAGAAACTAAAAGCCGGATATAAGTTTGGCATTAAGCCAGCGTTTGTTCCAAAATTGACGAAGCCTCTCTTAAGTAAACTTGGAAGGACAGTCAAAAATGTAGAGAGTTCATCATTTGTAAAATCGAAGGTAGATAGTTCTACATATAAATTCTTAAGACTACGGAATCAGATGGCAGTGTTTCTTGTCTCAAATAATAACTTTAATCATTCAGTTATTACTCTTTCTGTTGGAGTTGGAGCTGTTATGGACCCTGAAGACCTTCCTGGCCTTGCAAGTTTGGTACAGGAATCTTTATGTTTAGGAACTAACCGATTTTTTGATAGCTCCGATTTTTGTAACTTCATTAGCTCTATTGATGGAAAAATTGAAATGAAAGTTTATGAAAGGAATTCAGTCTTTACTTTAGAGGTTGGGAACCAGTACATTTCAACAGTTTTGGACCGTTTAAGTGATATGATTAGGAATCCTTCTTTTCCTGAGATGCTATTTTTTGCCAAAACTGAAGAATACTCTGGCACATTTGATAGTTTGTTAAATGACAGTGAATTTTTGTTTCAATGTGTTATAAGAGATATTTCTTTTGAAGATCATGTATTTAAAAGGCTAAATGTTCTTACTGATAATTCAATTAAAGAAGCTAGGGAAATTTCGGAGATTAACTTACTGGAACATGTAAAAAATTTCTATAATCAACAATATAGCTCCAACATTATGACTTTGGTTGTGGCTAGTGGGGAGGCACTTTCTAAGTTATCATATGAAGTCATTTCAAATTTTTCTTTAGTAAAAAATTTGAATATTTCTCGCCCTCTCCCGTTTGACTTGGCAAGAATAATTCGTCATCCTCACCTTGCAGTAGTTGGAAACGCTATTCATCTCAAGGCTCACTCCATAAATGAGCTGATTCTCGAGTTCCCTATAGACTATCAGGAAGTCCTTTGGGATTCTTCCCCAAGCTACTACTTAGAATATTTGCTTAAGGATAATTCCAAGACTAGTTTAAGCAATTTTCTAACAAATAAAGGATGGATTCTTAAGATGGAGGTCAGAACTAACTCTCACAAGTACTCATTTTCTAACTTTGAACTGAAGTTTTTGCTTACACCCAAAGGGCTTGATAAGATTAAATCAATTATTCAAGCAACATTTATTGTTTTAGAACATATTAAAACTTCACCTATTAAGCAGGATATACTTGTCGAGATTCAGCAGATACTCAAATATAAGTTTGACTATTATTTTGATGTTTCTCCCAGGCAAATATCTGAAAAGATTATTGACTCTTTTGATATTAAAGGGTGCTCTCCCGAGGAAGTTCTCATTGCTGGTAATCTTGTAAGAAATTCAAATCCAGAGGAGGTTTCTGCATTTTTAGACAAAATTTCCATCGATAACTTGGTTATTTTTGTAAGGCATTTGAACTTTGATTTTAAAAACGACATTTTAAACAGAGACCAAGGAATTATTCAAGAATTAAATAAGAACATTCCAAGAAAAAATCAGTCTTTTGCTTTATATAAACAAGACAATGCTTTAAGAACCAACGAAAAGCAAAGTTCTGTTGATTCAGAACAAACTGGGAAAGATTTAGAATCAGAAACAGAGCTTGAGTATAGTTCGGAGCATAAACAGGAATTAGAAAAGGAACCAGAACAACAATCAAGCTTAAAAATGAGCCAGTCTGAAAACAAAAATATCGAATTTAGAACATGTCCCAAGTTCAACAACAAATACATTGTAGAGGAGCTCTCTAGTGAATTTATTAACCAAATAAATGAGGCAGTTAATCTGATCCACACTAAGTCTATTGGGTTTAAGATTAGGAGGAGCAACCAACTTTTAAGAAGCACTCCCTTGCAGTATTTTTCTAATACTGCTAACTATAGACTTTACTTACCAACTATTCTTAAAAATGCAATTTTAGATTACTTAACGGTTGAAAGCTCAGCATCAAAGTTTAAAACATTTCATAAAAGAATCAGAGAGAACATTAATAAACCAGTTTATAGCAGTTTCCTTTTTTTCAATAACGTCAATTTTCAGGCTCCCTCTGCTACGTTCTTCATTAGAATCATGATTCCAGAAGCAATCAAATTTGATGCTAATATTGATACTTTAAGCGCTCCTATCACTGAGTTGAAATATACAAAGTCAGTCAAAGAGTTAATTTTATCACTTGAAGTTCTAGTCGTTTGTCTCAAACATTCAAATGAAGATATAATAAGGAATATGAAAAGCATTGAGGGAATTTTCTCAATTACAAGTATCCTTAGATCAGAACTTAGCGGAGTTCCCTTGGGATTTGAAATAAAAGTTAAAGGATTTTTAGGCTCTATTTTCCTAGCACTTAAATCATTCTCTAGAATTATGCTAAATTTAAGGAAAAATATTTCTCAAGAAAAGTTCGAACAAATCATTCAATCTCTTGAAAACAGAATAAAGACGGAGAATGTTAATAGGAGTTCAAAAGAGGTATCTGAGCTCATCTTAAAATCTATTTTTGAAAGCAAGAAGACATCTATTTTATCTTTGGAAAGTGATTATAGTTCAATAACATTAGAGCAAATTTTAGAGTTATCTTCATTCTTATGCAGAAATGGGGCTTATGAAGGTGCAATTATTGGAAATGTGAATCCTCTTCAGGCTTATACAGTATTGAATCAGTTCACTACAAAATTACGCCATCAGAATATCCAAGAACATCAAGTTTTTTCAAAGCTGAACTCAATAGGAAGTTCTATGCAAACTTGGAAAATTTTGGACCCACTCTCTAATCAAGGTAACACAAACTACTATTATTACAATGAATTAAGCTTGGAAAACACATTGAACTCAAATTCATTATTATATATTCCATTTTCGTACTTCAACGCTGATTCTATTGCATTCCAAGTTCTGTTTGAATATATTATTTCCACTTTCAGAGAGAATTTATCCTTATCTGGAGTAGAGATTGACTTTTTTCCCAAGATCAACGAATTTTTCTTAGTTGGATTTACTGTAGCATTATCTGGGTTTGAAGATATTTCTGTATTGTCTGAAAAGCTTTTAAATACGTTTTATAGTATTATAAGATTTATTAAAGACATCCAGAAAGACCAACTTAACCAAATAAAGAAGAATATGATTGCCAATCGCAATACTGGTTCAGAATTTGGGCAATTAGAATCAAAACTACTATATCAAGTTACTTCTAGGAAAAACGTCACTGCTGTTATGCAAGGTGTCAAATCTTCTTTGATTATGATAGACCACCAGATTTTAACTAAAACATGTGATCTAATTCTTAGTTCTTCAAAGTTTTTGATTGTAAGCCAGAAAAATACAGATGATTCTGAACTTGAAGAGCTTAAAAATTATATTCCTTCTGGTTTTACCAAAATAACAGATATAAATCAGCTGACTGAAAATGATTCTTACAAATTTATTAATGTTCCTATTAGATTTATTGAGTCAGAACAAGGTTAATAAGCAACTTTCGACATCCCTTTTAATATATTTGATACAAATAATCATAGTTTCATTCTTTGTAAACTTCAAGTTTTATCTAGGTTTGAAACTTATACTATATAATTTATAAGTGATTTTACACTGAATAATCCGTTTGTATTTATTTTGTTTTCTTAACTGCCTTTATTTGTCCTTGAAATAAGTAATGAAATCAATTTTACATTGCCGGCAATATTATATTACCGGTACTCATAAAATACATTTTGCCACGTATGAAAAATATACATTTTTAATATTGAAAAAGAATTTAAGTGGAAAAAGGCATATTTCCTATATAAATCAATGGAAAATAGTAAATAAAATGTTTGTGAACCGGAATATTTTATTTTTTTTTGCACTGGTTTTTTTATTTTTTTTTAACTCTAAACAATGTATTATTGAGAGTTGTGTGGAAGGGTTTTCTTTTGCAAATCTAGTTAATGATCATATTCCCAAAAACTCACAAATTAAATCAATTATAGATGATGAAAAATTTATAAAGTCCAAGACTGACAAAGCAAAATATCGCTACATTAAACTTAAAAACGGTTTGAAGGCTTTTATAGTAAGCAAGGAAGATGCAGTAAGGTCTGAAGTTGCAATTTCAGTGGATGTTGGGTTTAATTATGACCCTCCAAAAATCATAGGATTATCCAATTTGGTGCAGCATAGTCTTTTATTAGCCTCTCATAAATACCCAAATATAGACGAATTCCACAACTTTATTAAACTACTGAACGGAAAAATATATTTGGATCTGCATGAAAGATCCACAGTATATTCTTTTACAATAGGTACAGAATACCTGAGTGAAAGCATATTCAGATTTAGCAGCTATTTCCATAGGCCTTTATTAAACAATGACTCTATTAATAAGGCAATGCTAACAATATTTAGCCATTTAAATAAAATAAAAAGAAATGAGTTTTGGGTAAGAAGAGAAATTGAAAGAGAAATATTTGGTAAAAATAAAAACGTTGATACTTTTTATTATGGAAATAAAAACACTTTATTAAATAACCCAAATTTAGCAGAGGGTGAAATTTATGAAAAGGTTCGTCACTATTTCTCGAAATATTATGGCCCTAATAACATGAAGTTGGCTTTAGTTGGAAGAGAACCCCTTGAAAAATTGGAAAAGTACGTAATTCAGAACTTTGCTCGCATTAAAAGTAATGGACTCAACATAGTGAGCGTAGAAGACAGCTATAAGTACATTGTAAATCCCTTTATTCGAATTTCAGGAAATATTATAACTATTAGGAGGTTAAGAAAAACTGAAATAAACACAATAAATCTCCGATTTCCAATTGATCTGCAGGTAGTCAATTGGAGGAGAGTCCCTACTTTGTACTTAAAGTACCTTCTGGATGGAAATTTTAAGGGAATTTTGCGTAAATACTTAAAGTCTATTGGAGTTTTTTCTCCAATTAAGGTAGGAGTGGTATCTTACGAAGGATTTTCAACGTTGGATATATCAATAGATCTCTATAATAATCAATTAAAACATTCTTGGAAGGTAGTTAAAGCAATAATATCAACAGTAAAGTGTCTAGTTGAAATGCCTGTATCAGAGAAAATATTGCTTGAAGCAAAGAAGATAACAGATATAATTTTTAATTACAGAGAGTCTGAATTTACAAGAGATCTTGCATACAATATAGTTTATAAGGCCAGTGAATACAAAGTTAAGCCTCACGAAATAATATATGCAGATGAAATCATGGAAATTGTTGATGCTTCGTTTGTAAAATCTTTTATTAATTCAATAAAAATTGAACAAGTTTCAATATTCTTCTTTACTCCTTCATTATCAACTAAAAAAATCCCAAGTGAATACAATGTATTCAGAACAAACTTTTACTCTAAAAGCTACAATACTCCAAGTATAGATATAACTCCAAATGGAGTTGAGTCTCCTGGAAATAAGGCACAAAGTGGGACTCAAGTTATTTTATGGTTTTATAATACAATCAAACACTATTTGATAAAATTTCTGACATTTATATTCCGTAAAGAAATTCAAACAGATGATGATAGCATTAAGAAAGAAATCTCTACCCAAGATTTCGAGCAGGAACCAGACGAGATTAACGAGGAAAACTCTTTTGTAAAATGTAGCATGGTATTCAAGTCTAAGAATCTACTCTCAGATTATTGTATTAATCAATTTCCAAGTAATTTCTTTAAAGATATCCACAACTTAACTATTTATGAAATTTATAATATTTATAATTTAGACATTTATACCCCTAACCCATACACACCTAATGATTTATCTTTAATACCAAACTTGGATGATACTAAAACGATTCCTCAGCCTCTAATACTCTCTATTAAAAAATTCTTGAACAATAATATTGAAAACCTTAATAATGGGGAACTTATAAGCTTAGGAAGGAATTTTTCTAAGCTAGAATTGAACAGTAATCATCATATTTCTTATCGCAAGAAAGAGTTAAATAAAGATCATTTTAATCATTCTGAATTAACTAAAAACACTCAAAAAAATTTGACTGATTTAGAAATAGAGAATAATAATGAAATTTCGAAGAAGATTGATAAGGATATAGAACAGGGGATAAAAAAAGTAAACATTAAGCGATTTGACTTTTATTCAAATATAATTTACTTTTACTATAAAAATTCAGCAGAACAATCTTTCCCTGAGACCGGAGTCACAATTAGGATTCAAACCCCAAAGATCAATTCAAAAATAGGGAGTCATCCAAAAGTACTCAAGGTAATACCAAAACTAGTGGTTGCTATTGAAATCCTTTGCGTGTTATTAAAAATTTCTTTAGAAGATGAAATATATAACTTCAGAGTTGCAAAGAACGAGTTTAAAATTTCAAGTTTTACCGATTACACTTATAATAACCTCCCAAATGGGTTTGAAATTCAGCTAAAGGGCTTCTACGATGTTATTCCTGTGTTTCTGAGAAGGTTTGCAACACATCTCAGCCATCCATTCAATTATTTTACTACTGATATGTTTAGAGAGGCTCTAAACCACATGAATAGTTATTTATATCAGCAGGTTTACTTCACTCCCTCTATTACAAAAACTTTGTTAATTTTGCGATCCATCACAGAAAACCAACCTTTGACTCCTTATGACAGGTTGAACGAACTTAAATACATTACTTATCAGGACGTTGCAGAACTCAGTGAGTTTTTTGCAAGGCAAGGGCAAATAGAAGGCTTGTTTATGAACAGTATTGACCCTTTGGAGGCAGGACTAATTGTTAATGACTTTTTGGATCAACTTGGAAGGAATATTGTAGTTTCAGGGACTATTTCCTTGACTGTTAATAAGCGTGGGGTTGAAATCATAGATCACAAACTTTTGAAAAACGTCTTTAGAAGAGAATCTGAAGAATACTCGATTGAAAACATGCTTGTTCCCATTTCTAATGCAGGAAAGAGCTACTTTAATAGTTACGAAGTTTTGGATATGACAACCCTACCATTATGGCTTTGGAAGAGTTATAAATTCGAGTACTCAAGCATTGATGAGGAGAAGTCGGTTTCCTCATTAGCTTTGCTGATAGGAACTAAAACACCTTTTACTATCTCTTTAGTAACTCTGTTATGCATATTTCTGTCAGATTTGCTCAATGAGTTCTTAAAGAGGATTTCAAACGAAAACGATTCAGTGGCTGCCTTTACGGCATCCCACTACTCTTCTCTAACCTTTGTTGTCATCCAAGTTGAGTCTTACTCAAAAGACGTCGCAAGCCTTTCTGAGTTTCTTATCATGTTCATTAATGAGATTTTTGAAACCCCATATATAATTGAAAAGAATCTTTTTTATAAAGTCAGGAGAGATTGCATTAATAAATTCAAGAACCTTCCTAACAAAATCGAACTCTTTTCAGTATTGTTCTTGACATTTGTAGAAGGTAGCGATTTCCCATTTCAATGGATTGAAAAAGTTATCCACACTATGGAGACTCTATCTTACGATAGATTTATTAAATCTGTAAAATTTTTGAACATGGCTCCTCAGATTATTATTGCAGTCCAATCTAAGATCTCCAATAGGACCCATAGGATTGAGAAGTATGTCCCCAAGGGTTTTACAATGCTTAATAGTACGGATGATCTACTTAATCAGAAGAACCTATATATTTACAAACTACCGATAAATATTTCAAGAAACGTTTTATCTCAAGAGTTATAAAAATTAAAATGTTATGAATATTATATATAAAATTTAAACAAGTTAATGTAAAATTTTAGAATCTAATTAAATTAAATCTTAACTGTAATAATTATATCTCATCAACGAGTTTTTTTATTCCGATAGCCAAAGCAATAATTCCTTTATCTCATTGCTTCATTCCACATCATATCTGGGTCATCTATTTCCATAATTGTCTTTTCCTTATCTTTAATTTTTCCTGTTCCAATTGATTTTTTGTTCTTGTTAGTTTTTGAGACTTTTTGGTCACAATTTCTAGCAAGATGTTTGACTGAACCACAGAAATTACAACTTCCTCCTCTTGGATATATAGATCCCGTTTCGTTATTAGGACAGAAAGCAACTATGTGTCCTGCTTTCCCACACTTAAAACAGCTTGCAAATGGTAAGACAGAGTTGTCACTTCTTGGCTTTTTGCAGTCTTTAAGTGTGTGCCCTAGTTCTCCACATAAAAAACACTTGAATATTTTTTTCTCTAAGGCGCCACTTTCTTCAATGCTGTTTGTGTCATTTTTATCTTTAGCTTCTTCAATAGTTGGTTTATAGTACTTGCAGTCAGACATCTGGTGCCCTTTTTTTCTACAACACAAGCAAACCACATTCGAATTTTTTCTAAGTGATATGCTTGAATTCATGCTTTTTTGTTTCATTTCCCTTTTAATCGTTTTAATGCTTTTCTGAATCTGACCTCCGATTTCAACTTCTCCTCTTAAACCTTTTTGCAACTTTGAAAGTCTCATTATTATTCTTCTTTTTTTGGACTTGGATAGTTTTTCAGACTCGTTATTTAACTTTCCCTCCAAATTCTCAATACTTTGTTTAATCATATCTGCTGTCCAACATTCACTTCTAACTTTTTTCGTCTTTTTTTTTAGTTTAGACTTCTTTTTAACTTTCAAGGCTTCATCTTTAGTTTGTTTGCATTCCTCAGCATTCTCTTTATTCTCTGGTATACAATGTATCTGATTCTCTTTGCTACTATTATCCTCCAATTTCTTAGATTTGGAGGTTTTATTTTTTTTTAGCTTTTCACTTTTCATAGACTTCTCTAATCTCCCAGAGATATTCTTTTCTGCATCTTTTTCAAGTTCTTTAAAGTGTTTTTCTTTGTTTTTTTCAGATCTCTCTTTAATATTTGTCTTTACTTTACTCATTTTTCAGCCTTGTAAATTTATCCTTCTGGTATATTAAAGCTATTTACAATGTAATGTAAGCAACTAAAATATGCAGTATTATACCTTCTAAGAAATTTTATGCCAAGAAAAATTTCATGAATTACAAAATTTGGTTCTCTTAAATGTCAAAATTTACACAAATCTAAAATTTGTATACATAAAGGCCCAAAAATATTTTCACTTAATTTTTACTAATAAAAAAAAAATACCGGCAATGTATCCGTCTCGTACTGTCTTTAGGGTGAGATAATATATTTAGTGGCTAGGGGAAAAAAATTAGTCAAAGAAGACCAAAAATAAGTTGTCATTTTTTGACATTTTTAAAACAATAAAAACAGCACTAATAATATTTGAGAATCTTTAATACTATCGCCATGTCGGTAAGTTGATACTTTTATGATAGGGCTCTTTTGATTTGACATTATCTTTCCTAGAAGTCAAAGTCTGTTAAAATCGCTAAAAAGCCAATTGAAACTAAAGTTATTGATAATTCTACTGATACTTCCAGTGATGATTCTGATACATCTAGTTTTGTGATGGTAAAGAAGGCTGAGAAAAAGCTTGCAAATCTTAAGAGTAAAGGCGAAAATAAGGAATCTATCCACAAGAAAATCGAGCCAAAAAATATGAAAGCTCAGGAGTCTTCTACTGATTCTTCTTCGGGATATTCTTCTGAATCCGAAGTTGATAACAAGAAAAGTTCTAAAAAAGAGTCAAAGCCCAACACTTTAAAGACTGAAGTAAAAAAGGCAGCTTCTAGCAGCTCATCTTCTTCCTCTGACTCAGATTCTTCTTCAGAGGATGAAAAGCCAAAAAAGAATGCCAAGGCAGCTGCTCCAATGAAAAAAAGCATCTCTAACAGTTCTTCTTCCTCCTCTTCTGATTCAGACTCATCAGATTCTTCTTCAGAGGATGAAAAACCAAAGAAGAATGTAAAGGCAGCTACCCCAATGAAGAAAAACATCTCCAGTAGCTCCTCTTCCTCTTCAGACTCATCAGACTCTTCCTCAGAGGATGAAAAGCCAAAGAAGAATGCCAAGGCGGCTACTACTCCAATGAAGAAAAACATTTCTAACGGTTCTTCCTCTTCTGACTCATCAGATTCTTCTTCAGAGGATGAAAAGCCAACAAGTACAAAAACAGCTGCACCAATGAAGAAAAACATCTCCAACAGTTCTTCCTCTTCCTCTTCTTCCTCTTCTTCCTTTTCAGACTCATCAGATTCTTCTTCAGAGGATGAAAAACCAAAGAAGAATGCCAAGGCAGCTACCCCAATGAAGAAAAACGTCTCCAGTAGCTCCTCTTCCTCTTCTTCCTCTTCAGACTCTTCGGATTCCTCTTCAGAGGATGAAAAACCAAAGAGTAGTTCAAAAGCAGCTACCCCAATGAAGAAAAACATTTCCAACAGTTCTTCTTCCTCCTCTTCTGATTCAGACTCATCAGATTCTTCTTCAGAAGATGAAAAACCAAAAAGTAGTGCAAAAGCAGCTACCCCAATGAAGAAAAACATCTCCAGTAGCTCCTCTTCTGATTCCTCAAGCTCGTCAGATTCTTCTGAAGACGAACAATCAAAAAAGAATGCAAAACCAGTAGCTACTGTAAAGAAAAGCATTTCCAAAAACTCTTCTTCATCATCTTCGGATTCATCCAGTTCATCAGATTCTTCCGAAGATGAACAACTAAAGAAGAATGTAAAGGGACCTACCCCAATGAAGAAAAACATTTCCAGTAGCTCCTCTTCCTCTTCTGATTCAGACTCTTCGGATTCCTCTTCAGAGGATGAAAAACCAAAGAGTAGTTCAAAAGCAGCTACCCCAATGAAGAAAAACATTTCCAGTAGCTCCTCTTCCTCTTCTGATTCAGACTCATCAGATTCTTCTTCTTCAGAGGATGAAAAACCAAAGAAGAATGCAAAGGTTGCTGCCTCAGTGAAGAAAAACATCCCAAGCAGCTCTTCTTCTGATTCATCCAATTCATCAGGGTCTGATAGCGATAAAGACGAAAACAAAAAGATTTCAAATCCTGTACAGTCATCAGATTCTTCATCTGAATCCGAGGTAGAGATGAACAAGAACAAGAGAAAAGCAGAAAACGAGCTTAACAATACTAAGGCCAATAAGTCCACAAAAAATGAAAATCAAAAACGTTCTCACCAAGCAAATGATGATAATAATCAGCCAAGAAAGAGACAGAATACAAATAATAAGGATGCTAGAGAAGTATATTGTGGTAACCTTCCTTATTCTTGTACTGAAGATGAAATTAGAGATTTATTTGAAGAATGTGGAACAATTGAGAGAGTATCAGTTCTTTCTGATAAGGGATGCGCCTTTATTACATTTGAACAAGAGGAAGGAGCCAAGTCAGCAATACAATGGAATCAAACTGAATATAAAGGCAGGATGTTGAGAATTAATATGTCAGCAGACAAACCACAACCGGGAAGTTTGTCAAGTGGTGGATATGGCCCTTCAGTCATTGTAAGAAACATTCCATTTTCAAGTGATGATGAATCTATCAAATCATTTTTCAATGGATGTGGCGTAGTTAAGAGAGTCTCTATCCCAAGATATTCTGATACTGGAAAGATGAGAGGTTTTGCCATGGTAGAATTTGAAAATGATGAGCAAATTCAAAACGCTCTTAAGTTATCAGGTACTTCTATGAATGGAAGAGAAGTAACTATTGAAATTGCTTTAGGAAAGAATAATAGCGGTGGTGGAAGAGGTGCTGGATCAGGTGCAGGACGTGGGGGTGCAAATAACAGACCCGGAAAAAGTAATTCATCTACAACTTTTCAAGGAACAAGCACCACATTTGACGATAGCGACTAAATGAGTCTTTATATTGTATTATTAAGTTCTCACTAAATTTAATTCCTAATAATTAGATAATTTACTCAATTGAAATATTCTATATTAAGAAAAATATTTTAGTATTAGGATTTTATTTTTAATTATCAGTCAATTTAAAAAACTGTCTTCTGAGTCCAATTTTTGGGAACTACCTAAGTTCCGCAAGGTCGTTAGCGACTCAAAACAACATACTAATCTCACACCTAGAGAATGCTTTGTAAGTAATTCCAACTAATTTCTAAATTAAAGCCAATGCAGAATAGGCAATTACTATTAACCAATACATTTTTAATAATTATAGACATTGGCGCCATCACAATTAATACGGGTACCGCAAAATTAGGCGCCTAAATGATCAAAAGTTCATATTATTAGAAGGCAATATACTTAAGTTGTAATTATTTGTATTCTAGATGTCTCCAAATTTTTGGGTGTAAATTTAAGGTTTAAAATACGAAGTAAGATCTACCTTAAATAGTCGATAAAGTCTTTAAGGTTATAACTAAATTGTTTTATTAATTTATCTGGGAAGGAATTCGTTTCTAAGAAAAGATACTCCTCTTTATTCTTGTTTAACTACTGTTAATAGTTAGGAAATTCTTTTCCACTATGGCCGGGAAGATATCATCATTAATTAAGATTTACAATTCACTTTCAAAAATGAATTTTCACATCCCTGCGAGGCCTGTGATAAGTAGTGAATTGGGACTGGTTGCATTTATATCTGTCTTGCTTGCAATTATTTTGGCATACTGTTGGCATTTATACAAAAATGCAAATACTACTAAACAAGAATTATATGATGGTCTACAGGTAGGATATAAATTTTCTTACATTGGCTATTTTATCATGATACTTATTATGGCTTGCTTATTTTTACCATTTTTGTTCATTATTCTTCATACATATGACACAGCTGGTTGCAATAGAAGGGAGCTTGCTCCTTATTGGAATAATAGAGCTCTGGTATTTATATCACTTTGGTTGGAGTGTTTCTTTATATGCTTCTTTTTAAGGTCAACAAGATCATTATTTGAGCAATTTTTTTTTGTTTATTGTGATTTAAAGGATGCAGATCTTGTTTCAATTTGGCGAAAGATAAACAAAGAATCGGATGTTACATCTAAAAAGCAGACAAAATTAAAAAGAGTTCTTTCTATTTTTTTAGACCCTTTCAATAAACTCTCAAGAATTCTTAATGACGAGATATCTGGATATATCCTTTCAACTGTAACAGTTATCATTGATTATAATTGTGAAAATGATACTTTTTCTAAGCCATACTTTGAGCTATTTTGCGTCAGATACTGGTATTCGGAGAATCTCAAGAAGTTCACATGTGTGGAGGATCAAGATTACTCCAATGGTGAGGTTTCCAACCTCACTGCCTGCTTAGAAAAAGATGTTTATAGTATTTCAAATGTGTCAAATTTGGGTCAATTAAAACCTAATTTATCAGATTTAAATACATTAGAGAGGCTGGAGAATTCTGAAGTCGTACAGAGCGAAGTTAACGAGACTGAAACAATCAGTCCCATTATGGGTTTGAGTAAGGAACTGGCTTATGAACAGCGTCAGTCTCATGGCAAAAACACAATTAACATTGAGACACCTCCATTGGCTGATTACCTTTTTTATGAGATAATAAATCCTATCACTGTGTTCCAACTTTTAGTTTTAGCATCGTACACATTTCAGGGTTACCTGCTTTTTGCCGTAAAGTGGGTTCCAATGATGATTATTAGCATTGTTGCAAATATAAGAATTCACTTTATTAACATTGAAAATGTTAAAAAGCTAACAAAAGTGGCAAGTGACCCTAATGTTAAGGCTATAAGGGATGGTAAGCTAGTTAATTTAGATATTTCAGAATTAGTACCTGGAGATATTATTCATGTATACGAAAATTCTGCGGTACCATGCGATCTTTTACTTTTAACAGGTTCAGCCGTTGTTAATGAGTCTATGTTAACTGGGGAGTCCGCTGAGGTTTTGAAAATGCCTATTTCCGAATGTGAATCTGAAAAAATATCCCCCGAGAATGGGCCGTATTCAGCAAAAAGGTATTTCTTGTATGCAGGTACATATGTTACCGCTGTTTATAATAATGTTGGTAAAGGGATGGCTCTTGGGAGCTCTCTCGGATCTGTGAATATTAAAACTTCATCAACCAGATCAACCGATTCGATAGTTAATTTTACATCTAGTACAGAATTTTCAGAACTGGCCGGAATTCAAAGTCTTGCATTAGATGAACCGTCTGTTACTACAGCATTGGTTATCCGAACCGGTGCTTGCACACTTAGAGGAAAGATTATTAGGTCAATCTTATATCCCAGTAAATATAGCTTTGATCTATATGATCAGCTCCCAATTACCTGGTTATTTCTCAGTTTTATTGTTGCTTTCATGGTTTTCAAACAAGGCAGCTCATTTAACTGGGGTCTTTTCACATTTTTCTTCGCACTGGGATCAATAAACTCTACTTTTCCTCTTTACCTTGGAATACTAAACACCTTGTCACAGAATATTTCATCGAGAAGGCTTTTTAGTAATTTAAAAGTTAAAGCTCTCATTCCATCTAGGATAATTCTTGCTGGAAAGCTTAGAATTATGTGTTTTGACAAAACAGGGACTCTTACTAATGACCGTCTTGATTTTGTTGGTATGTCTCCCATACATATTACAAATGGTGATTTAAACTACATGTCTATTTCTGAATCAGAACAAGCAGACTTGAATAAAAAGAATTCTCCTGAGATAAAAATTCAATTTTTGGCAAAACAAGGTATTAATTATGTGTTATCGGACAAAATTTATGCAATAGACGAGATACGGGATAAGTTTAAATTGGCATTTTTGTCAATTAGAAGTTGTACATCGCTAAGCCACTCTCCAAAAAATTTTGAGATCCCCAAAGATATAGTTACCAATCCGAGGAATTATTATGAAAAGATGAATGGGAACGACACTGATAAAGCACTTTTTTCGGTTACTAACAGCTTCTTTGAAAAAAGTGGATCAAATGAAAAAGTTTACATTCAATCCCTTTATTTAGGATATGAAGATGGTAAGCAGAAGCTGGATATTGCAAATAGCTCGTTGGAGGTACTTAGAATTTTTCCTTTTGATTATAATAAAAGACTAATGAGTGTTATTGTACATTGCAGGAGTAGTGATGAGTATTATTTATTTACAAAGGGTGCTCCCGAATCTATTCTGAAGATTTGCATTGGGTCAGCTGGATTTGAATTTAAGCAGAGACTTGATGAACTTTCTTCGCAAGGTTACTATATTATAATGTCTTGTTATAAGAAAATAGAAAAAGAACTAATCAATTTGTATCTAACATTGAATAGAAATGATATAGAAACAGAATTATCTCCTCTCGGGCTTTTAATTTTCGAGAATCTTGTAAGAAAAGAGGCTCCCAGTGTTTTAAAACAATTGGTGGATTCAGATGTTTTACCTATTATGGTTACTGGAGACTCTCCATTAACAGGATTGAATGCTGCTTTGAAACTTGGTATCATTGATGAGACCTATGGGAAGATTGCTGTGTCTGAGCTTTTAACGGATGAAATAGGCTCAGAATTTGTACAGTGGAGATGTAAGGAATCAAAAGAATTAATTCCAGACAGAGAAATTTATACTCAGGACAGTAAGTTTGGAAACTTGGTCTTGACTGGTGACTGCTTTAATGTATTATTAAGAGAACATGATTCCTCGGTTCCTTTCTTTGACCCTGCTGGTGAAACTGGAAAGACGAGAGACTTGGACATTGAAGCTGCTAGTGGCTTACTTCAAGTGAGGACTAAGATTGATTGCATAATAAACCGCGTTGGCGTGTATGCTAGGATGTCTCCAAACAATAAGGTCGAAGTAGTCAGTCTCTTTATGAAAAGAGGGATAATAACCGGTATGGTGGGTGATGGTGGAAACGACTGCGGAGCTCTCAGAATTTCCCATGTTGGGCTTTCGTTTTCAAAGGGAGATGCATCCCTTGTTGCTCCTTTCAATTCATCTACCTCAAACTTAAACTCTGTATTGGAAATCATTCGTGAAGGAAGAAGCAGTCTAGCTTCAGCTATGTCAATTTTACTATATCTAATTTCTTATGGTATAATGACGTCTATGAGTGATACTCTCTTGACGCATTTTGCATATGCAGCAGTTCCTGACATTTCCAGTTCTTTTGTTGCTTTCTTTGCTCAGACTCTTATTCTTATTGGCTTTTTATTTAGTTCTCCTTCAAAAAGATTGGCGGCAGCTAGACCTTCGGGAAGCATTGCAAGTGTACGTTTTGTCCTGGCCCTTCTTACTCCGTTTGCTACTTACATTATTGGATATTATATAATGTTTTACAGACTCAACTCAAAACCATGGTTCCAACCTTCCAAAGATTTTAACATTCATTTGCCTGCACAAAATTGGTTTATGCGTATGGACAATATTGAGTCAGCCTGCTCTTGGATCTATACTGCAGTCCAGATAATTGCCACTGCAATTTGTTATACTATGGGGTCCCAGTTCAGAAGCCCTTTTTTCAAGAACCCATTTATTTTAATTCCCATCATAATTAACGCAGTTGTGTTCTCTGTCCTCATTTTTACCGGACCTAATAGTTTTTCATGCATGTTTAGAGTTAACTGCGACTCATTTAGTATTCAGAATACTGTTATTCGTATTTTTGGAGTCAAAATTATTAACCCCTCCTCCAGACCTTTCTCAGGACCCAATGGCTCGAGTATTATGCCTTTTAGTTGGAGAATAGAGTTTGTAATAATTTGCATTCTTACCATGTTTTCTACAATTTCACTCTTTTCTGTAATTACCAAACACAAAGAAGAGCGAAAAACATCAATTGAAAGACGATTCTAATTACTTTATATATGGCTTGAAGTATCCTTAGCCATTTAATGCCTGTTATAACTTTACAAGATATTAATTAAAGCAATGTTTCATATTAATAATAGTTTATAAGTAATAATATATCAAATGCCTATTCACATCTATTACAACTAGGCTTTTTTTTTTAAGTTAGGTGAATATGGCTCACCATACTTTATTCTTATCTATTACTTTTAATGCTTATATAAATAAGTATATATATATTTACTATGCTACTATTGTCTGTTTTATAGAATAAATGATACTATGAGAATTGACACCATCTCTCGATCGTGCTTTAACCTAATTTTAAATATTTTAACTTCAAATTAATAGCACTGCCAGTATGAGGAGCTGTCGCATAGTTGGCTAGTGCGCGAGATTCATACCCTCGAGGTCACGGGTTCGAGTCCCGTCAGCTCCTTTTTACACACAAAAATGTAAAGGAAAATAGGATTTTAAAACAAAATTTTGAAAGATAATTAAAAGAATGAGTGCGCATTTTTTATGAATTGAAAGATTTAATTTAGTTTTAATAGGTAGATGATTCTATTTGGCTTTAAGAAACTGGGCCAGAAGTTATATTGAATTTTAAATTAACTTTTGAAATTTTCAGTTTTTTTGTTGATTAGAATGATTGTGTTAAGTAATTCAGGTAGCTTTAACAATATATTGATGGGCATTAGAACCCAGTGAGCCCCTAAAATTTTTAAATATATTTGAGCATATACAGATGCTATTCCAAATATCCTACAGCAATCCTCCCAGCATTATTGTCAGAAATGATAAAGTATTTCTGGAAAGTATCGATTAAGTTTAAGAGGAAGTAAAGTGTCATTTTATTAACTATTAATAAACTTACTTGCTTAAATTGGGAATGAAAGTCAAGAATCTCTGTATTTAAACAAGATTCTTTCTGAGATTCGTTAAATTCAGTGGAAAAGCTACTTTCTTTGGTACCAGAAATGTTCATTGACAAGTTTCTAAACTTTTGAGGCCTGTGAATTCGAGAGATATCTTGAGTGTAATGGAATATATTTGACAAATTAGTAATATTTGGACAAGAATGAACAGAAAGCTTGCTGCAATCCTGCCCAGCTTTGGAATTAAGTATACTGAATGATAATCTTAATGAATTCTGAGCAAGATTGTTGTTTTTTGAAAAGTCCTCGAATGCATCGCTTTTCTCTGGAGAAAGGTGCTGGAACTTGATCAGGTCTAAATTAAATCCAAACAGAAGAGATGATTTTAAGCCATTACAAAGAAGCATTAAGAGCTCATTTGTCTGAGTCCACACTACACTAGAGATCTTGAAGTTTTGTAAATGTATTGGAAGGCACAAAATTGCGCAGGAAACAGATACTTTGTTAATACTTGGCGAAAATGCTTTTGAACAGTATTCAATTTGGATTCTTCCATCATTAGAAGAATAAATTGAATCTTGAAGTATATTTTTACTTACGAAACTAGAGATGGGGTTGGAAAACTCATCATCCTTAATACAGATTTTAGAAATTACATATTTACTGCCTTTAGTCTGAATTGGATGAATTATTTTAATAATTATGTTTTTGAAATCATCCATTGAAACTTGTGTGCAGTTGGATATATTATTAGTAGAGAAGTATTCTGGATCTAGTTTCACTTTTAAAGAAGAAAAGCTACAAATGTAATTCTTTGAAACTTTCTTGACAGCTAGCTTATAAAGCTCTTCAATATTAGAACTCAAATTAAAAATACAAGATATGGAGCAACCTTCAGCATCCTCGTTTAAGAGTTTATCAATTTTTCTGAATTCTATTTCATTAAAGAAATGGTTCGTTTGAGACTCATCGTCCATTTTTTTCAGATTTTCATCAATAAAAAGACGCTTTCTTTCAATAAAGTCTTTTAATATATAGTAAGAATCTGAACTAATGTTAAATGTAGAAGCAATGATATTAGAATTAACAGAAGAGATGATCTTTGGCGGAGAAAGATGATCTGAAGAGATCTTTTTTATATCTTCTCGATAAGTTTTAGCTATGCTAAGTAGGTGCAAAAAAGTGTGAACAATTGGTTTAACTTGTTCAGTCTCGTATATCAAGCATTTGTTAAACTCTTTCAAAAGTTGAATCTGTGTTCTAACCTTGCTAGTTTCCTGATCTTCAATAATCTCAGTTTTCTGAATAATACTCCAAATTATAAAAATTTGCTGTATTGCAGGCTCCACAGTTTGTGAAATGGTATTTTCAATATATACCATAGAATCATTAATATTTTGACCTATCATTACTAGCTGATCAATTGTAATAGATAATTCAAATGGAGAAGAATTACTGGTTTGAAACATATTTACTGGAGCTCCTGAAATAATTGAAAGCAAAAATATTGAAAAATTGCTCTTTTTAATTGTCTTGTCATTACCCAAAAATTGTCTAAAAGGCTTGATTCCAGTAATCCAGACAGACAAGATTTGCTGAAACACACTTTTAAGATAATTAAGTAGCTGCCTCATATATTGTAAAAAGCCGAATGTATTGAATATTAATCCAAAAGAGTCAAAAAATTGTTTCATATCAATCATTTCTATGAGTAAGTCTTCCCTTTTCTCATTTGTTCCATTTTCAGGGAAATATGTTAGAAATATATAGTTTTTGCACACATTAATATCTTTCAATACTCTATCTTTACCTTGCCCAAATTCATGTAGGTTATAAACCCAAACAGGAGTGTGACCTCCAATAGAGCAAATCATATTATTTTTTGAGTCAATTGTCAAAATTAAACACACATCTTCCTCTGGAGTCAAGTATTCTGGAAGTAACCTCGGTGCTTCTTTATGATTGTTTTTACTCAAGTTTTGAGTATCTTCTGGAAGAGTTTCGCTCTTACTTTTTGAGTTTTCAACTTGATTAGAAAAGTTATCAACTGGAGAGTCAGAAAGAGCATTTTCACCTTCTTGATCTAGAATTAATTCATTTAAGAATTCATCTAATCCATGACCCTCAGAGGCTCTATTATTTCTAATATTCAGAGAATAAGGTTCTATTATTATTAGTTCCCTCAATTTTCTTAAAAATATGCCTTCCTTTCTAAGATTCGAAAGTTCTTCACGCAAAACAAAATTACTCATTTCTTTGATCTCATTAAATTGTGAATGAAGGTTATTGTAGCTATTAACTTGACCATTTATATCAATAATAGTAACAGAACCTTTGGTATCGCCAATGCAAATACTTCTTGAATTGTTACACCAATCTAGGCAGCTTGGTTTATCTTTAATCTGATAAGACCAAAGCAATTTAATTGGTTTATTTGGGTCATCAATTCTGTATAATTCAATTGTATATATACTTGATGAAACCAAAAGTGCAATTATCTTCCCATTTGGATGTATTAATCCTGACCTTACGTTTTCTTTCCTATAGTGTACGCATGGCATCTTAAAACTTTCATAACTTCAATTCCTAATTTGGCCTAAAATGAAATATTCCTTGTAAGTAAAGTCAACTGTTAGTTAATTCCTAATGAAATTATTTACAAGTTATTTATCTGCTAAATACTTATTTCACACACCATACTTCCTTCAATTCTCTTCTCTTGCAGCTTATACTAGTTGTTTGCCACTATATACCCCTCTTATTCGTAGTTTGCCGCCAGTAAGCGCCAACCTCACCAATTTTCTCTGACATTTTTTGCAATTTCTAATATAAAAAAAATTAATGTTGGCGGTAAATTTTAAATAATTTGTTTTTTGAAAGGCAAGTCATTTGGATTTGTAGGGAATTGAAAAAGGAAAGTAGTTTAGGATTCTTATTTATAAAAAAGACGGTTCTGGATGCACCATAATACGTATATTTTGCCCCATTATTCTGAGTTTTTATAATTTGGATCGAAAAAATTAATTAGAAAAAAAATGGTATTAGAAAAGTCCGGGAATATACAGTCAGACGAGGCAAAAATTGAAAGCATTATCTTCCCGAAGGAATGTGTAGAATATATCATGAATAGACAAGGTGTAAAGTCATCAGACCCCAATTTATTTTCTATTGCTTCAATTCTGGGACAAAAATTTATAGAGGAATGTTTAAAGAAAAGTATTGAGACAACTGAAGATGGTAGATTTGTAATCAGGGATGACAACTTGAGAAATATGATTAAAATGGAAAATTCAACTTTCGCAGTAAAAAACGATTACAATGTATTCTTAATGCCAAATCAAAGGTATAGGGAATTTTTTAAAGAGTAAATTCTAAGATAATATATTATATTTAGTAACAAATCATATTTTAATATATACAGTCAAATAAATATTTTATTGCTTTAAACTTCTGTGATTTTGTTAAACCAGTAGACATTATCATCTAAATTTTTATTGAACTCATGCAGGTCCTCCAAGATTTTTTGCATTTCTTTCTCATAAGTATTTAATTGTTGTGTATCTGGTTTTGAAGCAGCTTTAAAGTACTCATCCAAATAAGCCTTTTTAATTTCACTAGATTCTGAATGATTTTCCTTCTTATCTTTATAGTCAAATTCATCCTCTTTCTCAATGTACTCTTTGTTTCTGTGAATAGCTGTGAAATCTATCATCAGCCTTGACCAGAGTAACATATCATCATTGGAGCATCTAGAATCTATGAAGAATATTTTCCCAAAGGTATTATTCTTTTCTAACTGATTTAACACATTCATATTTGTGCTGTTCATTTCATAGTATTCATCGTACATGAGTTTGGTATTTTTAAGCTTTTCTAAAAATTGGATTGCTAAGCAAATTGAATCCCCAGGCTGCCAAATTATTTTCCGGACCCCATTTAGTTTTGTCAGGTCCACCTTCCAAATAATCATATTTGATCCTGTATTGTCATTGCAAAAGTGGTCACATTTGGTATTTGGTGCATTTGGTATGTAACTTCTACTATCTGAGTTTGAACAAATTTTCATCAGGTAATAGAAAGATTGACCATTTGATGATATTGTGGTTACTGCCAAAACACCGCATGGGTATAATTGACTAATTGGTCCGTAAAGTTGAATATTATGAGTTTTAAAAGAGTCATATACCTTTTCATTATAGGTAGAAATAGAAGTTATCCATTCCTTTTGAATTACTTGAGAATAAGAATAAAGTAACTTAATCTTGAGCTTTGGAATATATTTTTCAGACTCAATCCCCATTTCTGTTAAGTATTCTTGATCGAACTCTGTATCTTTATAGTTTTCAGCTACACTTAAGTTGTTTACCTGGTTTGAGTCAGAATTACCTTCAAAATTTTCTCTGGAGTTGTCCACTTCTTTCAATGAGTAAACTGAAAATCTATCAGAGTACTGAACTATTAGAATATCTCCATCTTTGTTAAAGTGAATCTTGCAGCTATAAAGATACTTGTTATGCCTTTTCCCATAGTTCGGTATTGCTTTTAAAGAAAGAATGGTTTTAAACTCATCAAAAATAAGCAATATATTTGTTTCTCCAATAATAATAAAACTTGAATAGATTCTACGGCCTTCCTTCTCAGAAACAGCCAAAGATACAAATTTATTATTGTTTCCAGGATCTACATATTTAGTTGAAATATTATTCAGAAAATGATCTGGAAAAATCGAGGAGACAGAGTGAATAGTAAATTCATGAAACTTTGATGATCCATTCGAGAACTCATTTGCTATTATGTCCTGATTATTATATTTTGCTTTCGCTTGAACTATTAATGGCAAAGAACTGTGTAACTCAACTACAAATTCAATAGTGATAGTATATTTACAGTCAGCTTGACTGATTTCCTCTTTATTATCTGATTTAAGTGTTTTAATTCCTTGAACTGAAACAAACTTATTATTTTCAAAGTCTCTTGGATCTACCATGTTTAAATATTGAGCTGGTAAGTAATTATAACATTTCTGCTTCTCATTTATATGTAGTAAAAGGTCTTTAGTACTTATTGATCCAATGAATTTTGGGACATAGCATTCATAACTAATAAGTTTACTTGAGGAGATGTCCCAAAAGGCAAGAAAATCATTAAATAGGGCTCCGAGAAGGCAGTTTTTCTCAAAGATGTAAACATCATTGCAAATTAAAGACTTGGAATCTTCAACTCCAAGCTGTTTTGCTAATAAGGCAAATGGAATAGCTGCAAAACAAGTTCTAGTATATGATCCTAATAAGTAAATTCCTTCTAAATTAGATACTGCCAAGATTTCTCCATCCTCGCTATAACATGCAGAAATGAAAGGGCCATTATCTATCTCTGTAGAGTCAATAACTTTGTCAAGGACATGAATATTTTGAGTTTTTAATTCATTTGTATTTTTATCAAATATTGGAAAATGAGTAGAATCTAGCCAATAATTGGGTATCTCTGGCAAGTATGTATTCGTTTTCAAAAGAAGTTTACATTCCAAGTTGGGTTTCATATTCTTCAACTTATGGAGAAGAGTTTTTATTTTATTTCATTTCATCAAACAATTTAGATTAATAGAAATCAATTTTTATTGTTGGAGTATTTTCTGATTTTTTGTGGGTTAAATTCACCGGTAACTTATTTTTTCATTAAAAAATATTAGTTACCGGTCAAAAACAGAAAAAACAAAAAAAAAAGAATGAAGTAATATAAGTTAAAATTACTAGATCATATAATATGCAAAACTACCTTAGTGTTCCTGTATAGCCAAGTTTGCTACATCGTATTGAATCAAACTAATAAAACAGCATTAATACAGCCATCAATTTCTGGATTATTAGTTACCTGAGCATACTTTGCCCATACAACTTTACCTGTTTGTGTAACAAGACCTAGTTCGCTAACATTTACCTCAATTATAGTACCTTTAGTAATTACACCTAATGTAGTATATAATTGGCTCTGGGGATTTTTCTTTATGGAAACAATATCGAGGTAAAAAGTAGTTTTAAGCTCCGGATGTGTAACATGAGCCTTTTTAAATCTCAAACCAGTTGGTCTAATGTATCTTTCGAGCTTTGGAGGTTTTCTAGTAAAGTCATTCCCCACAAAACAAACTTTATTAACAATTCTCTTCCATGATTTCTTTTGACGCTTGCCGGTTCTTAAGATTTTGAACATTTCATCTTCATTCATAGCCTTAATCTTTGGTATAGGTACTTGCCATTTTGCAGACTTCTCCTTTCTTTTCTGCTTAATCATATTACTGAGAATCTTTGTTCGGTTAACCCCCTCACGATCCAATAAGTATGATGGAACTGCTCCTTTTTGTACATTTTCTGGATCCCTCTCAACCGCATCTTTCTCCTCGTTTGCTTTAACTAGTTTCCTTAAAGTAGCCTTTTCAGCATACCTCTTTTTGTTGTAAAGTTTAGCCTTTATGCCTCTCAGCTTTTGAGCATGTTGAGATTCCTTATGGACTTTACGCGATTCAAACTTTCTCTTTTTCTCAAAGTGGTCGAACCTATATCCATGGCGTTTTCTATGTAGCTCAATGTATTCATTCTGAGGCATGGTTAATTAAACAAGTACCAATAATACCTTATGTTTTTAAAATAACAAAAAAAAAGTTTTACCACTCTTCTTTATTACCAGATATTTCCAATATTGAATTAAAAGAATTCTTTTACAAATAGTCAATTTTACTGTCCAATCTTTATTTCAATATTCTGTTTATATTTATTTATTAATACTTTTTCCATTAGTTTTCTCTCTAATTACACAACCCGCCTAAATGTGGCGCCAGAATTTATTCGGTACCTAACAAAAATACCGCAAAATGTCTTTAAAAGCCGAGCATCACGATCAAAAAAATATATATAAAAAATTATTCAAAAATTAGTGGGGCTGACTAGAGTTCTAGAAAGGTTGTGTGTTACAGTGGCAGAACGCTTTTTTTGATTTATTGAAGAATGAGATATTTCGACTGGAAGAGGTTTTTGGATTAAAGATGCAAGTTCCAGTAATCCACACAAATAGAAGCCAAGTAACCAATCATGATTATGTTGATTTTACTAAGGTTCCCAAGTTAACAGTTAAAGAATCTATCATGAAGCAGTGGTTTTCAATCAATAAGGCATGTTATTCTTCTCTTCAGGCTTTAAGATTTAGACTTTTATGTTTAAGAGCGCATTTGATTAAGTGTGGGCCAGAGTTACCAAAAAATATTTACAATGGCTCCACTTTTAATTTGAGCTTGTCTTATGATGAGTACGTTTCTTTATTTATTGATGATAAAGAGAATGAGTCCCAGAGTGAGCTGTTAGGAGATATCATGTTTTTAATTTGTGAATTAGTTGATGATAGATACAGTCACACCAATACTTGGAATACCTTTTTAGCAATCGAATTATTCTCTACTGCATATTCTTTGGATGATGAAAAAATATATTGGTATGTTGCTATATGTGAGACCAATAAGGATATTGAATATAATCTTCCAAAATCAAGTACACAGAAATGGGTAAAACAAGCAAAAAAATTAAAGTTTGATTCAGAAATAAATGCTACTGGAAATTTTAACTCTTTGAATCCAACTAATGAAACCTTAGATTTCGTTATTATTTCTATATTAGAACTTTTAATGAATCCTGAATTTGACGATTTCACAAGTATATTTAAGAATAATGATCTTGATTCGGCATTTTTCTCAAGTCTAAGGCTTCCAAAAGAGATGGGGACATTAAATAGATGCTCTCAGATTTGGAGTGGCCAACATATTGCTTATAGGTGTATTACTTGCGGAACTTCAACTTCTTCATGTATTTGTGTAGACTGTTTTCAAAATGGAAACCACGAAAATCACGAATATTATATATATAAGTCAGACTATGGTGGCTGCTGTGATTGTGGGGATGAACAGGCTTGGAGCAAGGAAGGATTCTGTAGAAAGCATAATATTAAGGATATTCAGTCTTCTAATTCAAATGCGAATCTTAATTCGGATTTACTTAGGTCCAAATTAAAAGGGATTTTTCATGGAATACTTTGCCATGTTGTCTGCTTATCTAGGCTATACTGTACTGCTCCTAATACAAAGGAGATATACCTCCCATTTCATTCAAAATTGGTATCAAAAATAATTGAACAAAACAGAAATGATGAAAAGACGGAAGACAATTTTAATGTTTTGGATTTCTATATGCAAGATGAAGATCTTTCTGATGATTCTGAACTAAATATATTTCCTAGTTACTTTGACTCTGATAGTTTTCGAGTAGAGAATGGATTAGATGATGGTAACGTTAATAACGATACAAACCGTAATACTATAATAAATAATGTTGAAGATAATTCTTTTGAAAATGAAATAGAACAAATATATGAAAGAGTTGAAATGAGCGATAATCAAACAAATTCAGAAGATCCAGTTATCTTTGACAACTTAAATGCTGCTCTTCCACAGGAGAACCATTTTTTTGAAGATATCCCAATTTTGCATTTTCAAACTATTAGAGGACAAAACTTAAATGACACTACTATCCCTATATTACTTCTATTCAAACAAGAAAAAAAATTCCAGATGGACTCATACTTCTTTCAATGGTTTATTAGCTTATGTGAAAACTACCAATCTATTTTCTTACCATTAATGGGTGAACTTTTTGGATCTCCAATACATAAGCTTTTGATGTTTGGAATTTTAAACCACCCGAGCCTTAATGATGACCTTAAATCCAGTAACAAATATGCATGTAAATTACTTAAACCTTTAATTGAAGAATATATTAACAAAAGAATTCACACCTTAACCACTCAAAAAGTTAAAGATTTCCTTAGAGAAATACATTCTGATTTTAAGTTTGTCTCAGTAAAAGAATCTGATGAATCTCAAAATGCAATAATCCAGGAAAATACTTCCGAAAATTACATGTTAGATTTCAGAAATGGTGATGAATCTATTTCTGATGAATTTGATATTAAAATTGAGATCCTGACGTATTTAGATATTTTCTGGATGAAGTGGTCTAGACAGCTAAATGAAGCAAATGATTCCCTCATTCATCAGGCTTTGGTGTCAAAGATTTACAAACAAAATGATCTAACTGACCTTTTACTTGTTATGATGTTTGATTCCAAGTTTAAAGAAGAGATTTTTCCTGACATTTTCATGAGAAATTATAATGAATTGGTAAAAAGACAGGATAAAGTCTTAACTAGAATTGCTGTACAGCTTTTTACAATTGATAGAATGCTGATTTCTATGGCTTTAGATAACAACTTAATTCAGAATATATTTTTTACGACTTTTCAAATTCTACAGAGCTCTGTTGTATATCAGAAGGTTTGCCATAAAAATAAAGAAGATTCAAAATCCAAATTTCCAGTCCCAACTCTTAGCTCCAATAGCAGTGCTGTGGTCAATAGAAAATACACATATTCAATGCATGATTCTAAATATTTGCTCCAATGTATAGATTTGATCTACTTTATTTTTCTCAATAAATCCACCAAAATGTTACAGGAAGAGTTGTCTTGCAGACATATAGAGCCTGAAGAAACAAAATACTTAAGCAAGAAGTTATACATGGAACTATGGTATAATGGATGGCTATCTTTGCTTAGATTAGTACAATGTATGAACCCTCACAAAAGTAAGATTGTAGAGCCATTTGAGGACTTAAAATGGCACTCAAGTCTTCTTCTTTGTTGTGATATTCAATCCACTGTAGATATATTACTCCAGATCATTTTTTTGTTAACCAGAATCCCAGGTGATTCAAGCTTAATGCCTCTTTCTTTGGAATATGAAGGACTAGATTTAACTACTTTTTGTATATTTCGCCTCGTACTAAATACTGTACAATCATTGATTCAGTGGATTCACATTACCAGCATTAATGAATCCTGGAATATTAAATATGAATATGTGGAAAACAGATCATTCAATATAGATAAGACTTTTGGTAGATACTTTGTTAAATTTGAGTATGCCTCAACTATAAATGGAAATTATACTCTACATAATCAAAGCATAATAGAAAATTGGGCTTCTATACATATTCCACTCAACAGGACTTCTTTACAACTTATTTACATTTACTTGGATTACACTTCGAGAAAAAAAGATTGCATAGACTCCAAGTATATTTTTGAATTAGTAGAAAATCTCGGTATTTTGAATGACGTGTTAAAAATATCAATAATAGAGCACCCATTAAGAGCATATTGTTTTGTCCACCAGGCCTTTTATTTAAATGATGGATCTTGGCTTAGGAATGGATTAAGTCCAATAAACGAGGCTCAGTTCTACAAGAAGTCACACTGGTCAACAATGTATATACTTCTTGATATCTTCTCAATTAGGTTGGTTTTGAATATACTTGACAATCAGGACAGCATATTGTTTATGATTTCTTCAATTTTGACTCACTTTAATTTAATTGAAGACGAAATTAATTGTGAAAATAATAATCATCATTCTAAGAAAGACATGGATATGGTGGACCATTTTCAAATAAGTTCAGATACAGATAATAATAGTATTTTGAAAGATGTGAAAGAATCTATTAATCCTTGCTTTAATGTACTTGGCTTAAGAAAAGCTATTGATAAGAAGGCAAATTGTGCAGTGCTATTTATTATGGATATATTCACTAAAATCACATCTCTTGATCTTCCTAATTCTCTCTCATTTAATAAATCAGTATATAGATATTTGCTTGTTCAATACTTGATAAGAAAAAATAGATCCAGATCAGAAATTCAAGACGGCCTCCCAATTTCCTCCTCTTCATCCTTGTACTATGGAAATTTTATTCAGTCAATAAAGTCTTCAAATCTTAACACTATCATTGATGAGATTTTGGACTCATTTTGTGAGAAAATCCCCGCTTTTGATAACAAGCCAATTCTGTATAAAATTAAGCAGCCAATTGGATGGATGTTATATGATCCTCTTTTACCAGTTAAGTTCTTAGGAAGTGAAGATAACTCCAACGGTGAATCTATATGCTCGTACTTTAATGATTGGCCAAATAGCTTAAGTAAAAATTCTAAATTATGCAGAGATGTAATTAGTATTGAGGATGGTAGTTTAAAAAAGAGACGAATAGGTGAGAATAGCATGTTAGAACATAATAATAGAAATCAAAATGGTATTTTCGGTAAAAATGAAATAGAGGAAGCTCAAGATAATTCAGAGAGAAAGTTTATAAATAATAAGTTCACCAAGTTTCCTATTAAGCTATGCCATATTCCTTTAAATGAACATTTCTCCTCTGCAATACATTTCAACTCGAGCCAAAACATGTATATCAAATCTATTCTGCTTTCAAATATACTTCACTTGGCTCTTCCTAAACTTTTTGGACTATGTATAAGCCAAACACTCATGGATGATGTGAGAATAATACACCATTCTTTCATTCTACTTTTCAACTTGATTAATATAGAAATAATAGAATACATTTACAAGGCTTTTAAAGCCAGCAATAATGAAGAATCCCAAACAAAAATAGAATTTAATAGAGTTCCTCTAAATACTGAAGAACCAGGAACAAAGAATCAAACAAACAAGGAAATTTTAGAATTTAACGAGGATCCAACCTATGAGTTCTTTTCAATTCCATTGGAAGCGAATACAAATTTTAAACAAATAGGAGGTTTAAATTCACCAGTATGTAAAAATTCACACTCTAGCAGGTTGTTTAATGTCTCAATTTACTGTTTAAATCAAGATGGAGACAATGATGATTATCAGTACTTTGCAGTTCAACCTAATCTCTGTAGTTTGATTAAAGAAGAGCTAAGCAAAAAAGTGGGAAACAACTTAATTCAGAATACCACTCCTATAGTGCTCAAAGATTTGAATATGATTAATATTTGTGACCTGCTTAGAAAAAACCGAATAGAAAGTGTATTTGAGCTCCTAATTACACCATTAATTTTAAGTTTTGAGAATGATATAAGACATGAAAAACCTTTCTGCCTGATGGATATATTAGTGGAAGTGTTGTATTCTTTAAGAATTAATGATAATGACATTCATTTAGGAAAAGATAAAAACAAGTTTAAGTTTGTTAAGAAAGATGTTTTAAAGTTAATTCCTATTGAATCTTCGTTCTTTTTAGAATGGGGGTTATCTATTGCAAATCACACAAGTCCTGAGATAGAATCTTACTTTAGGAGTTACTTAGAAGGTCTTTATATGGAGAGAGTAGCATCTTTGCAGGAAAAAGCTATTAATTTGAAGGAAACCAATTTTAAAGAGAAAATACAAGAGAAACAAAAAAATATTCTACAGGAGTATATGAAAAAACAAAAAAATTTTATGAACAATTTTAAAAAGTCTATGCTTTTAAGTAATGAGGAGAATAAGGTAGATAACCAGGATGGGATTAAGTTAGAAAAAATATGTGTTGGCAACCAAGGTGTAGATAATGAAGAAAATTCTGATTTTTGTGTATTTTGCCATGAGCTAATTAGCGGTAATCAAGGCCATGATAATAATGATGAGCATATTGCAACTTTTGGATATCTGGATCTACAGAATACCAGTTTGGACTCAAAAAGAAATATACAAAGTGACACAACCTTGGATGGCCTCCAACCAAATTTTGGATATACTTCATTTTACTTAACAATATGTGGGCATTTAATACATTATAAGTGCGTTTCTCAGTATTATAAGTTATTTAATAATGAAATATCATCTGGTTCAAATGATGGCAGTTCAAGATCAGGCCAAGAAACTAGGCAAATACAAACAGAAGAATGTAGTTTGGAGATGAAATCTAAAATTCAGTATGTAGGGTTTCCATTGACATACTACAAGAACAAAGTAGCACTTAGTGTGAAACAAGTGGGTACCAGAGATAAAGTAGAAAATTTTGATAAAGCCAATGTGGAAACTTCTAGCAGCTCAATTCACGTATTATCTTCTATATCTGATAATCTTGGATCAAAATTCAATAATAAAGTTAGACAGTATGACATTAATAAACAAATTTACCATTTAACCAACTTAACATGCCCATATTGTAATACATTCTCCAACATAATTCTTCCTTTCAAATACTTTAAAAGAGAGGATTTAATGATGGAAAAAGGCAATGAAGAAAAAAACTTTTTGGTTTGTAAAGATGATTACTTGATGCAAGTTTTGGATATACTAATGGATTTTCAGAGAAAAGATGAAATATTTAATCTTTTTGGTGACAATTATGAAGGAAATTCTGAATTAAATAATATAGAAATTGATATAGAGAGTATCCCAATACTAGAGCAAATTCTTTCAATACTGACTTTGTTTAATCATTTACTTCCTTTCAACATTCCTGGCGTAAATTTGTTTATAAATGGAATCCCAGGTATTAATCCAATAGGTTTCTTAATTAAGATTATAAGTGACAATATTGTAATAGACACCATCTCAAACTCTGATGAGGCTGGATTGTTTTTTATCAAGCCATTCCCTTCTTCAAGAAGTTTAATGTACAAAATTGTTTTTGATTCTTTAAGAAGCATTATTAATCATTTCCCATCTTTGTCTATTTCAATGATTTACAATTTATTCCCAGTAGTTAGAGATGAAAGTAAAATTGATATTTGGGACTTTATTTCACTCCAATCACCTACAGCTAGGTTTCAAATTCTGGTAAACTTGGTGATTCTAATTGATGCAACTAGATCATTAAGGAGGCAAAATAGCCAAGATAACAATCATTCTGGTAGTTTTTGTCATACAAAGATGAATGATTTACATGCCAGTATAGGGATTAGCTGTTTACATAATGACATTAGGGATAACTTTGAAAGAGAGAGTGAAAGTGATGAAACTTTGGATGATGATAAGTTAAGAATTACATATATTATGTTGAATATGTTTATTTTGGAGGTATTTTCAATTGTTTGGACATTTTGGAACCCAGAATGGGATCAAGATGAGGGGATCTCTAATATAAAGAACCCAATAGTCCAACTCATTTTAAATCTGAATAAAAACAAAAGAAGCCAAGTTGATGAGGAAAGTGATGAACAAAAAGATAATCAGTTAAATGAGAATGAAGTTTTATCTTTTTTTCAGGATTTGATTTATGGTAATGTATTTAATTTGCATAAGAAATTAGATTCTAATTCAGGAGAGGTTGAATATAAGGCTCAGAAGATAAATAATCTTTCAGATTCGAGGATGAATGTTAATATTTTTGGAGCTTTACCAATTCAAATCACTCCAGTGAATAGTGAAATATTGGTTTCTGAGAACAAAAACAAGAGTGAAAGGTTTTATTCTTTTAAGTTGAAAGATTATATGGATAAAAAAGTAGGTAACAATATACATGAATTAAGTTTGAATAAATATCCAAGGTATATACTAAATGTGAACTCAAGTTATTTAAATACTAAGAAAACATCTAAAAAGTATAATCAAAACCAGGAAAATGGGCTTATGGAGGAATTTAAACTTAAAGATATCAAAAAACTTAAAGACATAATTAATCTTGGGATAATAATTTGGCTAAAATTGGTTATTGGATTCCAAAACATTTACATGGAGGGAAAAAGCAAAAAAAATGATAATTCAAATCACAAGGATAACGGATTAAATGGTTGTGAGGATAATAATTTAAGTGAGCAAATCTCCATATTATTAGAATCCATTTCTAGTAGATTTTGTGCAAATGCAAATATTCTAGAAATGGCTTGGAAAACTCTAACAGAATTTGATGTTGAAGAACGAAATACAAACCCTAAAAATTCAAGTATTGTAATGATGAAATCTTTGTTAAGCAACATATTAGAAAGTAACCTTTTTATAAAGTTAATTTCAAAAAAGAAGCCAATAATTCCGTTATCTTCCTTAGAAGTATTTAAAATTCAAGATAATTTGGATAATGTAAAGATATTATTGTTTAATAGTAATATCGATTCATTTTATAAGAATTTGAATTTTGAGGAGTTTGAAATATTTAAGAACTCATTTCAAGAATTGGGAAAGAAGTTTCTACATATAAATGAATATGGCCAAAATATTGTAATTTATAATGGCTTTAATCAGTCAACTATTTTACCTCCTAAAATGTTTCACAATCTTTATAATAAACTTTTATCGAAACCAATAAAACATTGGAGCAGAAAATACTGTAATAATATTAATAATCTTTTGATTTGTATTTCATGTGGAAGTATACTATGTACAGAATATAATTGTTGTAATGAAACTGAAACTAGTACAAATTTATCATCTTCAATTTTGAGTTCTTATTTCTATTGTCATACAAAAGGAACAGGTAGAACAGAAGATGAAAACATATCTTCGTACTCAATTCCGTTTGGATCTGGTTTAAATATATCTTTAAGGTCTATCCCAATTAGGGACCATATAGCAAAATGTGGAAAAGGACTATCTTTTTTCCTTCATGTTTCGTCATCAATTATACTTTCGTTTAGAATTGATATTTCTTCAACTAAAAATGAGGCTAATGGCAATTTATTTAATTGGATTGAGGCAGACAAAAGGCTTTTATATGGTGGAAGAGCATGCGAATTTTCTACTCTTTATGTGGATGAATATGGAGAAGAAGATAAGTACTTGATTAGAGGAAAACCTATGATTTTGTGTCCGTACCGTTGGATTAAATTACAAAATATTGTTCAAAAAATTAACGCAAGAAGAAACACACATTTAAATTGGCGTTCATTTCAACCCTTTGAGTTTCAATCAATAAATGCATGACGTGTAATTTAATTGATAGATATTTAATACATAATTTTGTTTATTATATTATATTGAAAAAGGATTAGTAACTATTATTATGCACAATTTGTTCTTTTCTCTATTTAGCTTCAAATTTATTTAATTTTTTATTTTTCCGGCCTTAGAAGTTTTCAACCTGATAATTCTCATTTTGCCTTAAAATTAGGGGTGTAAAAAAAAAAAAACGAATAAGTTATGAAATTAAAATATTTATAAAACCAAAAAGCAACAACACACAATTGATTTCCGACAGATTTCTTAATTTGGGTCAATCTATTCATAACTTAACACTACTGGACATATAAAACATGGTTTCAAACGAGGAAATTGAAAATTTTATTAACATTTCTGGGTGCACTGACTTTGAAATTGCAAAGAGGTATTTAGAAATGTATCCTGGAGACATGAATAGTGCTATTAATGAATATTTTTCTAACTTAGGTAATGAATCTACAAGTAACAGAAACACTAGCCATCCAGGAAACAATTTATTTCATGATGAAGAAGATGTTAGAACACCTATCCCATCTTTTAATGACCAGCTCATTCCAGATGATCATAATATCTTAAATTCTTCTCAATTTTTGCAGAATCAAAGAATGGTAGGAACTGAAGATATAATTCCTCCAGTAGATGATTTTTCTTCTCAAATGTTTTCTCCACCTGAAATTATTATGTTTTCTGAACCTTTTGAAATAGCAAAAGAAAAGGCTAAGTCTCAAAAAAAGTTGATTTTGGTTAATATCCAAAGTCCCAATGAATTCTCTTCTATGATTTTGAACAGGGATATATGGAATGATTCCTTAATAATAGAATTTATTCAAGAGCATTTCATTTTTTGGCAGAGAAGTTGCAGTACTCCTGAAGGAAGCGAATGGTTGAATTTATATAACGTAGCAAAACTTCCTCATGTTTCCGTTATTGACCCAAGAACAGGTAGGCAACTCAAAGTTTGGGATGTTGCTAAATCTTTTTCTGATTCCATTTCAGCTTCTTCTGAGATTATTGAATTTTTAGAGTCAGAAAATACACTTAGAGCTTTTAATAGGATTTCAACCACCTCTAATACTATTGCTCATGAAGTAGGTAGTTCCACTGTTACAAATATTTCAGAACAAAGCTCAGATTCTTTTTCTACTAATACTAATATAAACACAGTTCAGACAACCCCAGGCATAGTTCCAACTCAGAATCAAGTTCAGCCACAGCCAAACACTCAAGTAGAAGTCCCAAAAATCAATTCTGAATTGGCAATGCTACACATGGAAAGGATGAGAAGGAGGAATTCTGAGAAAAAATGATCAAAAAAGAGAGAAATTAAAAAAAAAAAAAAACCACTGCAAACAATCTTAATTAAATATTTAAGAAATAAACACTAATAACTAGTCTTGATAATAATTCTAGCAATAGTAATAGCAGTAATAGCATTTCTAATTCAAATAATAAGCAAACACAAGGTAGTGTGTAGAAAAGAACTAATTTAAAACCGAATATAAAAATACATCACATGTCATATTAAGAGTTTCTCCTTAATGACACATTGTTATCACTCCAATTTTAAAAAGAAAAAACACAATCAGGAGAATACCACACCACAATTCCTTCCGATAAAAACGATATTTCTGTATTAATCGGATTAGAAAGTTCTTCCACTTCTCAATATGAATTCAAATGATTAAGTACACACTTCCTCGAAATATCAACAAACTTTCTCTCGATATTTAGAACCAATTGATTATTAACTTTAATAACATTCTTCACGTCTTCTCCACTTAATATTTTCTTCCTTACAGAGAAAGGCCAAATTAAGAATGAACTCTTATTAGAACCATTTTAGATATCTGGATTCTTAGTAACAGAAATATTCTCATACGGAGATACCGAACATCCCTTTGTTTCTTTCATAAAAAAGAAACAAATTATAGAAAGTAAACCACAACAAATGGATGAGAGGGCGTAGACACTCAAATCCGAAATAATGTAAGAAAGTGGTATATAAATTAAACTAACGAGCCAATTCAAAATAGATGATAAACCCATTCCTGTAGAGCGAATTTCTGTTGGTAGAGCTTCTGGTACATATGCCCATAATACTGGTGAAAGAGCAAGCTGGAAAGATGCAAGGAAAGTAGTGAAAACGATAATTGAAACAACTGGAATGATTATACTGGAGATGTAGTTTTTGAAAATGGTAAAAAGACCAAGAAGTAGTAAAGAAAATGAATTGGTTGCTGAACCAATAATAGCAACGTTCCTCCTTCCAAACTTCTCAATCAAATGCCCTCCAAAGAAACAAGATATTGTCTCAAATATTGATGTAAAAATGACTATGTAAATAACTTTTTCCTGGGGAAGACCAGAAGCTGACTCAATCAATGAATTCATTTTCTGAGCAAAAATTCCAATTCCACTTCCACTTACTCCAACAGTAATAACAAGAGTAATGAATGTTGGTAGTATGTACTTCCTACTAAATAACATTGAATATGATACATTTTGGCTCATTTTGTCCTCCTCAATACTTTTCTTATTACTTGATAATAGAGATTCCATTTCACCTGATACTACAGAAGGATCTTCATAAATCTTGTGAAGTAGCTCTTCAGCTTCAGCAAATCTCCCTTTAGATAATAGAAAACAGGGAGTTTCTTCCTTACAATAAAAGTTTATTGCAATAATCATAATCAAAGAAATTATTGTGGGAATAAAGAATAATAATCTGCAATAAAGAATATAAAATTCAAGATCATATTCATCCAGGTATCTGATAATCGGTAAGAATACACCAAAAATATATGATAAAGTTTGACCCCCTGGTATAAATAGACCAAAAAGAGTTGTATATAAACCTCTTTTGTGTTTGGGTGAAATTTCTGAGATATATGTAACTGATGCAGCTGAGAGCCCTAAAGAAGCTCCACTTATAAATCTCCCAATACAAAATACTGTGAAGTTTGGAGCAAAGCTGGATAGAATGCCACCAATAGCAAAAGGAACTAAAGCCACTTTAAGTGCAAAACTTCTGCTTCTTCCTACGACATATTTAACTGCAAAACAACTTAGTAAAGATGCTGTAAAGAATGCTAGAGTCATCTTATACATTGCATATGATCCATTTTCACAACTTGACCTCTCTAAGAGAGAACCTTCTGTCCCACATAATTCATAATCTAAAAGAACATATGGACCTGTAAAGTTCAGTATTGACAAATTAATTCCAAATAATAAAGAAATGCTCAAGGCTATCAAACAGCGCTTTAAGCTATAATTGGCCATTGTTAATGTTCGTAAATATTTAAATAATTAATATATTTAATTTATTACTTGACTCTTTATTAGTATAGAAGGTATTTTCTATATACAAATGGTCACTTTTAGTTAAGGAGACTCGAAATGCACCGTTATAATACCAGAATATCAAAGTTTTTCTTATCTAAAGATAATAAATATTAAGTTTTCCCAATATTATTATCTTCCGAGATACGATGAAGAATCTGGGATTATTTCTACTTTTTAATATACATATTCAGTAAAATACAAACATTTCCCGCTGTCTAGTATGACAGTTTTGCCAATATAAAATAATTAATTATTAATTATAAATATATAAATAGGTAAATATATGGAGAAATAAAGAAATAAATAAATAAATATAGATACATATATATTTATTTATTTACGGTGACTACTAATTTAACTCTCTTTCAAGAAAATATAGAGTTCAAAAAGCCAAGACGTGACGAATAATTGATGTCTGAATTCTGAGAAGAATTTAAACATTGAGAATTATTCAACATAATGTTCTTGTATGTCTCGAATTCCTCTTGTATAGATTTTACTTGACTTGCTATTTTTTCCTTGATGTTTTCCAGCTCACATAGAAATTGCTCAATGCTTACTTGAGATTTAACCCCTCTTGAAAACACTCTCTGTAAAGTACCTTTGGAGTTCTTCAAAAGGCTTATGAAATCATTTATTCCGGAAATAATGTCGTCAATAAGAATCCGTGCAGGATCAACATCTATAGATTCCAACATTGTTAGATTAAACCAAGTGGGGGCGACAAGTCCTCTATTAGACTGGTTTTGACCGTGATTTTGTCCCTGTAATTGATTCTGATTCTTGTTAGTTAAAATGCTTTCTTTTACTAGAGACAACGCTCTATTGGTGACTTCTTTAATACATTCTTGATCAAAAGAATCTAGTAAAAATTTGATATATATTTTAAACCAATACTTAAACTCACTTCTTGACTTGACTATAATGCTAGATACTAGTTGGTGTTCAATATGCATCTTTGTATGAGGAACATTTCCATTCAAATCCTCGTTAATTACTTTAGCCTTACTTTTTTCGTCAAAGTTATGGTCCTTAGATGAACTTTTAATTATGTGAGAATTATCCTGTGTAGCTTTAGTTTCTACTTCGAATTGTGGTTTCTGAAAGTGACTGGAATCATCCATTTTATCCTGATAGGAATTTTCTGGTTCATCTTCTTCATTATAATCATCAAACAAAGAAGTACTCAAAATATTCTCAAAAATAGATTGCATTTTCTGTTGGATTAAATGGTTAACTTTTTGAGAGTGTTGATGATTAAGTAATATTTGACGAGAATTTTGTTGGATTTCCCTTAAAAAAAAACATTCCTGGACCTGAAACTTTGAATCGGTATCAAACCATCCTCTTGGGTCTAAACAGACACTACTAATTTCAATCTCTGATTTTGGATGTTCAGCTGAAACAGCCTCAGAGACTAACTCTAACAATTTAGCTTTTTGAAAGTGATGATGACTTTTTTGTAAGATTTGCATATAAGTTTTTGGGAAAACCATTGACCAGAAGTCTGATCTACAATGCTCTAAATCATCAATTCTGACAAAACTTGAGATGTTGAACGAGTAAGAAAATGTCTTTCCATCGTCAAAGTAAAGTATTATAATGGGATCGTCAGTTTTTTCTTTAAGCTGATTAACCTTGTGACTTGAATAGAAATCTACTCTGGAGAGCTTGTGACTGCTCAGAAATGACCAATCTGCATCTAAAACCCAATTAATACTAAATCCTGAAGAAAAACAAGTAGAAGTATTTGGCAAAAAAGATGGAGAAGATTCATAATCATTTAAAGAACCATGAATTTGAAAAATTTTGATCTTACCATTGATTGTAACGAGTAAGATCATATCCAAGGACTCACTTAATACAACTTTTAATACAAAAGGTAAAGATATAACCCCAATTAAAGTAGACCCTGTGTTAAAATTTAAAAATTCCAAATTAGAGCTTGCAATAATATCTTTTCTTTCTAAAATATCAGAATATATTACCAATAAAATGTCTTTAATGCGAATCATGTGAGTTACTACATTATTGTTACTTATGGGTTTGTACCATAACATTTCTTTTGAAACATTTGAAATTTCATTTTCTTGCAAGGTTTCTTGTCTCATACAAATGATTTCAGTCGAAGAATATCTATTTCTATTAATATTTTCAATAATTTGTCTATTATCAGCAAAAACTGCCATTTTATAGTTTTTTTGATTCATTATAATATTTGTTTCAATAGCCAATCTTGGTGGAATGATTACGCTATCTCTCCATTCTTTAATAAATTGATTATTTTGGTGTTCAGGAAGATGAAAATTCATTTGAGTGTTATTTTCTTTGATAGAAGAATGAATTATATTCTGATTTTCAGAATTCTTTTCAAATTGACCATCAATGTCTCTGTTTTGATCGTTGGAAGCTACTTTAATTTCATTTGTATTATTTTCTTTAATTTCCTGATTTTTCTTGAATTTCTTACTAGTACCTTGATTTTGATTAATATTTTTACCAATTATTTGATCTTCTTGTGTAATAGAAATATTACTTGAAACTGCATTATCATTAATTTCATTTTTCCCATCAGATTTATTGACGTACATCTCTGTAAGGTTCAATGGTTGTATTCTCCTGATCTTTGTTCCTTTACTACCAATAACAGCTTCTTGTGTTCGTTCTTGATGTTCTCTAATTTCATTTGCTGTGATTACAGGTAAAGAAAGATGCTTTGAGAATAAATTAGGTTCTCCTGATGATTTTATCTCCATACTTTGTAAACTAGGTTTTTCAGGTATAAATTCAAAGTTCCAATAGTTCCAGTTTGAATAGTAAAACTCTGAAGAATCTTTTGAAGAAGTTTTAGCAAGTGAAAACTCTTCAAATTCAAAAGATATTAACGTTAATTTGTTATCATCAGATCCTATTAATACTGAGTTATTAAAATTATTAAATGAAATATCCGTAACACTGGCTTGCTCGTCCATAAAGTTAGTCAAAACCAAAAAACATTCTATTGACTTAATCTTCGATTTAGATTTCAAGTCATAAATAACCTTCCAAAAGCTTAAAGAACCGTCCTGAGAACTTTGAGCGCATAGGGAAAATATCTCATCCTTTTCTTTAATAACTGTTGACGAAAATTGGAATATTCTTACCCTTCTTTGATGACCTCTTAATCTATAGGCTTCTGGAAGTTCCAATTTACCTTTAATACTTGTTTTTCCTTCGTTATGTAAATTCCAAATATCAGATTTAATACTCTCCCCTCCTTCCAATTCATAATTCAAAAGCTTACAAAGTTCTTCCCATCCAAATGGTTTGGTATCTGATATATCTCTAAATGGAAACAAACAAGAAAAATATGATGTACCAACTTCTCCATATGGGCAACCAATCAAACACGTTAATGGATCGAAAACTGGCCTTCTAATAAATGTTAATATACAAGGGGAGTTAATGATTAATCTTTCTTCTTCTATTAAAAAAGATAATGTAATACAGTTCCGTTTTGTTAAAGTTTCCTTTCCATTTTCTTTATTATACTCAACATTAAAAATAAGCAATCTGCGACTACTCATTTGGGATGCCAAAAAGAACCCTCTAGCGTCTGAACAAAGTCCACTTACATGCCCAATTTCAGTATGTAAAATAGGCATATTTCTGTTACGCATTCCCGTTTCAACAATATCTCTAATGAATAGATTAGATGATTGGCATCTTTCTTCCATATTATAAACAATTAAGTGTCCAGAAATAGTTCCATTCACTAATACCCTTGACCCTTTAAGCCAACAGATATCTGCACACTCATTCACATCACTACTTGAAAATGTTACATATACTGTCCAGTTCTCAAATAATTCATTTAATTCTTTATCTTCTCCCTCAGTTTCAAATCCGCCCACATTCAAATTCCTGGGAGTTCCTGAGCAACACCCAGATCCTTTATAATAAATTGCGATTTGTTCCATATCCACAATTGCAAGATACTTTCCATCTTGACTCCATCTACACATCTTAATTAAAGCAGATGTTGAACTTTCAATAAATGCTAATTTTTTGTGTTTTCCATTATATTCAAATAACCAAATGTGAACCCCCTTCTCACCACAAATAGCAACTCTCTCTTTATCCCATTTTTCACCGATTGGATGAGGTTGGAAAGATACCGAAAGTATTCCATCTCCGGGTGCTTTTATTTCTTTAATCTTTTCTACTTTCATCTATCCACTCAAAATCAAAACTTTAAAGATTTCTGTTAATTAGGAGTTGATTCTTCATCAGTATTATTTAAATTTAATTATATTTTACAAATTTTGCTTGCTTAATTAATAATACACAATTTCCGCCAATTTTCTTGATTATGGCTTCATTATGGTTACCAGTTAAAGCAAATGAATTGTTAATTAAGAAATATTTTACTTATTTATAATTCCTATTACCAAAATCATTTACTGTATTTTTTTATATTAACTTTTTTTTTTACCTCGTTTATTCATTTTTAATTATATTCAGGTTCTTAAGCTCGTAATCTTTTTGTATAAGTTTGTATACGCATTTCTCCACTTATTTGTCAAATCCTTTAAGTATATAAAGGGTATTCCTTCTTCTGGATTATCTTTTAAAATTGAATTTTCAAGCCCTTCTTTGATTTTTATTTCCAAAAAAAATTGTTCTTTAATTATTCCTATTAAGCTTTTTATGCACATTCTAATTTCCTTGGTGATACTATTAATTTTCGAAAACCTTTTTAATGAATATTTTAAGTCTTTTAATATTGATAAATTACTTTTTTCGGACTCATCCTTTTCAAATAATAGACAGAGAAGCAGTAATATAGATGTAGAAAGTACTCTTGGAGGATAAAGTACCATTGCTTGGTGGAGTAATGACAGTTCTGATATATATAAGGCACTCGAATAGAAATATTTTGGCAATCTATTCTTATTTACCCCTTTCAAAACTCCAGAATCAAAGAATGAGTCCAAATAATCAATAAGCGTGGCTTTGTCTGCTATTTTGAATTGTAAGGTATTTAGTATTTCAACTTCCATGTTTATCATATCTTTAGGATTGAATTCTGAGTTGCTCATTATACAGTAGTCTAATAGAACTGCGGGATTCATATCTTCATATTTTGATGCAATGTGAAGACATGTTGCACCAACCAATTGGAGATTATCGCAGTTTATTAACCCATTTTTGTCATTAAGTCTGATAAATCTATCAAATAGGGTTATTCCAATGTGAATGGTTGCTGGTCTGAATTGAAACTTTCTATGTACCCCTATAAGCCAATCTAGAACTATTACTCTACATATATTATTCATTCCATTCTCAATCAACTTTTTGTTGTAATCATTTTTTTCTTCCTGAACTTTGGTTGAACTTTTTGCTTCAAACCCGTAGGCCAAATCCAATTTTTTATTATCTACTTTATTCAATTTATTGTTAAGCGTTCCGTTTTTGAATGTTCCATTTTTGTTTATTACCTTCTTTTTATTCACTTTAACCATATTATATAGTTAATATTATTTCTTTCGCTTTTTTAAAAAAATTTTTTACTGTTAATTTTTGCTTAATTAATTTTTTGTTATATTCCTTTACAAAATTCTACTATTATAAACCTTTTTTTTCCAAATTGAACAAAAAATAGTATCCAACTCCGAATTTCAAACTAATTCTCTCTAAAAATTCCACCATTCACTCCTCAATGAAACCTTCCACTTATTCTTTAATTTATGACATGTAAATATGTAAATAAATTATTATTTTCTGAAAAATTCGTTTGTGCCGCCTGAATTATGCACGGTATTAGTATTAAACTACTTTATCGGTATGACAATTTTGACATTAAGTTTGTCCACATGCAAAAGAAATAATAATTTTAGTATTAGTAAACATTTTAAATCAGAAAAATAAAAAAGTACAAAATTAAAAATAAGAATAAAATGTTTTAAAATTTAATCGAACTCATTTATAACTTAATTAAAACTTGAATAAAAAAAAACCTTTTCTAACTTTGAGTAATGGTAGTTTTCATTCACTAGTGATTTTCATTTTGCAAAACTATTGGAACGGTTACATATCCAGGAGGAGGAATAGGAGGTGGACCTTCCGGAATTAATGATGGATCGTGAACAGTTAAAGAAATTGTACCTTGGGTAACATTTGGGTTTACTGGAGGAGAGTTAGGAGGCGGTATATTCATTGGCTGAGGAGCACAATTGGGTGCAAAGTTTTGTGGTGGAATTACTGGTGGGGCAAACGGTGGAGCATTGGTGAAAACTGGTTGTTGAATTTGAGGTGGATAATTAATAGGATGACCCATTTGATTAAATATTTGAGGTGGAGGTGGTTGAGGTGGGGGTGGTTGAGGCGGGGGTGGCCCAACTGGAGGAGGATGAATGAATTGTACAGGAGCTCTTGGAGGGCCAGCGTTAACAGGGAATCCATTTTGGAAGTTGGGGTTAGGCTGACGATTCATTTGAGCATTGTGGTTTCTAAACATCATCCTTTCTCTCAGTGCCTGTAAATATCTGGTCAACTTCTTTGTTTCTGCCATTCTAAATTGCTTTTCAATCCTTTCTCGAGTTTTCGTTCTTTCCCTTTCTCTAAAGTATATAATTAAAAAGGCAATTGTAGTACAAACGAGCATACATGACAAAATAGATATAGTAATGATTGCCCATAATGGCACTTCATTCTCCTAAATTAAAAAAGTTGAACAGTTGAATAATTGTTAATAATCAAAGTGATCGCAAGTTTATATTCAATATTTGTTATATTAATTATTATTAAGACAAGATCTTAATAGAAAAAAACATTTCCCCTCATTAATATAACTCATTTGAATAAAAAAAAGAGTAAAACTTACAGTTTCAAGAACGGCATTTTCAGCAGCTGTGCTGCCAAGAGTGTTAATATCATTATTCATATCGGAATCGGCCATTTATCATTTTATTCTTATTAATTAAAATAATTAATCAGCCACTTAGTACTACAAGTAGCAATATTCAAATATATGATGCAACTCTCTCGCTTTACCTAGATCTTCAAAAAATTGCCAATAATTAGTCAGAAAACTGGCTTAATATTAACAACTTCCAAATGAAGATATGGAAGAAATTTTAGTGATTGTATAAGGACAATATATATATATATACAGAAATATATATAGTTGGCGGGAACACACAACGTAAATTGTGGCGCCACTATAAAGATTAGTTTATATTGATTAAAGAAACATAGATTCAGCCAGTAAAGTACCCAAAAGATCAAAGAAATAAAGTAGAATAAAATAAAACAAAACAAAACATTAGAATCAGGTTATGTAGGCTTGCTTCCAATCGAATAATAAATAGTTCGCTATGTTTATTCCAAATTTATATTTCTAAAATGCCGTTAAAAATAAAATTTATTTGTCAGAATTAAATGCAATAATAAATCTCAAAATATAGATGAATATATCAATAATGTATGAATGAATCAATAAAGCAGCCATAACATAGTCATCCTCGTAAATCATGTGTTTTCCCCCGCCAATAACACTTTGAGTTGCATACACAAGACAAAATGAAAGGAATAAAACTGCAATTGGTGATATTATCAACTCAACAATTCTGACCTTTGGGAAGAACATGTATATGAAAGAGAATGCTAGAAGTGCAATTGTTCCAAAGAACACAAATGATTGATATGATGTAAAGTCATATTTTGTTTGGAATGAGAATATAGTTAATGAAATAACAACGACTGAAGTAATTGAAAGTGCCATAAGCAGATACTTTGTATTAACGATTAAAGTTAAAAGTGATAAAAGCACTCCTTCTGAAACCGTTATTAAACAGAATAATGCCATCTTACTTGAATGATTTTGCAATGAATCAATGTAGTTATACAATACATAGAATAATATGGAAGAAATCATTGCAAAAGCAAAAGCAGTGAATTGAATTATGGTTATATTCCTGATCATGAATGCTTTCAATTGTGGAATATGCAAAACCATTATTGATAAAGCCAAATCAAACAATACTTGTAAAGTTACAAGCATATATACACGGCGAATAAATCCATGTCTTATACTTTTGGAAAATGACTCAAACTCTTGGCTCTCCAAGTCAAGATTTTCATCTTGAGTATTAGCTTCAACTCTAACAAAAGCCATTGTGAATTCTTCAAACTAGTCAAAAAATGGGCTCTACACAGTGTTTAATATGGAAATGCTCTGTGGCACAGAGAACAGTTACAAAAATCGCTACAAATCAATGAAAACAGCTTTTTCTTGATTTTTAATTATTTTTCTTTTCTGTTAATTCAGGTAATTATTATTTTTTAATCTTGTATATTTGACTAACTTGATTATTTATCTACCGCCTATCCGCAAAATTTATTTGGCCTCTAATTATTTCATATAAGCGGGAAAAATGATTTGTTTAATAAAAGAAATGTATTAATACACACAGATATATATTTTACTTTAATTACATTAATAATGGAATTAGTTATTCATTTTGTTGAGTTAAAATATATTTTGTCTTCTGTTTTTATATTTGAAATGAGCATTTTCATAGATTGCAATAATTAATTGTTTTAAAGTTTTTTTATTGAAATTCCAAAAAAGTGATGTGGAATATTTTTTTGTTGTAAAAATAAATGTGATCGTTATTGTTTAGCGAATGAATATATTCTATTTTGAGTAATCTTAGCACTTATTTTGTTGGCATTTCAGTTATTCTGAGTAAATATTTTCGAATTATGCTTTAAAATAAATCTCTAATATTGGTTAATGTTACCTGTATACTAATTTGTTGTACCCAATTCCTTATTAATTAGCTGTTGTTATCTTCATCTGTTTTTATGAAATACAATGCCAGGTACGCTGTTTTTGGAAAAATGAAATTAGAGATTTTCTAAGATACCTGAATATAGAAAAAGTATTTTTTTTAATACCTAATTAAAAGAAACAGCTACTAAAATGGGCAATGCTGCCCAGCACATTTAGAAAAATACGAAAGAAGACAAACAAGAATTTAATATACTAAATAAAGAAAAGTCTTTTGTGTGCATTAGTATTAGAGCATAGGTATAAATATTTAATCATATGTGGCTTGTAAACTTTGACTATTTAAATAATATTTAAGATTCATTATGTAAATTTCTTAATTAATATAAAGTGGCGCCCGCCATAATATATTATTTGATTAATATAAATAAATATTAAGAAATAAAAATAAATTAAATAACTAATAGGAATATGAAAACTAACAATTAATTATTTAAAGTCAAAAGTAGGCGTATAAATTAGGTCTTGTTGCAACCTTATTAATAATAGCTAGAGAAATGTGTTAGCAGTTACAACAAATAACAATAAATGTATAATGAATTAAAAATTGATAATAACGCCCATACGCCAAATTTTATTTTTCAAAAATAATAAATTTATAAGATTTTTATAGGCCATCAAAATTTGTATTTATTGAAGGTCCTACTGGAGAAGATAGCTAAACAACGAGTATTGGGCCCTACTTTAACTGGAGATTGATATAATTATACCAGTAAATTCAACCATTGATGAAGACGAGGAGTTAAACTTTAATATATTTGTACTTAAAATGGCACAGGTAGATCAGAAGATTATAGATTTACTTAATTCAGCATCCAGATATGATGTCTCAAATTTGGATATATTCGAAAATTGCGTAAAGGATCAGATAAAAAAAGGTCAATATAGTATTTTAAATAATTTAGTTGTTTTATTACAATATTCAATTTACCCAAAAAAAACTAATTTGGATATTGTACAGGATATTTTATTGCTCTCAATAATCAGAGGCCCACTGTCATCTGACTTTCTATCATGCAGTTATCAAATTCCATTATCAATTCAGAATGATCCCAATGTAAAGCAAATCATTCAGCTTAATGATTTACTAACTAGCTGTAGATATGCAAATATGTGGTCTTTATTGAAAACAAATGATCATCTCAGAAGTAAAGTTGAAAGAATAAAAGGATTCTACGATTCAATCCGCGATATTATCATATATTCAGTAAATTGTTCTCATAGTTGTATCAGTATCTCTGTATTAAGTGAGTTACTCGATTTTCCGAAGGATTCTGCAGAGCTTAAAAATGTTATTGAAAAGAATAAGTGGATATTGGATAGCGCATGCGAAATTATTAGGATCCCATTATCTGAGAGCCCAATTGAAAACGTTGATTCTAATGCAAATAAGAACAAATCACTTGGAAGCAATGAAGTTATTTTCAAAAATTATTTGAATTTACTTAGCAATAACTAAGTTTTCAACAAATTTTTATTATTTGACTTATCAGAATGAACTATATAAATATAATAGTCAATTTTGCTTTATATTATCACTTTTGGCTTAAATGTTAGTTTTGAGTATTTGAAAGCTATGAATGCTTTCCTTAATTCTTAAATGCCGTTTCTCATTTTTTTTTTTTTAAGTTTGAAAGTATTTTTAAATGTATTCTAATATACTACATTTTACTTAGAACTCCAAAGTTACAACCGAGGCACATCATTGTTTACTAGACTCTACTAAATATGTATTAAACACAATCCATCGACTTTTTATTAAGCCAAACAAGGTGATCTCACAACAAGATTCATGTTTTCAATTTCTATATTTTGAATTTTAATTCAATATGATTTGGCGCCAAGTCATTTTACGTCTCACGAAAATATGTAAGTAAAATTTGTCAAAGAAAAAACAAAGAATTGGAATATCGTAAAGTTTAATTAGAACTCTCAATACTTAAGTTTGAAAGATCAAATTGATTAGAAAAGTGCATATTAACTGATGAGTAATTTAAGTATTATACAAGGTGACTTAAATGAATTAAAGGCATTGAAGACACAATGCAAAAGAGATGGCGTTAAAATGATTTTGAGTAATCAAATCAGGTTATTGGAGGAAAAGCAAAGAAACATGTGTATTTCTGATGCGGGAAGGAAGAATGTGGAATGCAACAATGTGAATATTAACAATGCACCTGAAAACATTGCAAAAAAATCTAATGAGAACCTTCCACTAGAGGCCTATACTTCAATCACAAAATATAGCTGGGACCAATCTGATAAAAATGTTAAGATATATATTGATTTAGTTGGAGTTCAAAACAAACCTGAGTGTATTGACGTGAAGTATGGAAGCGACAATGTTGAAATGTACATCAAGAATTTGGACAACAAGTTCTACTCATTTACAGTTAAGTTACATGATAGCATTTCTACTGAAGAGTGTTCCCATAAAGTTAAGAAAGATATGATTGTCATAACTCTTAAGAAAACTAATACTTCAAGTAGGTGGCCAAGACTTTCTTATAAAGATAGTCCTCTTAAAAAATCTTCTGCCAGCCCAGATGTAGGTGCAGGTATGGGTAACTTTGGTGATATGGGTGGAGCAGGGATGAAAGACCCTATGGCTGGGATTCAAGATCTTATGAAAAAAATGTACGAGGAGGGAGATGATGAAATGAAGAGAACCATTGCTAAGGCTTGGACTGAGGCACAGAGTAAGAATTTGAAAATGCCTTAATTACAAAACAAATTTGAGAATATTTTAAGATATTAAAAAATTTGATCAAAACCACTCTTATTGGAACTTTGCTACTATTATTACTTAATCACTCGCATTAATTAAATGACGAGAATTTTTTTTTAATTGGTCAGATTATTTAATTAAACTAGAAAATCTACAATCATACATTTATATATTATTCTTCTGTTCTCGCCTCATTGATACTAATAAGTAGTTGTGTAAATCTGACCAATCCTTAAATCTCAATTTCATATTACCGTCAGGATTGTTCTGATTATCAATCTTAGTTAAAATTTGACCTGAAATTTCTTGTTTTGGGTTCTCTTCTTCATTTAAATTTGACTTATTAGTTCCCTCATTCTTTTCAGCATGTTCAATATCATTTTTCTCTACCTTTATGTTTGGACTGAGCTGGGAAACTCTGCTTTTACCATATAATTTACTTATTGGAGTTCCGTTCCAAATTAGAATCTGTTTTTCAAGCCAACTATTAATTTTCTCCCTTTCTGAAATTTTTGAATTTTCTTTCATTTCTAATTTCTAAAAAAAAAACATCAGCTTATTTTTATTTCTCTTTATTACCGTAATAATTACTCTCTTCTCTACTTTACTCCCGGTATTTTTAGATCTTCAGTATTTTCATGTGTGAATATTTTTAAAGTAATTTCAAAAAGAGACATAACGGGGCTCTATTTTTAATACTAGTTTAATAAAGGAAATTAAATGCAGATTTGCATTTATTTAAACAAATATATAATATTAATATTAATATAATGATAAGTTTACACTAAATCACTAGACAAAATCGGAATCCCAAAGTAGGAGTTTTTATTAAACATATTGTTTTTTTGGACAATTCTAACTAAATAACAAAATTGTTCTTCTTCGAGATGAATTTGATGCTCGTCATTTTTAATAACACCATCAGTATACAAGTCATAGGATATTTTGATAGAACTGTATAAAACTGGTCTTTTGCTAGAGAAGCTAGTTTGAGACTCAATCTCATTGTAAGATTTGCCAATAAAGAGCGGAGTCTTTAGCTTAATAACATTCTTCTTAACTATATATAAAGATATGAGACCTTTGTTCTTGTTAATATTGTCTTTACAGTTTTTACCATCTTCTCTTTTGTTTGATTCAATAATATATAACTTTGAATATTGCTTTAAGTACTTTTCAATATAATGTATAACAAGAGAAATAATGGGATAGTTTGCAAAAAGAGATAACACAACTCTTTCCTCTGAAACAACATTAAGTAAAATTTTTGACTTCCAAAAATTGAGATAGTTATCCTTGTCATTCTTCCAACCAAGATTAGCCCCACAATATTTGCAAAAAATTGAATGGAAAGCTTTCTGGCTGTAATAGTAAACATTGTTAATGTCATTTATAAAGAAAGTTTCTACAGTCTTCTCAAGGCCTGATTCATGTCTAATAATCAAATGGTCCAAACAAGCATTACTTAGATTAACAGAAATATGATATTGCCCCAGACAGATCCAATTTGGCCTGGCTCCAAAATCACAATGACTGGAATTTCCAGATTCTGTTGAAAGCAATGGACAGCAGTTATCACATGTAAGCATTTCCGATCCATGGATAAGCATTTCAGTTGGAAGAGGAGCAGTTATCCAGTTTTCGGAATATCCTGAAATCAAGTTGTTACATCTTTTACAGTATAGATTCAATTTATTTGTTAGTTTTTCGTGAGTTTCGTGATTTTTAGTTGCTAAACGATTTAATAGACTTGTCTCGAAATCCAAACAAATCGACTCATCCTCCTCAATAACAGGTAATTCACCTGATTGATCCCAGTTTAGGTCTGTAACCAACGTAGATATGGTTAATAAAGATAGTTTGCTTTTTAAACTTAAAACAACTCTTGAAAACAAAGTTGAAGTAATTTCTTGGATATTGGACTTAAGTTCTTTTGAAATCATACCTACTATATTTTCATGGTAATAACTAACAGATAAAACATCTTTCACTTGAAGACGATTTGGAAGCTTTAAAACAATCTTTAAATCTGAACACAATGGTTTCTCCAAATTAGATTCACTATTTTCTTCAATGAATACCTCTTCCACAAACCCCTCAGAGTCCAAATTAGATTTTTTCTTTTCTGTGACCCACCTAACCACCAGCCATAGGTTGCCATTATTAAATATTATGCTAGTTTCCAAACATTGATTTTTGCAATTAAGTTTATTTGCAGCCTCCATATAAGAACTAAGCTGCGTAGATAAATCTCTATCTACATACAGATAAGCTGTAACTCTATCTGCATATTCATTGAACTCCAATACGCCGTAGTTACCATACATTATAATAATTATAATAATTTGTTAGATTCTGAATTGCGCGCGTAAAGTTTTTTTGGGTAGTAATTAATTATGCTGACTTTTAATCATCTTAATTTGCCTTTTAATATCTCTAACTACGGCAAGCAATTTAATTGCAGTGATAATGTTTTCTGGAGTCTTGACAATATCAGACTGAAAAGTTGTTTCCTCAACCCCACATGATAAATTCAAAGTTTGTGTTAAACCAGATAAATCTTCGAACTGGGTTTTTTTGTAATCGTCATTATAACTATTTAACTCGGAGAAACTTATCTCTTGGTTTGGCATCTTAAAATTATTTAGTAGTTTTGAATCAAATTCTCTAGTTTCATGACTACTAATATGTTTTTTGCTGTTTTGATTGTTGTGGCTAACTTCCATCTCTAATGAAGCTTCAAGACTTGTTCTGTTTGTTTCAAAAGAGAAAATACTGGGCTGAGTCTTTAGGTCTGTATACGAGTACTTTTGAGGTATTAGTGGCATATTATAGTGGTTTCCAGGGTTAGTTTGCTGGATAAACTCATTATTTGAGTCTTGTTGAACCTCAAAATCACACTCTGAGCCAAAGTCTTGGTCCAGATCTGTTTGTAGATTTAGATCAGGCTCAAGGTCAAGATTAAGGTTCAGGTTTAAGTTAGAGTCAAATCCTTTACTATTCAAATCTGCATTACAAATACCTCTCATCAAATTCTGATTTTCTTTAATGACATTTAGAGAAAGCTTACACTCTCTGAGTTCTCGTTCAATTTCTTTAATTACGCCTATTTTTAAGTCTCTGTTGCTTAATAGACTCTGCTTATTATCAAAATTATTATTTTTGGTAGTATGATTCTCACCAACAATAGCATTATTATTTGTGATAATGGTAGTATCATTTCTTAGAATATTGTTCCTGGGGTAAAGATTACTATTATAGTTATTATTCTCTCCATTTTCTTCATGCTTTGAAAATATGCTTCCTCCCATACTAGCAGTATAGCAGATATTCTTAGAACTTTTATCATTATTTTTCATTATACTCTCAATCTTCATTCTCCATTTCTTTTCACTACTTGAACTAAATGCATTGTTTTCCTCTTGATTACTAAAGATTTCATTATTCACTATTGGTATCTCATCAGTAAGTCTCAAAGTCTCATTAATCTCAGGTAAGTAGCTTTCTGTCCTTGTTCCATTGAGTTCCTCATTCTTCTCGAACGAATATTCATGTATAAGTTTGTGTTCAAGTTTATATCCAGATTCAGGCCCAGGTTTGAGGTCAAGCTCAAGATCAAGTTCAAGCTCAAGCCCAGATACAGACTCAGACTCAAGGTCAAGTTCAGGTTCAGGTTCAAATTCAGGTTCAGGTTCAGGATCAGGCTCAGGCTCAGGCTCAGGCTCAGGCTCAGGCTCAGGCTCAGGTTTAGGTTCAGGTTCAAATTCAGGTTCAGGCTCAGGCTTAGGCTCAGGCTTAGGCTCAGGTTCAAGTTCAAATTCAGGCTCAGGCTCAGGTTTAGGTTCAAGTTCCAACGAAGTCACTTCTACTGTTGAACCCATGTCCTGAATGTTCAAAATCTCCTGGCTTTTGTTATTTAACTCAAAGGAGCAGTTTAAATCAAAATCTGAATATTCACCAGCATCAAAGTCCCTATCAAATTGGTCAAAAGCCAGTGTCTTGGACAAGGTATTAAAGCTTTTCTCATATATGTTTTCGAAGTACAAGTTTAAGGGATTGGAAGACATATTAGAGCTCTTGCTAGTTATTTGTTCTTCTATTGTTGATTTCTCCGGTACTTGAATGGTGTCTATAATTTGTAAACACTCTTCTAATTCTTCATCCTTTTCATCAATTGTGTCATCGTTTCTATATTCATTCTTATTTTCATTAGAGTTCAAAATCTCACTTAGATCTTTGCTTTCATTTTCAGTAATGTTTATGATTCTGTTTTTTTCAAGTTCATAAGTTTTCTGTGTGGAGTTTTGGCTTTCATCTGATTTCATGAAATCATTAGTATCTGTATATTCATATTTACCAAACTCCCCACATTCTATTATAGTCTCAATGTTTTTATGTGCATTAAATTGTACTTTTGAACCATCTATTATTTTGGATTTTGAAATAAATTCTTCAATAAAAGATTCCATTTCAGACATGTTTTCATCCACCTTTTCATGAAATCTGATATTATTTATTCCTAACATGGGAACTCCTGAAGAATTGTATGCCAATAGTTTTGATAATTTGCTTCCATAATCTTGGTCATTTTCAATTATATAAGAAAGAGACCTTTCAGTTTGAAGTTTATCTAAACTTTCTAAGACCTCGGAACCACTCATTTTAGTTACTTTGAATTAGAAATCCAAAGGTTTGGTTATTTAAGAGCCATTTTCTCTTTGTAAATTGAACAATTATTAATGTTTTGATATTTTAATACTATTTGAAATCCCCTCAACACGTTTTTACTTGGGCACCCAAAATGGTTTTTTTTTTATTTCAATATAATCCAAAAAAAAAAAAAAAAACCCCACAAATCAGAAAAAAGGAACAAAACAAATGGGCTAACAATTTGAATAAAAAACATAATTAAGTAAATTATAAATCTATATAAATGAAAACTATGAAATCAATATATAGGAGAGGGAGAACTAAAATGGGGCACTAATAGTCCATTAAAATTTATTCACATGCCAAAGTCCATCGTTTAAATAATGAACATTCTCTATACAAACTCCTTTATTTACTTGCCTAATCTCATCAGTACTCATAGTTGTAATACCAATAGCACATGCATTTTGGCATCCCTCTCCAACTATTTTTACCACTTGTTTCTGTTCTACCTGCTCCATTCTTCCTCCAGGTGAAGTTAAGCCTGGGCACATTATATTAGAACCCTTCAAAACATGTTTAATTGCGCCTTTGTCCACTTGCATAGTAGGCATCATGTCAGGATACTTATGAAGAAGACGTAAAGTTGGAAACCAGGGGCCATCTCTTTGTTGAAAGAATAAAGGGACTGAGTCTAAAACAATAAATTGAAAATGTCCAGAACATTTAGATAAAACAATATTTTCTTTTTTTGGTAAAATATCATCAATAACTTGTTCCAATAAAGGATATAAAGCAAGGATATTTGCTCTAATTGATCTCTGCACAGAAGATTTCACCTGATTTTGAGACGAAATACTTTCAGTTGAAAACTTTTTGAGCATTTTTAGTTACCTGTTTATCTCAAAAAATCGTTCTCAACCTCTAAATAATTAAAGTGTTCAACAAAAAACACGAGTATAACTTAAATATATTACTCTCGAGCCCAATTTCTAGTTGATTCAAAAGCTCTTAGAATTTCACTACTTATTTGTTCTATTTTGCACGTCTATATTGAATACTTAAACAAAATGGCGCCATCATTTGTTTTTATATAGATATTTTATTTCTAAAAAGAAAAATGAGTAAAGTTGGTATTAATCATATTATGCTTTAAGATGCTTTTATTTATTCAATAATTCATTAATAACGAATTATAACTGTTATGGTTCAAACTCTAATATTTTGATTTCCTTTATTTACTACTAAAAAAAACGCAATTTATAAGTACAAGTATGGATTATTAAAAAAAAAATTGCATGATCTGGCGGTAATTAATATAACAGTTTTTTTTTGACATTGTTACAATATTTTTAAGCTAATATATTGTGAAGAACATTTTTTTTGTTTTCTTTTGTGGATAACTGTATCATAATAAATAGATGATCTTTTTTCTATTTAAACTTTAATCCCAATAAGAAATTAGATATTAAATATAATTTTCTAATTTGTACATGTGTGGAATTACCTTTGAAGAAAAAAAAGTTATTTCTGAAGATCTACAGATGAATCCAAATTAAGCATTATGTGGTTATAGTTTTCAGAATTCAATTCAATGGGTGTGTCAGAATTAATGTTTGGCTCCGAGAAGCTTAGAGAATAATTATTTTCATTACAGATATGTAAAATACAAATGAAAAATATCCCAGTAGAGACAGAGTTTATGCCTTCTTGTTGTAACAGTTTTCTCTAAGAAAATTAAGTTGAAATTAAGATAGAAATAAAATTATTTGTAAAACATATTTTTATTCCACATTATTTCAGGAAAACTTACTGATTGGTTTATAATATTAAATAATGTCAAATGGTTGGAATTTTTGGAAAGTAAAAGCTGAATTGAGTCTTTCAAAACTCTCTTAACCAAATCTATATCAACATTATTTGATGACTTTGAGAATTTTAACGAGTTACTGTATTCTTCTTTGACATGGAGTGATTTTGAACTTTTTTCAAGAAGAATATCTGTCTCAGAAATATCATTTCCATCAAATGGTAAGATTAATTTAGTCTGAATGAAAATATCTTTGTTACTATCCGTATAGAAATCCTTCTGGCTTGATGGTTGCAAATAATCTTTAGCTTGCATAAGATCTTCAATTTCACAATGGCTTGCCATAAGATCCGTTTGTATAGGCATGGAATCAATCAAGACATTTTTATCGGTTAGTTGTGAGTGATTTGCTTTTATTAATAGTTCTTTTGTAGTAAAATCTTGGTTGAGATCTTCTGATTTTACATTATTATGTATAGATCTTAAATTAATCTTGACTCCAGTAAGATTAGCCAGGCAAAATAGATGGCCCAAATCATAATTAAATATAGAACTAGTATTGCTTTCTCCCACAAAGGTTTTGTTACTTAATAAGCTTTTAACTTTTGTTTTACTTGAGTTTGCTGGAGTCTGTACAGTTTTTGGTAAACTATTAACCCACTCAATTCCATTAAACACACTGTTTGTTAATAATGTAGATGGAATTTCAAAAATGACCTCTTCTGATTTTGAATTAAGCTTTTGCCCATGTCCATAATTATTTCTTTCCCTCCTTCTACTTCCATTAAAAAGTTCTCCACTTCTAGAGGATTTGTTAGCCAAAAAGTCAAGTACATCTCCTATCTTGTTAAATTTGAATTCTTCAGATTTCTTTGTTTGTTCAGTCTCTTGGTTTAAATTCAAGTCTTCATCCAAAATTTCGTCAAAAAATTCGTTTCTCTTCAAATCTTCAATAACTCTTTCTACATGTATTTGAAAACTTTGTAATTCTACATCTATATTTGTATTAACCTCCCCCAGAGAATTATTCATACTTAAAAAACTCGGATCATCATTTTCATTCTCACACACACTTTGGTCTTGTTCTAAAAGCTTATCCTCAAGCTCTGAGACCTTATTCTCGATTGAAAGTTTAGAAAAATCCAAAAAATTGTCCTCAAATTCACTAACTAATAGTTGTTCTTCTAGGGAAACTGAATCTTTAACTTGTTTAATATCATTATGAGTCTCTATTATATCTTGTATTGAGTCAAGAATCTTGGTTAAATCTGGGCAAACAATATTGTGACAATCTTGGCTAAAGCTTTCATCTGGGTTTGGTAGAAATAAATCTAGTGTTTTTTTATTTACCTTCAATAATTGATCTAAATGTAGTTTTGAGTTTGATGAATTATTCCTATTAGTAAAACTGTTCTTCCCTGATATATTGAATGAAAATGAAACTGAATTGTCTTTATTAGATACAGAATCTCTTAGCTCTAAGTTATTCATGAGCATTGATGAAATAGAACCAATATTGCCACAATCCACTCCAAATCCAATGTTGTCCAGCTTAATTTTATCATTTAAAAAATTAACAAAAAAAGGCTTCTCACTAATTTCTTTAGTTTTTTCGAACTCTTTTAAGGTTATAAGCTCCGGATTGCTGACTACTGTATTGTTTTCTCCAGAGAAAATTAAGTTCTTCTTGTTTTTTTTCTTTCTATTCAATTCTCCTTCCGCCAAAATATCTCCAGAATCATCTTCTTTTTGATCCTCCTCACAGTCTGAGTCATTTCTAGCTAATATTTGGCCGCTCTTAATGTTTGACAAAATTCTGTAGGCATTATCAAATGTTGAGTCCACTCTGTATCCATATATTCTGGCTGAGGCTTCCAAAGTCACTGCAGCTCTTTGAAATTTCTGGAAGTTTGAATCCTGTGAGGCTTGTGGACCTAACTCATTAAGGGTTTCTACTCTATCAATCTTAATTTTATCTGAATTCTTTTTTTCATTTACACTATAATTACTTTCAGAATTTTCTTTATTTCCTCTTTTAATCGTAATAGACTTATCTCTACATTCAAAGCTTTGAGGATGGTCTTGAGGGTCCTGCACATTCACAATATCGTTCAAATGATCTATAAGAAGAATATCAAATGCATTCTTGGAAGATATTTTATTTTGTCTAAGTAAGTTTAAACATTGGTTGCATAGTTGGTCAAGGTCCTCGTTCGGTAGTTGATTAGAGGAACTTTTTGAATAAAGTAATTTGTTCTGTTCTATCTGTCCCTTTAAATTTATGGAAGTTCTCGAAAGTTTGGTGGCACCAAATTCATCATTCTTACCTTGGCCAATGGAAATAGACCTTCTTTTGTTTGGTAAGATTGATTTTTGGATTTTCCTTCCTGATCGACAATTATTATTTAGGCTTGAAGCATTTTCCTCCCTGAAGTTATTCTAATTAAACAAATTTAGATGAGTTATATAATTTTTAAATGAATGGAAGGAATTTATTAGTAAAAATTAAAAGCTGAGTGATTTCAATTTAATCTAAAACTTACTATTTCTGCCGAGTACTCGGATTCAAATTTTCTTGGGTGTAGTGACAACCTTCCCATTTATCTCTGAGATACCAATAACTTTTTTTTCAGTCTCTAACACTGATGAATAGGCTAATATATATTTAAAAAGAAGGTTAAAGGCTTCTTTTTTAACTTTGTTATTTAAAAGTATTTTCTTAATTACAGCTTCAAATAATGTTTTCTCACAAAAACTTAACACATCATAAAAGAAAAAGTTTTGACCAATAAATCTGTTTTTTGTCTACCAAAATTAAAATTATTAGTATTTTTACCACGTAATTTGTTGTTAATTTTTTCCTTTGCAAGTGGGGACAACCTGTTTAAGATTTACATGCCGGTAAAATGGAACACGTAATGGCAATAAATTTGAAAATTATTATTAAATAATTACGTCATAAACTCGATCTAATAAAAAAAAAAAATATATATATATATATATATATTTATGTGAGATACAGAAATAGAGAGAGAGATAACTTAGATAAATAAGATAAAGTTTTGAAATTCTACTATATTACTTGGTAAAATAGTGTATATCTGGATAAATTGAGTTCAACTTCAAATAATACTACAAAAACTTGCAAATTAATAATCGTACAAATTTTTTGGTTTTTGAAATTGGTATAAAATCAAATTTGTGAAAATAATATTGAAATACAAATATAAAGAGAAGAAGGTAAAAAGTCGGAAATGACAAATACTGAAAAACCAACGAATACAACAGAAAACTGTAGTGATATTAGGAGTTATGTTGATAAAAGCCTACTCAGTTCCTTAATTGAAATGGGATTTGGACAAATAGAATCAGAAAAAGCCATTTTCTTCACTAGAAACAAGGGACTGGAAAGTGCAGTAACCTGGTTGGAAGAGAATTCTAATGATGTATGTTTAAAAGATCCTATTATAGAAATTTCTGGCACCGAAAGTATGGCACAAGCACCAAAGCTAACAGATGAGGAGGCTCTGGAGAAGGCAAAAGAATTGCAAAGAAGAGCAAGAGAATTGCGTATACAGAGGGAAAAAGAAGAAGAAATTGAGAAAGAGAAACGCCGAATTGCATCAACAAAGCAGTTATTGGAGGCTCAAAGAAAACTTGAAGAATCAGAAAGAATTCGAAATATTGAAAAAGTAGCTAGAGAAAAAAATGCTCATGAAGTTGAAAGGCAACGTCAACTTAGCTTGCTTAAAGAAGAGTGGGAAGAGAGATTTGGATGCCCTTATCCAGAAGAGAAGGCTAATGAAGTTCCGAAAGGAAATAAGGAAAAGGTTGCTTATTACTGTAATAGAATGAATAAAGAATACAGATCCAAAGACTTACAAGGTATAATGACATGTTTTAATTTACTTAAAACATATATAAACAATGTACATAGTCATCCTTATGAAGAAAAATATAAAAGAATTCGCTTAAAGAACCCAACTTTTGAATCAAAAGTACTTAAATATCAAGGATCTTTGGAGATTCTGATGGCATGTGGATTTGTTAAGGATGATAATGAAGAGTTTTTAGTGATACCACCTGAAAAGATACCAGATACATTTGTATGTAGTCAGGCCGTTAAATTCCTGACTTTGTTAACTCAACATTAGTTGATTATAATTTTTTAGTCTTCTAAAAAACTCATGAAAAAGTATTCAAATGTGCCTAAGTTTTTATGAATTAATAAAGTAGATGTAATGAAAAAAGGAATATTTATGTAGATTAGTAAAGAGAAGGAAAATATGTCATATAAAAATTTCAATTAATAAAAGACTAATTATACCATTAAGGAGGAAATATTAATTTAGAAAGATAAAAAAAATACAAAATAAGTAATCTAGTTAGAAAATATGCAGCCTTCTTAATGCTATTAACCATTATATATAGTATTAGTGTATATAACTGCTTGCTATATAATTAGTAGGGGTTTTTAATTTGGTGTCTACCAGAATATCTATCACTATAGTATTTGTGATCAATATGTATTTGATTTTTATGAAGTTTGAGTCCAATTACTTCTTGATCCATAGATGAACCTATTCTATGTTCACGATCCGGAAGTGAGTCAAGCAAAATTCCATTGTCGGTAACTAAGACTGACCTATCCATTACAAGTTTTTGTGAATTATCAGAGTTCTTTTCTCTGAAATACCAATAGTGCTGGGCTTTGCATCCATGTTTGCCTACTCCCTTAACTGGCATTACACCATGGTCAGGTAAAAAGGCTATAGGATTTGGATTATCAAGATCGAATTTATCTGTTAAAACCCAGTTGTGTAACTTCTTCTCATAAAATATATAATAGTTGTTAGAGGAGTTCTTGCCAGTTTTATACCAAATGAGTCTACCTCCATGGATCCAAGGACTTTCTTCGTGGTAAGGATGCATCATCACATTGTATTTACCATTAACCGCAGAATCATCCCCAATTCTTCCAAGTAAATGGATTGTTTTTGGAAAGTAAACAATACTTTCTTCATGTGAAGGAATTTCAGTTAATGGCTTTGGTGGGATAATTCCATGAACCTCATTTGGAAGCTTATCAGTAGTTTGGATGGGTTGGCTACTACTATGAGTGTCAGATTCTCCAGTGCTTTTAAGTGGTTTTGGTGATGCATCGAATGAAGTCTCTACGTGAGAACTCTCTTGATGATTATCCATATCATTAATAACTTTGGCATAATGAGAATTTCCATGTTCAGAGTCCTCAATATCATCAATTTCCTCCTCCAGGAATTCATGTTCATCAAGCCAATCATCTTCGAAATCTGACCAGTCATTACTATGGAGGTCCTTTTCATTTGTATTCAAAATATTATTATGAGCAGAAAAATCCTCATGAGTAAACTGTATATGTTCATCTTCAAAGACAGAGGGAGTTTTAGATCCTTTTGAATTTGAGTGTTTTGTAAAGACTATTATCCAGTAAAGGCCAATAAAGAAACAAATAAGAATAACAAATCCTAAAGCACCAGCATATCTCTTTCTAAATCTTTTAAATTTAACACTATTAAAGAATGACTTCTTAGTGTCAAATACAATTGGATCTGCGTAATCTTTTGAGAATGTATCAGCATTCATGTAACTTCCAGAAACACCTGCCATATCTTGTACTGTCTGCATGGATAGTCCTGATGTCATACCAAAAGCATGTCCAGTTGTTGTGGTTCCATAGGACTTTTGCCTATTGTAAACATTTACATTAACTCCGTGCATCTTTTCAATAAATATATATTCCTCTGCTCGCTGTGTTATTTAGTAGTAAAATGGGCGATTTAAAATTAAATAGTGGAAAATCTTTTTTTTTTTTTGAAAAAACTCGTCAGGATAATGTTTCAGGCTATCTACTTGTTACTTTTAATTTCTATAGTTCTTTTTATTAAGATATTCGTAATTAATACCTTATGAATTTGTAACAGTTATTTAATTATGTGAAATGCAAACTTTTAATTCCTTCGAAACTTATTAATTACTTGTAAGTTTTGAATAATACCCACAAAACCTGTTCATATAACCACTTTTTTATGATATGATATATGAACCTGAATTCTCAAAAAAAGTTATTTTAATAATATCCAAAAGTCAGTATTGATTCAATACTTCCTTTAGCATTTTTTTAAATTAATCAAAAAACGTAATAAATTTTGCCCGCCTAAAGTCCTCTTCTCGGATTAGAGATTGGCGCTAGATACCTTTATTATAGATCTAAGCCACTAAAAAATCATGCATATGCTTTAAACATGTTCGGAAAATTGAGGAATCGAAAATAATTCATGCAAAATATTTGAATATAGAAATTTTACACCGCTTGAGAGGTACATAGAAAAGCAATGCAATGATCTTTTTCAATGGAATTCACATACTACATCATAAACGACGCGAAGATCACACGCATGTTGTATAATGTTGAGTAGAATCCGACTCACCAACGAATCCATGCAAACCTTCACAAAAGTAGAAACAAAATACGAATAATAAAACATATAGAAATAATGTACTAGATTTTAAGTTCATAGTTGAAAATAAAAGCAGCACCACTACTAGTTATAATGTTCGAAGACCTGTCTCATCCTTAGTAATACACCCCTTTAGTGAAGGCTTAACATGACCACCTCCCAATAAATGAGTGGTGAAGATAAGCCAGCCTGTAGGAATTAAAGTATAGCACAATAAACCGTAGTAACAATCATCAATGCTTGGGTGTTCGCTTCGGAATCAATACAAGTTGTCCCTTTAGATGGTTAATACACCACCTATACATATTCTAGCCTATATGTTTATCCACTTAATACGCAGATACCACCGGCCTCTTTAATTTTCTTCTCAGCCTTTTTAGAGAAGTGTCTAGCTCTGACAACTACCGGGACAGCTGGAAGATTACCTCCACCCAAGACCTTGAAGATGCCAGATCTAGTACAGTCAATAATTGGGGCCTTATCGGTCTTGTTATTGTACTTGTAGTGTTCAAGAGTGTTCTTCGATACCAAAGTCCATAACTTTTCAACATTGACAGTAGGACAGTACATCTTGTTCAATCTCTTGTGGAAATACCTCATACCAACTTTGCCAAAGTAACCTGGATGGTACTTATCAAACCAATTTCTTTTATGAGTCAAACCACCACAAGCACCACGACCACCAGGATGCTTTCTGTGTTTACCTACACGACCATGGCCGGCTGATACATGTCCTCTCTTCTTTCTGTTCTTCTTGAATCTACAGTGAAAAAGGGAAATTAGTTAGTAATGTCAATTGCTACAAGTTTTAAATATAAAGCAGACCAACAACCAAAAATTATTTCGTTAGAGATTTCATAGTCTTAGAAAAGATCTCGACATGGCCTCTTATGGCGAAACATCCCGTTGTTAATTTGCTAGTTTTTTTTTTCTGAATTACTTACCTTGTTGTCATTTCCTAAAGAATTTCTTGAAAAACAATTCTTTGATTAAGATTGAGTCACGAAATTTTTTTCCTTTATATATAACGTCTGAATAATAAATTACCCCTTAGTTAAATTGTGTAAATTCCTATGTAATTTACTCTACTTTCATTTTAATTTTTATTAATCAAACTGAGACATATACTTTATATATTTGTACCCAGACTATTAATTCTTTAATATAATCGGCAAATGCCGCAAAATCACACTTAAACCATTAACTTCACTAATTGTGGCCTAGCTTTATTACTTATAAATTTTTTGAGACAGCTGTCTCAAACTTACTTCAAGACCAAGTGGCGCCTAGGCGGGGGGTAAATGCTGTTTTTTAGTTTTATTGCATTTTTTTGTAAGAAAAAAAAATTACAATTATATGAGAAAGGAAAACTAGTGTTTTAAACATACTAATTTAGAGAGAAGATTGTACTAATTAGCTAAAAATTATTGTACTGAAAATATTGTGATTTTGTATTTGTAAGTATAAATCAATGGTTTGAAATAAACCAAAATTTCCTTGTTTGCATTGTACAAAACCTTACAACATATCTATATTCTTATTTGCTTAAATTTATTTCAAATTCCAGGTTTTCTAGGAATTCCCCCACTTTCTCACCTTATTAAAATTATTTTTGATTTGTCATTTTCTCTCTGAGATTTAAAGGTAATTGGCGCCAAATAAGAACGGTTTTCTTGAAATAGTAATTAGCTGAAGAATTGTCAGATTTTGACAATTGGAAAAGAGAGAATCTAGAATTCATTTTTTTGGAGAAATAACAAGAAAAGAAAACACTCAAACTTAAACTTCTTTGAATATATATTGAATTGTCGAGATGTCTGAGGAGGAACAGAAGAAAAGTGCAGTTAATACAAGTGAAAATGAGAAATCGTCAGGTTATTTTAGTGATGTGAAGTTTGATTCCTCAAATATTTGCGATAATCTTAAGAAAGCTCTTAAGGAAATGGGAATGGAAACAATGACAGAGATTCAGGCAAAAGCAATTCCTAGAATCTTGAGTGGAAAGGACGTACTGGGAGCAGCAAAAACAGGTTCAGGTAAAACTTTAGCATTTCTAATTCCCGCAGCAAATCTGCTATATAATGTAGAGTTCTTGCCTAGAAATGGAACAGGGGTTATTGTAATTTCTCCAACTAGAGAATTAAGTCTTCAAATTTATGAAGTATGTAGAGAACTTTGCAAATATTTGCCACAAACTCATGGTTTAGTTATGGGAGGAGCAAATAGAAGAACAGAAGCAGAAAAACTTTCCAAAGGTATCAACATATTAGTGGCAACCCCAGGAAGACTTTTGGATCATTTACAAAATACAAAACAATTTTTATATAAAAACTTATTGAATTTAGTAATTGACGAAGCTGATCGAATTTTGGAGATTGGTTTTGAAGAAGAAATGAATCAAATTATTAAGTTACTTCCAAAGGAAAGGCAAACTTCTCTGTTTTCTGCTACTCAAACAACTAAAGTTGCCGATCTTGTTCGACTTTCACTTAAGAATCCAGTTTTAGTTGAGTCTAAGAATACTTCTGCTTCAGCAACGGTTTCAGGACTTGAGCAAGGATATGTTATAGCTCAAGCTAATCAGAGATTCTTATTACTATACACCTTTCTTAAGAAGAATAGGGACAAAAAAGTAATGGTCTTTTTTAGTAGTTGTATGTCAACCAAATTTCATGAAGAATTATTTAATTATGTTGATTTAACTTGCTCATCTATTCACGGAAAGAAGAAACAATCATCCAGAATGCAAACATATTATGATTTTTGTTCAGCTGAGAAAGGTCTACTATTGTGTACTGATGTTGCTGCTAGAGGTTTAGACATTCCAAATGTAGATTGGATTGTCCAGTACGACCCACCTGATGATCCTAGAGAATACATTCATAGAGTTGGAAGAACTGCAAGAGGAGCAGGTGGTACTGGTAAGGCTTTATTATTTCTGCTCCCAGAAGAAATTGCTTTCCTTCAATATCTTAAAAAAATGAACATTCCACTAAATGAATACATTTTTGGAAAGAACAAAATTGCAAATGTACAGAATCAGCTTGAAAGACTCATAGAGAAAAATTACCATCTCCACTGCTCAGCTAGAGATGCTTATAGAGCATATTTGCATTCATATGCCTCGCATGCACTTAAAGATGCATTTAATGTATATTCCCTTGATTTACAGCAAATTGCATTCAGTTTTGGGTTTAGTACACCCCCCAAAGTGGATCTGAATCTGAAATCTGGTGGAAAAGCTTCCAGAAATGCAGGCAGTAAATCTAAGAATAAAAGTAGCAATCCATACTTTAAATCTGGCCACAAATTTTCTGCTGCTAATCCATATGGTGTTAGGGATAAAAATGACAACAGACAGTTTGTTAGATAGCTTGAAGGGTTCAAAATATATAATTTTTAGTTTTTCCTATATTAGTAATCATTGTATTTTTCTAATTATTTATTTCATGCATTTTTGGGCTCCTCCTTTTCATTGCTCTAATTTAATATGCTCAAAATTATATTTTTCCAAGGTCTGGAGCTTTCAACCTTTTTATTTGTGACAGAAGGCGCCAACTTTTTAGATTTTTGAGGGGACCCCATGTTATATTTAAAAAGATAATTTTTTGCTTTTAACAAAGACTAAATAAAAGAGAATTATTACTAAAAATTTAGGTTTTGAATTTTTAAGCTACTAAAAATCTTAAAGCTTGCTTTATTACACTAAAAATATTGTTTTCCGGAGTAAATCAGATTAAGCTGAACTTATTTAGAATAATAAATTAAAATAAAGAAGTTAAATCACACACATTACAAATTGTTAAGTTGAAGTGATAAGACTTTAAACAAATATGTCTGAAAATAATTCAAGTGTTAATGAGGAAACAAAGAATGTTATTAAAGGAGTTGCACCACCTGAACCAAAACTATTAGGTACTTATATTAATATGGTACCTATTTCAGAATCAGATACATCAAAGTTAGTAAACCATAAGTTGTTAGATGGACAGATACTTGGAGCCGGTATGATGCCTGAGAATGTTCAAGTGGGGAAAACAGGAAATTGTGCCACTACCACAAACATCCCCACATCACAATTCCCGATGTCTGCAATGAATATGGAGCAACTGCAACAGTTTATGATGAGGATGCAAATAAATACTGCAAAAGACCAAACTGCTGTCGCTGCAGCAAATCCAAGTCTTGGACTTGGATTAAGCTCTGGAATTCCAGCTCAAACTTTGGGAGCAGCTTTAAATGTGAATAATATGATTCCAAGTTCTACAACTTCAAGCTATAATATTCCCCCCGTTGGGGCCTTAGATCCAAATATTCTTGCTTCTTTAGGCTTGAACGTTCAAAAACCAACTTTACAGCCAATTCAGTTCCCTAATATGCAGGCGGGTGTACCAAACTTGTGTGGCATTCAAGGACAAGATATGAACTTGGCCACTTGGATGCAAAAGCAAAAAATTGCTTTGGCTCTATCTGAACTTCAAAATAATACTCAGCCTACCTCTGGTGATAATTCAGTTGAAAACAAATCTTCTTCGCCTCCCAATTCTCTTGCTGCTCCACAAAATCCGGTTCAGCCCACCAATACTAATTCCCTGGGATCTTTTGCTGGTATTTCAGAAATCCCAGGAGTAACAGGAGTCCCAGGTAGCGCTTTGATAACCGGGGCTACTCCAGCTACGCAGTCCCAGCTAACTCCTCAGCTTGCTGCATTTTTGGGTAACCCCAATTTGATTCCCTCAAAAGATGCAGGTCTTTCTCAGACCACTGCCCAGATCTCGACTGCAGGAATGAACATCCCAGGAATGAACCTTGGAGTTGGAACAGCTCCTAATATGGGAAATGTTGTTGCGCCTGAATCCATTGTACCAAATATGTTCCAGCCGACCACTGACATGTCAAAGATTGAAGCAATGATTAAACAGCAACAACAACAGTTTATTAGTAACCAACTAAATGCAGCAGCTCAATTATTAAGGCAACATGGAATTCAAGCAACAGTAGGTACCGAACCATTAAACAATAATTCTGAAATTGATATAAGCAAGAGCAAGAAACCAGCTCTTCTGCAAAAAATAGTTGCTAGCAAGATTAATCCTAAGATCTTTATTGTCCCAAATGCACTAAACCAAGATGAATGTGATGAGATTATTTCCCTTATTCAAAATAGACTTGAAGACTCCAAAATATCAATTTCTAGGAAGGAAAACAATAAATCAGATAATGAAGAAACCGAAGGTGAAAAGGAAATTAATAATGAATCACCAAGTAATAAAACAGATACCCAGGAGAAGGTAAAAGATGAAGAAAAAACCCAAAACCAAGATGAGGACGAGGACTTTTGCAGGTCAGCAACTGCCTGTATCCAACCAGAAGAGACTCCTCTAATTAGAGAAATTGAAAATCGACTTGGACTTTTAGTAGAATCAAGTAATCTCCACATGGAACCAATTCTAGTACACAGATACTCTACTAATGATTATATTAAAGAACATCATGATGGGGATACTAGAACTTATACGATTTCAGTTTTTCTTTCTGATGTTGAAAATGGAGGAGAATTAGACTTTCCTTACGCTGGAATCAAAGTCAAACCTAAGAAAGGTCTCGCAGTTGTCTGGCCAAATATTGATTCTCAAGGTAAATTAGACTATACAACGGTACACGCCGTAAACAAAATCAATCAAGAAGTATCTGAGAAAGAATGCCTAAGTTCTACTACTTCATCCTACCTACTCTATCTTCATATTAATAAGGAACCAGTTAGACTTGGTTTTGAAGCATCACAAGCTATGCAACAGGTAGTTCAATCTGAAACTCCCAAAACTGACGTAGATCCAAAAGTGATTGCACAAGTCACTTATCCCATGTCTGAAGATAAAAAAACCAAAGAATAGATTTTCCAGGAAATAGGTAATCATTATCATTCTAATTTGAATCTAAATTTTGCCTCAAATTTAATTTATCTATACAGTCCCACTTTTTGCATCAGCATAAGATTGCTTAGGTACCGACTCAAAAATGGTCTTAGATTGAAAATTCATAGTTTCATTTGTGTCACTGGATCTCGCATCTATTCTTATCCCTTTCGTATTTGGTACTGATTCAAATATTGTCTTTTCCTGTTTATATTCGTTGTTTAAACAGTAGCTTGCATCAGATGCCAATTCAGATCTTGGAAGAGATACAAATACTGTCTGTTTTTCCTCATTTGTATTGATTCGATCTGCAAATCTTGCATCTGCAGTAGATCCAGCCAAAGGAGTTGACTCATACACCATTTTCTCTGGGAGATGGATTTGATATGAATTAGAATTGTATCCTGTATCTGCCTTGGATACTTTATCATAATTTGACTCGTAAACTGACTTTTCTTCTGTTCTTATTACAACCTTAGAATTGTATCCAACGTCTGCTCTAGATTCACTAGATGGGTTCGACTCATAGACTACTTTATCATGGTCATTTCTGAGCTCTGCTTTTGTATTATAGCTTGCATCTATTTTTGTCTTACCTACTGGAACTGACTCATATACAGATTTTTCTTGATACATACTAATTCCTTTTGTATTATAACTAACATCAGCATTTGAGCTACTTTTTGGGTTGGACTCAAACACAGACTTTTCCTCGATTACTGGTACAGATTTTGTATTATAACTAACATCTGCATTAGAGAAAGTTGTTGGGTTGGACTCAAATATAGATTTTTCCTCAATTACTGGCTTAGATTTTGTATTATAACTAACATCTGCATTAGAGACAGTTGTTGGGTTGGATTCAAATATAGATTTTTCGTCCATTCTCGGTTCGCATTTTGAATTATAACTAACATCTGCTTTGGAACCAACTGTAGGATTAGATTCAAATATTGACTTACCATCAATCTTCACTTCTGGCTTGGAGTTATAACTTACATCAGCTCTGGAAGACGCCACAGGATTGGATTCAAAAACTGTCTTTTCTTGGCCTTTGTTATTCAACTTGGAATTATAACTCACATCTGCTTTACACTTCTCAGATGGAAATGATTCAAAAATAACCTTTTCTTCTATTATAGATTGTGGTTTAGAGTTATATCTGGCATCAGCCTTAGAATTCGAAACTGGGACCGACTCGAAAACAGATTTCTCGCTTCCGGAATTATTTTGTAACTTGGATTTGTAACTGACATCTGCCACAACACCAACTGTAGGAATTGACTCATAAATAGATTTTTCCTGCTTTCCCAATCCAACTTTTGTATTGTAGCTAACATCTGCCTTTGAACCAAATGTTGGATTGGATTCAAATATTGACTTTTCTTCGATTACTGGTACAGATTTTGTATTATAACTGACATCAGCATTCGAACTACTTTTTGGGTTGGACTCAAACACAGACTTTTCCTCAATTACTGGCTTAG